CTGCTAATTGCAGCACAGGGGAGGAAGAAAGGCCGGCGGTAATCGATAAGTCCGGGGGGTCGAAGTAAAGGTCGCGATTTGGAACTTAGCATCATCCCAAGTTGCAAATGTAACTTCAAATTCGCAAGATTTAGTGTTGATTTACGTTGGGGTTACTTACATGTAGTAGGTCCAACTTGTTTCAGATTGGTCGGCTTCGCCTCTTCCTATACATTGAGAGAATTTCTCAATCGATGACCAATTCTAACCTGATGCCCGATTTACATTAAGCACAAAATACACTCAGAATAATCCAGGGATGAGGGAAGCTTTGCTCAATAACGTTGATAGTCTTGAGGGGAGAAAGTTGTGCTTGCATGAGGACCGCCCGCTGGTCTCCGCTTCCAGCCGTCAAGTTCACCTGACTACGCTGTAATCGAGTATCCACGTGCCTTGTGGTCTACCTGGTGGTAAACACCTGGTAATGCGGCTCACGGTCATCAATTAGGTCAACAATTGGGAGCGACAGAGGGCACAATGGGGTTGGAGCTATCTATCCTTGGATCCAACTTAGGCCAGACTTGGGTCTTTTTAGGAGAACAGCAGGCATTTAGAGTGGTATGCCATAATTAGGATGGGTGAATACATTATTTCACTATCGCCAGCGTCGATCATTTGTTAGCTAATATGGTGCTGAGGACGAGCTTTGTGGATCCAATTCTGTTGCTGGATCCAAAGCATATTTCTTGATACAATCTCCTCACAAATGGAATTAGTCTCACGCACAGTCGTCAATAGTTTGCCAAGCACTTTCGGATACTTTTCCGAGTCTCAATTGTTGGGAAAAGTTGGAGCCAAAGAAATAAAAGTTTAGGTTTCGAACACCCTCAATTTTGATTTAACTAAATAAAACTATGCATTTGCGTGGCTCAAGAAATTGTTGGTAGGCCTAAAAAGGCTTACCTCGCCAACTAGCAGGACAGTTCTTTTGTTCCAGAGGGAAACCTCCTTTGTGCATACCTTGCAGAACAAAAGCACTGGCCTGCTGTGTAAGATGGCAGTCATGTAAACCCTCTATACTAATAAAGACAGCACTTGTGGTTTACATGAGATCAAAACAATCCCATGGTGGACCTAGGCAATGACATACACAGTGCGTTTGTCACTTGATTTCAAGGTTCAACTCTCCTCATAAGTGAAGACAACGATGATTTTTCCATGTTCAAGCTTAAGGGCGAAATGTTCTTGCTATCGGTATTTCAAGTTCTCCTCCTGAGGGCATGCATGCACCTCAAACAGATGGAACTCCAAATAACTCAAACGATTGATAACTACAAGTATTAGATATTTAAATTCCTGTTCAACATTAATAGGCATGCAGTAAAAAGTACTTACAGTCCACAGCTAGATGAACCTAGTTAACCTATGTTCTTTGGAACTCAGTTTATAATGTATGACGACACAGTTCACTGCATTGCAGCCAGAAAATCCAGATCTCATAATAACAGAGCTTAATTTTCAATATTTAAGAAATAAGTTGTGCAACGTGCTGACATATACAGGCTGACAATAAATTCATCAATTCCTTGCCACTTAAAAACTTGAAAAAGTTCCATAAAGATACTAAAATCAAATCAGAACTCCTTGGCCAACCATTTTCCCGCCCTTTCGTGTTGTGACGCATTGCTTTTGTTTCAGAAAGGTATGATGAGGTCTTTGGGACACCTATGGAAGTAGAGAAGACATTGGGTAAAATGTGTCTTTAAGAATACACAGAAACAAAGTTTGGAATAGTTACGTCACCGTAGCCGTGACGAGTTACGGAGGTTAAGACAAAAGAACGGGGTAGGAGGAATACACAGAGTCTTGTCTATCCTCAAGGTCGATGATCGCCCCTATACGGTCAGCTACAGGGATACAGCTATCCACAGATATCCCGCCTTGGACGTCGACGATGAAAACGACATAATGGAACGGCAGATCCTTCTTGGGGATGGCGACCAAAATGCAAAGCCAGAACAACCCCAAGGTTGATTAGACGGGAAGATAAAAAAAAGGAACATGGAGTGATTTCACTTGGGCGAAGATTGATGCAAATGCCCAGGGTAGGTTTCTACTTAGCGTTGATTTCTTCCTTCTTCCTGACGTCTGCTAGCTCTAGGATTAAAGCTTTTGAAGTCAATTAATAATGGATGGACAAATTTCAGTTTTTATTTTTGTTGGAAAGAAGTGGGTCTATAGCCCTCGGGCGATACAATGTGAATTAAATCATTCATTCTGTTTGCGTGACGCTGCATTTGAAGGATGGAAGCGAATTCGGAAATCGGGCAGATCGTGGTTCAATCCACGGCCTTGCGAAGCGGTATCCGTTAATCTACCTGAAAGACACGGTTTCTCAATAATAATTGATTTGTGTGTAACATTGGGCAAAAGTCACCATCGTCTATTCACAAAGATGACTGACACTTGCACAAATGAAAAAAGGCTAATTATAAAACTGTACAATACCATACCCATTGATAATTTCATTCGAGACACTACACAATGATTTCCAACTTCAATTATGCTTTGCCGGGAAGGCGTAGCACAAACTTTTGCCTGGCGATGTCTCACACATATCAGCTGAGGGCGCTCTAGGCGCAGCTATACGTATCATTATTATGAATCTTGTAATATACTACCATCTTCGCGCTCTTTTCTTGGAAGAATGGGTGCACCTTCTTTGCTTCTTGGAGTAGTATTAAACTCAATATGTCAACCTAATGGGTGTGTCTGCATTGGCTGAAAATGTCCTCCCGTTCAGTCTTTTCAAACAAGCCGCGGTAGCGATTGAGTTGTATCATAAATAGCATTTCACATGCCCCCCCCTCTCTCTCCCCAATCCATCTCCCTCCCTCATCACTCAAATGGCTTGCTTTCTGTTCATGTAATATATTATAAAATTTAAACCAGAAAGCAAGAAGGATAAAGAGTTACTCTCGATTTTATCCGAGTTTCCGAGCGAAATGAAGATGATCTATTTTTTCATTATTTGATTGGCAGTGTGTCAACAAGTACTCGAACATGCTGGTTAAAGGCGCCTTTTCATTGGGGGGGTGCGTTGCGTACACGATGTGTTCATGCGTTTCACTTTCACGGACACAAAATTCGACTCCATTAACATAACACACGTGTGCGTTGCGTTTGGCCATCAAGATCGCTCTGAGAGCGGTTTTTGACGGACAAGCAATGCTTGAAGTGTTGACACGCACATGGAAAGACGCCTTAACTCTCTGATATTAAACTACACATGTTCGTCATACAGGAAAACACGATGCTACAAACAGCGATAGGCAATGATAGTAATATTCTTGTTTGATGACTATAACATCAGATGCATTGTGCTTCAGGCTTCGACTGCCAATCAATTTGGCCATTACGTAACTCTATAATAACAAACAAGGACTAGTAATTTAAGTCATTTCGGTCAAGAGAAGCTGATTTCAGTAGGCGTAAGATAAGGAACAGCGACCATCTAACATCACAAAGAAACAAACATGTAGCACAAGGAATCATGTGGGAACAACAACTGACAATGTCGGAAAAAAGAAGAAATTAATATTGGAAATAATCTACTTTAGGCAAGAAATACCACAGTTGTCTAAGATTGGGTCAAGACGATGCCCAAGGATATTTTGAGCCTCTAATTTGGGTAAAAGCATCGTGATGAGTAGAAGATTAGCAAGCAATAACCAAACGATAATCCCAGATCTGATCCTCTACTACACAGCCTTCAGTTAGCAACCACGCAATTACCTCATGAATAAACGGAAAATTCAAGTGATTGACTTCGATTTTATGGGGTTCACTACCCTTCTTCAATGTGTCTAAACGCTCCGTCATTGTAATAAACCTTACGATTCTCTATCGTGATTATGATTATGCAATTCGCGTTATCACATCATCGAATTCCATAACTTAATAATCCAATCGATATCAAAATGATTTTTGATGAGTATATCTTATAAGCACAAGGATTGAATAGGACGGCAAAGGAAGATTATTAGCTTTTTCTTGAAGAATCCTTATCCCTTTTCAGTTCTCTGGCGTGAAGTACTTAGATCATTTTTTTCTGGTATAGTGTTACCCATTTATTTCAGTGAATGGAGTCTGTTCTATCTCACTCAGCAAATGTAATCTTAAGAAACACAACAAGAAGAATAGAAGACGCAGATGTTTTCGCCTCGCGGTTCTCTCGTCTCGTTAGGCTGGCCTCCATGCACTTTCAAGGCGAGACTCACCCATTACGTTTTACTGTTTGTCTATTTTTAGACGGTACGGGGATACTCGCTTGCAAACTCAATCAAGAAAATCCGATCGCGATTTAGAAATCTAAGAACCCGCGCTACCGTCTTTTTCTGCTCTCGCCAGGCTTAAGTTAGCGAGAGGGCAGAAAGTGCATCATTTATCTAGGTTTACTGGCGTTTCAGGGCGGAAATAAATGGGTGAAATAAAAAGAACTCATCGTGCAGAATGAGGTTGGAGAAAAACCATCAAGTTTCATCCACTGACAACAATTTGGGCATTTTTACTGTTTACGGAACCGAAGTATCTCCTGCTGGACAAAAGCCTCAACATTGAATGGTCACGTGACCTAATGTCAATTCTTTGTCAAGATTGGAAGGCCTTCATAGCGACTGAATTCCGCAAGACGGTGATTTTTTGAAAGAGACTTAGTACGTTTCAACAATAAAATTTGTTTTAAAAAACTTCTCAGCAAAAAAGCAAAAACTGCAATCAATCTGTTTTACTCCCGTCATTCAACCAAGAAAAGAATTACAAAAAGTGGACTTAATTGATTGATTGACTATCAAGTGACCTGAGACTTTCTAGTATTCAAAAGAGACAAGTATGTTAAAGCGTACCACCACAACTGAACTTAAATTCCAAATTAGGCCTGTATTCATTTGAGGAACATTTCTTTTCCATACAGTGGAATATTCATCAAAATATATCAAGCACCTTAAAAGCTACTCTTTTACCTTTCGTGTTGAGTAGAAGAAGAAAAGCCAACACCACCGACGATATTGAAGTCTGAAAACCACTGCTGCCAATCATTTTCCCCACGATGTGCTAAGAGCTGCTCCTGCTTTGTGGCAGCATTCAATGCTCTAGACGGTAGGGATGTATCATACCCCGTAGCCTCTGGTGCTATCTCACTGGACAACACATCACAGCAATGAGACACCTTCTATAAAGTCTTCCTCAATTCCTGTGGTTAGGCAGAATCTGAGTTGCCACATTTGTCTGTTGTTGGTTCCAATCGCCCACTCTGCCTCTGCTGTCCATGCGGTTACAGCAAAAATACTCTCAAGCAAATTTGGAAAATAATTAGCTGCTCTAATGCTGCTTGTCATTTGTCTATTGCAGGAAACAGAAATTATGGACAGATTTTCAAATACACTTTGCCAACATTTTCTTTCCAGGTGCCTCCATCGATATGATTGAAGTGTCATTGAAGCACCAGTGACAGCTCCCGAAGTGACGATGGCTGTTACGCACTCCCGGCGTGTCAGGAGAACGATTAAAGTTCTTCAACGCCCATTGAGAGAGTCCTTCCCGTATGGCTGTCTGTGGTCGGTATTTCGCAGCTCTTTCCATCATCAGTAGGTAGCGGAGGATTGAATGACGGCAGCTGGCGCCCAGCCCGGCGTGGTATGCGCTTCTTTGTCTTCCCTGGCAATGAGCATGCGTGTCAGATGCAGGACGCTCAATACTTCAAGCACGCCCTCTTTTGATATTGCTGGTGGAACAGAACGGCTGCACACACTGCGTTTAGGTATTTCATGTGCGCCGAATTCACAGGAGCGAAAAAAAGTGTTGTCAAAAGAATCGAAGTACAAAGAAAGTGCAGTTTTTTCCTGACATCCCCAGAAATCCACACGGCAACAATATGAATGGCAAAGAGACAACTTGGTATCTTATTCGACAGCTCATAGGTCAACAGCTGTTTGACCTTTCAACGCGGAACAAATTAAACGCTCAGACAACAGATCACGGCAGTTACACCGATTTACATGTAAAATTAATTTCCTCGAAGCTGACTCATTGGCAGATACAATATTTATACCATCTATTCCCATTTTATATTAGCTTCTGAAGCTTCATTTTAAAAAATGGGCTGCAGAAATTAATATGAGTAAATTAAGCAGAATTCATACTTTCATAAAAATGTTGATAATAATTCGATCATCCAGTTTGCTTCAAACCCTTTTGCCTGAAAACTACGTAGATAAAATTGCAAGATATGCATGTATTGTTGATGTGGGCGGTTGCTTAGTGGCAAACCATTTTATGATAATTTGTACCATGTCGCTGAGAAATTGCCTTCATTATAGTACTTTGCTCGCAACGCTACATTGTTAAAAATTTTACAACATGACTAACCAAATACAATTAATTACTTTAACTACCGTAAATATCTCTGTGATGTAAACACGCGCCTTAGACTAACGCCGAGCACGATTTAATTCCTATTTAATTAAACTTCCCACAGCTGCACGCATTTAGAACATTTTAAGGGCTTCTTTTAGCTACACAGATTGTTGGTGTTGAACTGACATTCCACTGCACTGATGGCGTTCGCTTTTTTCTCAAAGTGCTGTCCAACATGCGTGTCACCAGTAGCGTGGACAAGAAGAGCTTTTGGGCACGTGATCACCCCCTCTCTGTGTCCTGCAATGATACTGAAAAAAATACTGCCCAACATGATGAAGAAAATGTAGGAAGCCTGCGACGTCGACCAAGCCGTAACTTGAGCAGCAACAAAAATCCACGTTTTAATGCAAGGTGTGATTGGAACGCTCCGAAGAGAGGTTGCGCTCAAACATGTCGAACTGCTAAACAAATTATCAAGATATTGGAGAAGGTGCCTCGAAAACAGAATCAACAATCAACTTCAGCAATGATGTCACTTTAGTCCAATCTGGCATGGATTGTGACATCGTTGATAAATAATCCCGTAACGTCTGGGATTTTCATCATCTTTTTTTTTTTTTTGGTGGCATCGGGGGGAGGGGGAACTTATTAATCGTTGTTGCAAAAATCAGTACTTGGTGTTTTTAATTAAAGACTAAAGGTCATACGGAATCTAAATAAACCAGCTTGACACGCAGAGGAAAGCCAAAATTGTGTTGGAACATCATACTTGTAAAAACACAAGAAATAAACTGAAAACACTAGAGAGTATCAATTTTCTATGCTGAATGTAAGGACTTTTTGAAGTGGGTAGTAAAGATCATATGACAACACTGGTCAAAATAAGCAGCATCGGTGCTAAATGTTGTGCCAGCAATGTAACAGTTGATAAAAAAAATAACGTGTTGTATAGGAAAATTCATGCGCAGAGGAATGCTTGCACTTAAACCACGGCTCTCCAAACTCAACTGCTGTTCTGTTTCAAAAACCATTTTGGGCCAACTGTCTGCATGCATGTGATGTTTAATTTAAGATCGTGCAATTTCTCATCTCAACAATGAAATATCAGTCCGCTTTGATGACTCTTAGATGCGTGCAAGGAAACAACGAGTCATGATTTGCAAAACCAGATGTCTTGACCTAGAGGGTATGATTGATACGTTTTATTGTTTATTGAAATTTTGCAAGCAATTTATCTTTCTGTAAACTAAGTCATGAATAATGTTGCAGAGGCCAAGGAAAAAAGATTCACAACATTATAACCCAAATTTACAATCACGATTTTAAAAAATGAAAATGCACTCCATTTCAATGAATATCAAATGGGAATTCAAATGAAACATTACCACACTAACCATTTAGCAGTTAACCCGAGAAAAAGTTTGAATCAAGTGCAGGAGTGGATTTAAGACTTTATTTACGCAGGGTGCACACCCTAAATTGGAATCTGCAAAGAGGGCTGCCAATAAAGACAAATAGAATTGGTTTCTACACCACAGTGTATAATTTTTAACCATGTTTAGTTTACATATTTCCATACAATGCTTAAGCAATCCGAGACTGGAGGGGTTAACAGGGGTCAGTGCAGTTTGTTTGCAATGCCTCTATTGTTCTGGTATATGATGCTCATTTTCGGGAAATCAGTTCTTCAGCACGATAGCGCAAATTCAATGGAAACACTAATCAAAATGCATCGAAATCTGGCTAGGATCCTGTGAGCTTTCTGAAAGCATCATTGGGTTCAAGCGTGGTTCTCATTGCTGATGAAGTAAGTGGCTTGTTGCATTATCCAGCAATCCTCACCGGACCGGCGTCTGAAATCGCTACACTTTGGATATCACAATTTGACTGAACTTAGTACCTCAAAACTTTAGCATTGATTATAAATATTCTTTTTTTATTTCGATTTTAGTATTTTTATTGAAGTGAATGCATTCTGCGTTGATTTTGAACAAGAAAATGAACAATAAGTTGCAAACCATAATTATAGATGCGTGTGATTTCACTGTCAACTCTTTAAAACTCCAATTACAGTGATGTTCAAGTTATAAGTGATTTTAATATGAAAACCGAAGGTTAGATATTGGCCTGTTTTCAATTATGGCTTTTTTCACTCTACAAGAAAATAACATCAACCTGAGAGGTGCGCATCACTGCAGATGTAATCCTGTGACTGTATAGGTTGCTCTCCAAAGCTCTCCCGTATTTAAATTGTTATTCTTAAGCCGACATGTTTATTTTGAAGTCTGTGAAGGGATTACAAGTTACCAGCTTAAGCCGCTAATGAAAAAGGGGAAATACTCCGTGAACAGGCGGGAATGGCATTCCAAGGTAAGACAGCCGTAATAACACAGAGACGGTTAACTCTAAACAATCAACACACGCCACCAGCCCTCACTGGGGCCGTCTCTTGTCCGACGCACTTCAAAAGAGGGTCGAGCCAAAGAAAGGAAGGTGGTGTTTTCTCAAACACGGACAGGAAGATTTGCCCCTGCCCCGCGCATCGTTTTTTTTTTCTTCTTCTTCTTCGAGCAGCCCGATACCAAGCGACTGATCCTCCCCGAGGTCCCACAACCTCCACGCATTTGCGGGTATTCTTATTCAACGAAGCTAAACTAACATCTCGATTGTCCCCCTATGGCTTGTTGCTCTTTTACGCCATAATCCCCCCTACCCCTGATGGGCGCAGCCTACGAGATTGTAGCAAACTTTCCTTTCTCCTCTCTCCCTTTCTGAAAAGCTTTGCGAAACGTTCGGTGCCGAAGGGTGTAAGAGTGACAACTATTTTGCGCCTCTGGTATATGCACAAAGACCTACTCTCTACCTTTCAATTTTTTACCGAGTTTTTAAATACAGCGGGGCGCTTTGCTGAAAGGAAGTGTTATTGCGTGTGACTAAGGGACTTGTGGACGTATATGAGAGAGGCTGGATGGATATTGTCTGCGCACTGTGTGGATGCCTCGATGTCGCTGTAGTTCCCCTTCAGCGAAAGTTACATGAGCGCTCAAGTTAGCATCCACCGGTGCGCCACGCTCCTCTTCCGTCAGCTGAAGGAGTCAAGGGACTTGAAGCTGCTCAGGCTTTGGGGTTAAGATGGAGAGTTGTTTCTTCTCCGCCCCTATCGAGTCGGCGCGGAACGGCATCGAGAACGTGTACCGGTCCTGGACCACAGGGGGCAGCGGGGATGAGCAACGAAGAGCCGGTCTAGCTGGCCCGGTCGCCTCGCTCACACATGTAGAATTGGATTCACGGTCAACGGTTACCTCTACCTACTCCTACGCCTGTCCTCAATCCGTCAAGTGAGTGACATTTTAGCAACTTCGAAACTTTCTTCTCCTTTGTTTCAAAACTTAAATCCACCAAATATAACTACAGAGAGAAAAATGCAAATCTTCCAAATAAACTTGTTCGTAGATTCAGCCTCTTCATTATTAGTTCTACTTCTTATTACCAATAATGAATCACAGTCATCAGGATGTGTGCACATGCAAATAAAACAAGCAATTACATAGATAAAGGGAAAATTTGTTGCTCCTCGCCCTTAATGTGCTGGTCTATTTTCATTGAAAACATTTTCAGCAGAAGCTTCAATGTAAAGATTCACTTAAGTGGTAGAGTAAAATAACCATTACCCGTTAATTTTAGGGTTTTTCTGTGTAGCCAATATTCAAAATAGTAGCTATTCGTGTAGTCGTACAGACATAACTCGACTGAGCGGTGAACTTGTTGGGTTTTACCAGCCCGCAATTGACTAATGCCTTAAGCTTTTTAAGGGAAGAAACCCCGCGCGCGACCGGGTCGCCTAACCCCCCAACAAGGCGGGCGTCGTAGGGCTTCGCTCGGCCCGCATATGCCCTCTGCTTTACTCTGGATAAAAAGAATGTTCATTTCATCGACAGCCAAACTTTGACAGTGAAGTCACAAATGTCGTGGAAAATTACCACAATTAAGTCATCTACACCAAGAAGAGATGTATAATTTATGAACCTCTAAAGCCTTATCAATGATTCATAGACTGGTTCTGCGACAGCAGGCAGACTCAAAATTCTCATACAAAAGTTTAAGCAATGAACATTTTAAAGTCTTAATTGAATCAGCTTGTCGTAGCAATTAAAGACGATTTTTAATTATTCCATAAGTAAGCCGTTCAAATATATATCTTAAGCGATATGTATCTTGAACCAGGCTTTTTAGCAGAAAAATCAGATACAACATACCCATAAAATTTGGCGTTATGAGGTCCATCTACTGAAATATTTTATATAAAAGTAAAATGTGAGAAGGGGAAACGCCACTAACTACTTAACAAACATGCCTTTAGAGACAGTATCTGTCCATATCTCTGGGTTTTTATCTGGGTGAATTGGAAAAGCTTGACATTTTGCAACTAAATCTATTGTTGCTTTTTCGTTGATCTTTTGTAAAATATAAATAAAAATGTACCTACAGCAAGTATACCTAAACTAAACGTTTACTAAAAGGATTTTTCAGCTGTAGGAGGCTGTGGCTGATTGCTGTTTAAAAAAAACAGGCTGGCATTAAGCTTGGATTTCAGGTGTGACTCCTCCGAAATGACGATGTGTATTTTTGTTTTTCGTTCTGGGAAGGGTGAAAGTATCCCTCTAATAACTATGTTTAGCAATGAATTTCAATCTTGTTATCGCTTTGTAAACATATTCGGATGCTAAATATTTGGTGTTAAATTCCTAAACATCAATGTCTAATTACTAAACACTATTCGTTAAATTGTAAAGCATGCTTAGAATTTAAACATGGTTTCAAGCAGGATAGTGTTTCAAAAGTGTTTCAGAGTTTTTACGGTGAGGTTTAGGAAGGAGTGATCACGCTACCTTCAACCATGGCTGAAGAGAATACCGAGGAAAATTATTGTAATATCCAAATGGGTTCAGGTGCGTTTAGTGCGCCGAATAATGAAATTACTATATTTTTACCTTAAGGCAAAAAGTATGCATTACCCTAGCCATTTCAGTAGGCAATGTTTCCTGCAGTGTTGAATCAGAATGTGCCACTTAATACTTAATACTGAACATCACTGCACCTTGAAGTGAAATAATACAAGTTTTCACATTTTAAATGCTGACGAAGAAAACTTAAGAAATTCAAAATAAATGGAACTTGCAAAATTTTAAAATTCTTAACTTTAAAATCTAAAGTCTATTGATCGGTGTACGCATTTTAATTTGAATATAGCATCTTCAAGGTTTAATCTGTTCCGGGTTATAGTAAAATTGCTAAGTAAAGGGATTCGCTCGGATGCAGTTTTCCCTTAAAACTGACTGTAATTTTCTTGAAATGAATATAATACAAATGTTCAAAATTGTCTTTCGCATCAAGTCTGAAGATAAAGCCCCACTGCACATGTGAGATTTTATTAGAGAGACCATATAGTTTGCTAATGGCAACACCTGCGACATTTATATCTCAAGATTAATCGAAGCCCAACGTACATGAAGTGTCTGGCCCAATATCACTTTGTTGAACACCTTCGCGAAACTATAGTCAGACATAATGACATCTACATGTTTCCCGGAGTGTAATCAGAGATGAAACCTGTACACATCATTGAAAAAAATAAAATAGACGAAGCTAGAGGAGAGCACACAGCTCATCGGGCCGAGGAAAAGTAGCGGTTCTCGACATAACCTTACACAAGCTGATTAACAACTCCCATATCCCTATCTACCTGGCTTCATCAGCCTCTGTGATGATCCCTTTTCAACGTCCCCATTTCCCTTCCCGCAACACCCTGATTCACTCAAGGAAGCCCTGGTCACGCATGTTTTTCCAACTTTTCCAAAGGCAGCGTAGTTAAGTCCCATTACTCGCCCGGGCTAATTCCCTCATCGGCGGTCGGAGATGTGTCTCCTCTTTTGTTCTGCCTCATGTTTTCCCCGTCTGAAGATGTCTTTCAGTTCTTTCTTCGGCCACGGGATGGAGAATGTCTGGCTGTTTATCTTTAAACAAGACACCGGTCTTGTACCGTCTTTTGTTCGCGAGGTTGTATACCAGCACGGTTCCATTCAGTGTGGCCAATAGAACCCATACAGGCCGGCCCTGCGGGCGCTTTTTCACTTAGCGGATTGATCGTCCGTGATTTGGGGCAACAATTCAAAGGACCGAGTATGTGTGTCGAGCTAGCGTGATTGTCGGGCGATTAACCCGCGAGGGATAGGAGCGGGGACCCATGAAGGAGCCGGGTGGCTCTATGGCCCGGTTAGCCTGGGGAAATAGCAGACATCGGGCCATCTTGAGAACACTGCATTGAACACAGCATAATCCTGCATGTGATCACAGTAACTGCCACATACAACCTAGGGATATTTGTTTCGTATAACGTTGGCATGGATACGCGTACAGTTTAACAAATCTGAGATGTATGAAAATCGGATGGCTGACTGGTAATAATCCAGATTTGTATAACGTCTTCTAAAAGTTTGCTGCTTAATTCTGTTCATTCTAAAATAACATTTTTCCAACGAAGATAAATTGTCAGGCAATTATGTAAAATGATATTGCTCAACCTAATACATTAATACAATACAGGCACTGGTGATTTTTAATTCTAAGAAATATTGAACGATTAGAACGAGTACTTTTACCACAATGAGTAATAGTGTCATTAATGAAAACCACATATTCAATATCATACTACGTGTTCCAGTTAGTTGAAGCATTTTGCTTGGGCTCTCCTTAATTTCAAATCATAATTCTGATAAGTTAAAGGAATCGGTGGAAAGACGTTGCCCAAAGCATTCATGATACTGCAAAAACTGAATTTGTACCAATAGAGCCAATATTCATTAATGTCGTCATTCAGATAATGTATGCCCTGCTTCGTTATTTTTTCTTTCTCAGCAACTTGTCCCTTAGGAAAGACGAGAGCCCCAATTGTGGGGATTACTTCAGTAACAGTAGCCAACATCTCTTCGGTTTGTCTCGCTCTGCTTTACCGGTTGGCGGCAAGCCCCCCGCCGTCCTCAGTGCTAATTTGCCCCACCAGCCTGTCACCTCATCGCCGACTCTCCATCGACCCACGCCAGCTTCTGTACACGCTTCTGCCTTCTCGCAATCAGGTTAGTTCGTGATGGACTTTATACAAAACAAAAGGAATGAAGTTTGTGAGGAAAGCCTTTCAGTATTGCAGTAGGACGATTTACAAGGATTACTTCAAGATTCATAAAAGGTTGTCTTTCCACGAAGTCACAAGAAAACTCAAATGCTGTGCAATCATGGCAGCCTTGTTGCATTTCTAATAGGCTGGTTCCCAGCTCAAAAATGGTACTGTTGAGGTGGTTTTGCATTGGGGGAGCGGGAACTAGGCCTAAGTCGGGTTTTCTTTTATCAAAATCCTTTCGAGCCTCAAATTGTTCAAAAATTCCGAACATGTAAGCAGCTCTTCAGTTTCAAATTATACATTGCCTGCTCCAAGCAGCAACGAATTTCTGCGTTATAATTTTCTCCTCCAGTTCCAAGGAGTCCTACAAAATGGCCGCCTCCAGGGTCCGCTGTTTCGCATTTCCCCAGCCAGGCCGAGACGGACTCGACCACTGCTGCCGCTCACGCCCACCGCAGCCCATGCACGGGGGAATGGCAGTACACGGCCCACCAGGCCGGCTATCCGACCTACCACCAGCTCAACTCATCGGGCTGCCTGGGGGGTTTTGGAGCGCCCCCTAGGGACCATTTTGCCTGTTCCACCGGCACGTCTAGCGCGCTGGACGAGATTCACAGGGGACGTGAAGGTGGTGGTTGCACGGTAAGCGCAACCTATAAGCCACTGTAACATTTTCATTACACTGAACAAAAGTATCACTTTATGGACAATATCATAGCAGCTGGTCACGTTCAAATGCTATTTCAATTTGATGAGAGCAAGTTCTGTTTTCTAAAGAAGCGGCTACCTTTCATGAAAAAAAGAAATCATGATTAGGCCGCCATTATGGCTGTGGCAATTTCATTTTGGGCCCAAGAGATTGATTGCCTGTTCATACTCATTACTTATATATGTGCTGAGTTTTTGCAAAAACTGATTTTCTAAAAAACAATTTTAAAACAACCTGCGTAGGTTTGTGAATATTAAGCATTTTATTGGTTTTTTGTTATGGTGTTTTCATTTTAGACTGCTTAGGGAAAACGACAACATTTTGCAGCCTCTTTTCACTACGTTGTTGGTATTTGTATATTTCCTCCTTAAACAGATGTCGACTTCACCCTGCACGGCTTGCGGTGATATCCTCTGTCCGAAATCTCACCCAATCTACCCCTCAGAGCTGAACGCACCATGCCCCCGCTCGCCCTCCCAGTCGGCAGTGGCCATCCGACCGTGCTCCAGCCTGAGTTTCCCCTCCTATGCCGCCGCCCCGCCTCCCCCAACTATAGGCACGGCAGAGAGCGACGCCTTGATGCGCTACCGCTGGCCGGCCACGGCGCCTGTGTACTTCTACAGCAAGTTGATGTCTGCAGGAAAGCAGGAAGGGCTGGGCGGTGTAGGCGTAGGCGTCAGTACCAGCCCTACAGGTGCAACATCGGGGAGTAATGACCGGGCTTCGAAGCCTGCGAAGCAACAAGCAAACTATCGCAGCAAAGGTGCGTGTTAAGGGGTGCTTCCCCCAGTGTCTAAGGACCTCTGAAAACGCAAGGTGGTAAAGGCTTTCTGCCTTTTGAATTTGATTTTAAATCTGCTCTCTGAAGCTGCTGTTTGACATATCGGACTTGGTGCCAACTTCAGCACTTCCGTACGTTTTGTATCTGGAAGAAAATTTCCGCCCTGTTGTCTGCTTTGGTGATAAACGCCTATCTTGTTCCATTTTGGCAGGTAATAACCTATGCAATATATGCGGTAAATCATACGCCAGGCCCAGCACGCTGAAGACACACCTACGCACTCACTCCGGGGAGAAACCCTACAGGTGTCCGACCTGTAACAAGGCCTTCTCGCAGACGGCTAACCTAACGGCGCACATGCGGACCCACAGTGGTGAAAAGCCTTTCCAATGCGGCGTGTGCCACCGCCAATTCTCCCAGGTAGATCTGCAGTTATGTCCGGCTTGCAATTAAATTAACTCATGCTTTATCCAAACGGCTACTTTTAAATGGTTAGTACAACAGAACGCAATTATCTTCAACCTGGACCACAAACCGACAGGCATGATTGACAAGAAAAATCTTGGACGACAATTTCTCTGCAGTCAAAATGTCGAAGCACTATTCTGACTTTTTAAATACAAATTGTCTCACAGTGGAGCTACGTGGTCTGTCTGTACATGTATATGAAAATCCTCAATAGAACAGAAACATTTTTATTTCTCAAGCGTTTGACAGGCGAGACAGTAAATAAAGGGAAGCATTCTGACGCTAGTTCATCCATTTGTCTTTGCAGAGTTCGTCCGTCACCACGCACATGCGAACCCACTCCGGGGAGCGTCCGTACCGTTGCGCCTACTGCAAGAAAGCGTTCGCAGACAGCTCCACGCTCACCAAACACCTGCGCATTCACAGCGGAGAGAAGCCGTACCAGTGTAGCATGTGTCTGCTGCGATTCTCGCAATCCGGCAATCTTACCCGTCACATGAAGATTCATCAGCACGTATGATGGATACACTGCTAGGAGTGGAAGGTTCTTCATTTTTTAAAACAAATTCTTTTATTACCAATAGAGGCTTTGCGTGGTAGCCATCTTACACAGCAGTTCTTTTGTTTCACAGGGAAACCTCCTTTGCGCATACGCTGAGGAACCAAAGAATTGGTCTGCAAAATGGCAGCCATACAAACCCTCTCTATTATGGACGGTAAAGTTTGCCCTCTGTGGGTTTCTTTCACGTTTACATGTACTTACTTAACATTGACAAAGACAGACGCCTGGCCTACCCTTTTACAATCTGTGGCACCCAAATGTCCAGATGCTACGGGTGTGCGCATTTTGATACGAAAACTCAAAGTGCGCATTCTGCTCAACAAGCGCACAAACCATCAGTGGAACCATTGCGCACGCAATGGGTCGATCCAAGAGTTGGAAAATGGTAAGATAGACTTTTGGGGGCGCTACATTGTCTCCATGTTATTCCTCCCCGGCGGAAATGGCCAGATCGTTGGTCTCCAGAAGTGGATTGGATTCCATGCGAGAGGGCGTAACCATCGAGACAGAAATTGAGTTTGCAGGAGGAGAGAAATTGGATGCACATGCTTTTGCGAGTGAACCCCGTTCTTTAACAAGGTCGGTTTTTTTTAAGGGAGGGAAAAATACTAACCTCTTGACAATAATCAGAGACAATCAGTAATTCAACAGCCATTTTCTGATAATATATGTTTATTGTTCTCTTACTAAGTCTTATGCGATGACAATCTGATGTTAAAAACCAAGAATACTTCACTGATTACGACATCTAATTTCAAAGAAGCCAACTGAGATAGAGTGGACAAGCTGCAGTACAAGATTTATTTATATTTTGACATATTGCCGAGATTTTGTGATTTCCTCAGAAACATTCAGGTGGACTCCTGATTTCTCTGATTTATCGATAATATTATTAATATACAACGTATATAAGCTTACATAATATCAAATAACCTATGGTCTTTTAATGTTTGCATTAGTGTTCCTTTTTTGATGGTTAAACTGACAGTGGACTTTCCAAACGCAACTGAGGAAAGAGATAATTGAATTTCAGAATGAGTCCGAGGACTTTGAAAGCTTAAATCATTTTTCATCTCTGTGCCCCATGCATTGTTACATGTAGGCTACAAGTTTTGACGCACATATAATGCATACATCAGAGGACACTAAGTCCTCGGTCGACAACCTGTGATTTCAATACAAAGCAAGTTATGCACCGAAGGTCCTCGGTGTTTACTACTAATGGTAGATAAGACCAAAGGCTGTCTTCTTAACGTTTATTTAAAGGAAACAAAATAACAGCAGCACAGAAATAGACTTTTTAGGGGTACGGGTGCATTGCTTCAACGAACAGCTCCCTCAGTAGTTTAAAAAGGATATTTCTCCATCATGCGCTAGCAACAAAACGCAAGAGGGCTTTCAAGCAATCACAATACAAATCATAAATGCTTAATGTAATCTCAGTAAATGCAAAATAAAACTAGAAGTGGTATTTGGGGCGACAACTGTCATATTAGGGGATGGTGTATATCGTTGGGAATTCACGTTGGAGTCAGCGTCATTCTGTCTCACCCTTTCCAACGAGTTGAAGGTTAGAAACAAAGGTAACCCTGGGCAGAGCCTGTCAGCGCGATGCATCTCTGTGAATCTGGGCAAGGATTGGATGCGCACGGATCACTGCTGTCTCCAACTATAAATCAATGGTAAAAAAAAGAGAGGGAAAAGGCCTCGAATATTACACGTGAAACAGATGCCATAAACCTACGTTATCTCTTTCACATTGTACATCGCTACTGGTTTTGACCACACGAATCAGAGCTGTATACACGGAGAGTGTGAGTGCCAGCTTCAGATTTTGGAAACAAAATAGCTGTTCATTATGTGTAGTACAGTACAGCGAGTGGCTACCAGACCAACTGTCCACGTGCACCGACACATACACTTTCCAGTTTGTTTCCAACAACGTTGACACACGTCGTAACTCTTTCAATACAAGGCCGTTTCCCAATACTAAACTTCATCTCCATCTCAGGCTTCGTTTCCGAAACCAATCCCCGATTGTGGGCCTGAAGAAGCACTGTAAGTTTTGGCTCTTTTGCAACTTACTTGATGTTTTGTGGCACTATCAGACTTACTGTTGCGCTTACAATTTCATTGTCGAGTAATGGAAACAGGCCAAAGACTCTGATACGAGTCAGTTTCATTTTTTGTTTCAGCTTACCTCGAATCTCACAGTCGTGTCCGGAGTAGTCACTGGGGCAGTAGCAGTGGTATGTGTTCCGGAATGGAATATCCGTGCATATGCCATTATTTTGGCATGGCGAGTCGGCACAGGAGGTCTTGACTGTGATTTGGTAAACGGGACAACAATAGAGATACAATTAATCAAGTCATCAATCAGTGAACCAATCAAGTGATCAACAGGTTGATAGGTTAATCAGTTGATTACTCCAGCAATCAATTTCGAGACATTCAATGAAGTGCCAACTTACAGTATCATGCAATTTATCACATGGTTTGTTCAGCTGACTGCAAGTCTACAATTATACATTAACTTGAGGCATTCCGGTCACACCATATTGACAGATCTCAGTTGGAAGAGGTATGATAACCTGACGAACGGACCAGAGCAAGGAAACTTAGAGAACCATACCGCTTCCAAAAGAGATCTACCCACAGCGTGTTACAGCAAGCCCTGGTTTTAATGTTAATCTAATTCATTATCGGTATTCCGGCAAGCAACTGTTTAGTCAACAATGAGTCAACGAATGATTCATTCAGTCATTCACAAAATCCACATCTATCTGTCATGACCCACTTGATCAGTTAGCACACTATACTTTCATTCGAGAGAATGATATTGAACCCATCCATTTCACGAATGCCAATCCTAGTAGTATTACGTACGGGACTTGATTCCAGGAAGTCCAAAAAGCACACAACACAGCACCATGGTAGCTTGAAGCTTCATCCTGATAGATTAATGTTGGGGAGCCCCCTTACCACTCAAGATAGAAATCTTTCTAGGGAGAGATTTCCAACTCAATTGAAAGTTTTGTGCTGTCCGTCTCTTGTTGGAATCTTGCACTGTGGTCCTCACAACGGAAACGAACTTTTACAGAAAAACTTGGAAGTTGTCTCAACGAACGCGGCTTGATGACCGTGCTACGGCGATATCTGGAGCAGCAGTACTGATTCATTCGCGAGTGATCGCACGTTTTATAGCTTCATGGTCGCATTATGTCTGGTGGCAAAGTTCGAGTCTTTCCTGACACGTCCGCCTGGTTTATCAATCACACCTGTTGAGGTCTTCAATAAATTACCGAGTCTGATGTCAAACCGCCAAGAGACTCAAGTTAGACTTGTCTGGGCCGTTGTTTGCGCCTTGAGCCGCGGAGAAGACAAAACTCTGTGTGACCTGATAATTACTGGTCAGGTGTCGGTTGATGCCCCTCACGCAGGACATTGCTATCAAGATTGGGGCATACGGAGATTGGAGGACAAGGGTAATAGTTAAGCGAAGATTTTGCCTGAATGCCGGAAGGACTAGGTTCCAGTCTACCAAAATCCCAATCGTGCGAACAGTTTGCAAGATCAAGGGTCTTCAGTCGTCGACAAAACATCTGATCTCGATTCTAGGAAGGCATGCAGAAGGGAAGTTACCTTTACAGTTCTCAACACATGTTATGACACTCTCTGGAATATTTCGAACCCCCCCCCAAAAAAAACAGACGGGAGTGCTTAAAGGAACTGTGGATTGTCGGGGCTTTGTTGCTTCGTTTGTGCAGGGAGCTAAATGAAATAAATCGCGGCTGTCTTTAAGTTAGTGGGGATGGATGTCCACCGTTCCATCCACAGTAAGAGCTGGTATGTACCCCCTCAAGAGCTGGAGTGTAACCCCTCAACTCTGGCAAATCTAATTATGTTCCCATGGGTCCTAAGCTGCAATATTTTTCCAAAGAGCAATGAGACAAACCGACTTTGTAATTGACAGCACGCACTCCTGAGGAACGATCCACTGCCAGATCACGTAAGATCCGCGGCTTGGACTTAAACATTCGACGAAGTTCCCTTTCTGATAAGCGATTGCAAAAACAAACTTCTGGCGATTTTTGGCCGATTACACTCACTGGGATCATGTGGGTAAATAACCCTTTTTCTCATGGGGTTAATTTAATGGGCGAAATGATCGCATTCCCGTGAAAATCCGTTTCTGTTTCTTTTTTTGGGTTGGAGGGAATCACAAGTTAAGTAACTGCCTTAATTAGAATAACAGTTCCCAGAAGTTATATTTTTACCTAGCGCAGAAACATGACCAAAATAGACAGAAGGATTTCCAGGATTTACAACGATTTGACTTTATTCAGTTTCCCAAAACAAACGGATTTGTAGTTAGCTGTTGAAATTAATACTGCAAGACTAATTGTACAATTAGAATTTCGGTAAGCATAAAGATTCGTAAATTTGTATATCGACAGTATTGAGAATTGGTGGTGAAGCTCTTGAGGCCGACTCGGAGGTTGTCTGAGAAATATGCCATTTTTTCTTTCTTCATTTCGGGGGATGTAATCGGGAGAATACTATTCGCGTGGCCGGACAAATAGTTTGGTTTTGTCCATGGGGAGTAGTTGCATACGTTCACCGTCAGACGCAGATGTAGCCGAGCTGTAACGCTAGACACGTCTGTCCTACCCCGCAGGTGGCTTCGTCGCAAGGACTAGCATCGGTGATAGCTGAAAAAAAGTATGACAGAATCAGTTGTCAGCTTTGTTTTTTGCCCGATTACAAAAACCATGAAATTATGTGGAGGGTCATGATGCTCACGCGGACTTACAGCTTGGGCACCATGTACGTTTACACGCCCAATTAAGAACTACATATTTGTACTACTCGGGAAAATGTGCGTAAATACCGAGAATATGGGACAAGCCTTAATTTGAATAAGGGTCATTCGGGAAGAAGGCAGGCACAAAGTGCAAACTCCTGAAAACGCTGTTGCAGTTGGACAGCAACTTGTCGAACAGCCAATGGGAACCAGTTGCAGGAGGAATGGACTTGCACAAGCGAAAGGTGTCGGTGCATAATTAACTGTGAATTACGTAATGTGTAAATAATCGGTGGCCCCTGATATCTTATCCTGGACAAGCATGACAGAGGACAATCTCATTCAATGGTTTATCCAAAGTGTTACAACTGAGTTCGGATGCCCCATTTTCAAGACAATGTTGTTCAGTCATGCATGACAGGATGGACACCATCAAGGTATCATTAGAAAGAATACTACTTCTACTTTTCGGAGATCCTTATACATTATAATCATATCTCACGGTTTGGGCATATTAACCCCTTTCCTCGGGGTTTGGTTTTTTTTGGATACCCCGAATTTTTGTATAAATTCTGATCACAGTGCTACGCAGCCTTCTCATTTTTCTCTGTACATCTGTTATGGTTAAAATTGGACCCCATTCTTGGGAAATAGCACTAAAATGATTGGAATTCGCACCAATCGTTTTCTAACAAAACACTGCCCAGAGTATGTTATCCTGCTTAATTTAGTCCAATAGGTTTGGGTTTCTCCCACTTGGGAGGGGGGGAGCTCCATGAAAACATTGACAGCTGCTTCCATGAAAGGCATTGTTGGCAAGATCCTTCTGTACTTCATGGAAACCCCGGACAAGGAAGCTTTGGCGCTCTAGCTGAGAGTATTACAGTCATGATGGTTTGAATGTGCAACGTAACGACTTTGTGGGGGTCCATGCCGCAGGCCTCAGCTGCCCTTGTACTCGAATCGAGTCAAGTTCAAAATCAACCCAGTCCATGCAAAGTCAGAACAAAGTTTAATCAAAATCTTGTCATCGTTCGTCGACGTCATGCCTGTCAACGTCACCGTCGTTTTCTCCTTTCTTCGCTGTGACCTGTCTCCATTATTCTCCATCTGTTTGCCATCAAATTATTCGTTAAACTCACACTCGCAAAAGACGCCGGTATATCCCGTTGCGCAGGTGCAGAGGGCGCCCCCTTGGTATTCCTGACAATAGCCTGTATTCTGGCACGGGTTGGGATGACACGGGCCTGCCGGGGAAACGGCTTCTGTTATTAATCGTTTCCTCTACAGCTAAAAGAAAGAGGATGCAGGCTAATTATAATTTGGCGACAAGACGACAACATTAAGCTTTATTCTTTATCGCAGCATGACGGACGTTCCTTGCTCGGAAGTGGCTCATTACGAAACACACGTTTTAAGCACTTTTTTGCCCTCAGTTTAGAAACATGTTCAAACACCAAACGTTTAGAGCAAACAATAGCTATAATGTTTATGAATTAAACATTTATGTTTAGGAATTGGGTATATAATGTTTAGCTGTAATCGTAACATGTTACAGAATGATAGCAAGATAGTGATCAATGAGTTTAGAGTGTACCTTGAATACCACCTCGTCCCCATTCCTCATAATTCTAGGCCCACTTCGTGTAATATTTCGACCCGAATGTTATTGTCCTATGTCACTTGGCTCGATCCTGTAGATCTCACATGCCTGGCCTCAAAAAAGCGTACGTGCCGTATCATGCAATTTTTTTCAATAACTTTGGAGGCACAATCAAACTCATCGTTGACATTTACATATTTCGAACACTTGAGAAAATGTGTGAAATTATTTTTATAAATAGCTTTGTGTCAACAAGCGAAATCTTTGTCATGAAGAGATCTGTAGTTCTTACTGTTTGTTTGTGCCAAGACTGGCAGATGACAACGGTTACCCATAAACCCAGTCCCGAGGCAATTGCAGTACGGAGTCGAGCGGTAGAGGTAGCAGAAACCGTGCACACAGTTCTCCGTTGGACTGTTTTCCAGACAAATGCACAGGTTACACGCAACTATAGTCGTTTGGGTGAGCAGAGAAGAAGAGAACTTGGTTTATTTGATCAAGAAGGATTGACTTCAAAATGTAGACAGGGAGATTATACCTGACATGTTGTCATTTGAAGGAATTTAAAACACCACTATGGAAATGGTGACACCATATTTCCTTAAGGTGACGATTCTTTTACGGATGAACAAATTGGACAATAAATTTCAGGGAGAAAAATCGCCGATTTGCCCCCCCCACCAAAATGCTGATATATTACTTTGTTCCGTACGCAGGGTTTGCATCCAATGTGCAATTTACATTTCGACGAAGAACGACTGAGGCTTACTGTAACACGAACTCAGACATCGTGAAGATTTTTGTGATAGCGTCCCTTGAAAATGATTTGAAACTATGACGACTGCGTCATCGATTTGACCCACCTCCTTCGGTTCGAGTCCACAGTGTGGCTGCCACATAGAGAATGATAACGAGTTGAGTTGAAGTCATCATTACGCCAAAAGACCGATTGCTGTCTGAACCCTCCAGTGAGAATTCTGCAAGAAAATCAAGGGACAATTTTACTCATCTTTATAGGATACAAACTGACAGAGTAACTGTACCCCTATCGGCGGGGGTTTGGGCAGCACGAACGCATCAGGTTTTAGTCAACATAGTTTTTACTGAGTCAGTTGACCATCCAGCTGTAATTGTGCTTATTTTACGGCTTTATAATGTCCCATGTTAAAAGTTAAAAAAAAAGAACTTACTGTTAACTGTACAGCTCAGGTTGTAGACAGAAGGTGAGTGACATTCCAATGCTCTGAGGCTGAAATGGGTCATATGGTTTTGCGTTCGAAAATTTCTGATCCGATTTCATAATTATTTTACAAGCATGTCACTGTTTGTTCTCTCTGTTTCCACCCTTTTTGTCCTTCAAATGCCGTATGTGCCGCTTCAAAAATCCACTTCCACGATGAAGAGCTCTCCGCCCATATACCTTATGCCGACAGCTCAACAGGACTCAAGCACTGATGTTGTTCAGTTAGCACCCAGGTTTGCTCTAAAGAGACACGCCCCTTGTTTATGCACATATCACTGAAAGCAGCTTACTCTGTAATGCTGAGTTACTTCTCTTCAGAGAGCTGTCAATGCTACAGTGTTCAATATCTGCCATCGTGGATCTCGCATTTTACGTGTGTGTACGATGACACTCTCAAATTTTAGAAGGATGCGTGCACTGACTGACCTTCCTGACATCAGTATTACTGTTGCTTTAGCAGTCGACGCGAGATCTGTGGGGCAAGGTATGAGATGCGAATTCCGCGGGTGTGGGTACATGTGTGTGTGTGGGGGGGGGAGATCCGAAGTGGCAGACGAAGAACAGTGCCGTACAATATCGCTCTCACCTGACCCACTTCTGTGGCAACAGACATGGCCCACTTGGACAGCAACATGGCAAAATGAAGTCAAGATTTTAATCCATGGAACTAGCCTACGGTATCATCCTTGTATGTCCAAAACCGCACAGCATTTTGTCTTGCCATTTCTTCATAATTGACGACTGGGTATGCGATCATCACCCGTGAAATAATGCTTGCAAATTATCGCACAGATAGTGAACTGCAATTAGTTTTTTTAAACAATTCAACCCAAGAAACCTTCCTTCCAACAAAACCTACTTCTTACCCTTAATGGACAAATACTTCATATCATGTTAAAAAGGTTTAGTGAAATTGAAATCAATAACACAGTCAGAACAGATTGGGCAGTCAACGCAATATTTAACTCAGTACACCTTTTTAATTCTTTAGAAACGCAAAGTGACAAAAAACAATCATTTGCCGTGTGTAAGAGCCCAGGAAATGGGTTGAAGTTCATATTTAGGGGGAACTGTCAGCCGTATCATACAAAGAGTTTTACGAAATTTGCCATAAGAGGGCGCTCTGCTCGAATGATAGATAGAGCCTGCTTCCCACAGGATTATTGCGCAGAAAATGTAACAGGAAATCATTATGCATGGATAGCAGCAAACATTGAGAATTATCTTAGTCATTTGGGACCATTTCAGGGAGAATTTCGTCTCCTTTGTGTTCTGGTGACATGACGAGAATTTAGCAGAAGAATTTCAATGGCCCAGCATACAAAAGCAAGGAGTAGAGGCTACTCTATTATTTCTTAGCAAAATTGTTTCATTCCCACTAGGCCTACACACATCAGCTCAAAAAACCTAAAGTAACAGTCCGAAAGTATTTGAAAACAAACACTGACTCAGTTGAAACTGATGTGCAAGTATTTTCTATGACAGTTTCCATAAATCATTGCTTTTAGGTATAGTATAGGCGAAATGTTCATTTTAACAACCGGTGTTACATGCATATTAAAGTCTGAAAATCCGTAGTCATCTTGTTTATCCTTGCTTTCAGTTGTCTATGCTTGATGGCAACCACCTTCAGTCTGCAAATAGAAGACAACCAATCCATATGTTAGCATTGAAGGAAACTATTTATCGTCGATGCTTGATTGATGAGATTGATGATGAGTTTACGAAAACTCGCTTGGTAGAAATCACAATTAATAATTCACTTTCACAGACTTTTATCATGGGAGACTCATCGTGGAAGTGAAGAGAAGGCTGAACGAATTGATCAGAAATGATTAATTGCCTCGACTCCTCACACTGTGGATCGATTATTTTTCAGGCTCTACTTTTGGGCATTTCACTCTCCCCAGTTATACCCCCAGAAAACAGTCAAAGACACGCCCATGGTGGTCACTGTTTTAGTCATACTTGACAGTCGGTACAGTGTCCCCGAGAAAAAGAAAGAAAACATAACAAATGAATTGTAGAATTTTCGAATTTCCAGGTTTTCCAACCAAACGATCCTCTAAGGCGTATAAGTTTCTGCTAAATATTCACTGCTTGAATGGGAAAGATGTCAGAGGATGAAATTTTAAAGGGATGAAAATGAGCGACCTCTATGGGAAAAGAATTAAATTTTGAATGAGGAGACAAAAATGTGTCTTTAAAGACATCGGCACATTGGTTTTGTCTCGGACTCACCATTTCATTTCATTCTTTAACTGCAGTAGTAACCTGTTTGTATTGAGATGCATGTCTGCATTGGGCATGGATCTCTACCCAGGTCTTCAGCGGCAACCTGACAAGGAGTGAGGTTGGTCACGTCTGTGTGGAGCAAGGTTGTAAGGTGGGAAAGTAAAATATGGGCAGGTGTTCGATAGGTTTATAACTGTCGCCGGACTTTTTGCCTGTTAAATCCTTTCCTCATTTCTATTTGGCTGTGTTTATTGATTCAGATGAACATTCTACATGTGCTTGTGCAAACACAATCAATAAGTCAGTCCGTCGGTCGGTCGGTCGGTCAGGAAGGCTTGCAGTCAGTCAGGCACTCAATAAATCGATTGATTGATCCATCGCCACCGATTAGTTATTTGATCACTCCTTCGTTGAATTATTCGATCAGTTTGATATCATAATATTCCTGGGATATGGCAGGGTGTCTACATACCTTGGCAGGTGATGCCTCTGCGACCAGATACGCAGGTACACGTGAAGCTATTACCGAAGGCGTTGCAATACCCGCTATGCTGACATGGGTTTGGGTCACAGGGATCTTGAAAAAAAGACGTAGTAATACCAGATTTTAATCCTTCACAAAGAAAGTAAGTACTGATAAAACCCCCAAAAGAGATCTAATGTCATCGAGAAGAATTTGTCATTTAGGACATGAAAAAATTTCGTTTTGTTGTGTTGTTTACTTGTTTGTATGTTTTCTATCATTGTCCCTGTTATTTTGACAATGCCCATAAATTTGAGACAGGTAGTGAGGAACAGATATTAAGTTTGCACGCTGAGTGAGTCAAAAAAACGGCAAAACCTCATTGGAATTTACCACTTTTTTTTAGTGAGATTTAAAATTTAATTGTTAAGAATAACAATTTTTCATATCTGTGAAAAGACGGGCACATGTTTACGATTATTTATATTATAAGATGTGTTAAAATCGATTCATGTTTGGCAGGTCCACTTCTTCACAGGTCTTTGCATAACATGGAATTGCTTGTTTGTCATTCCATCCCATGATGCACTGCTAACTTCATTCAAAGTTTTTTGCCAAAGGGTATTGCTTTTTTCATTGGCCGACGGTTATGTTCTGTGCTCTCACGCGCGTGAATTCGAAATTGAACTAAATTAAATTGCAAATTGATGAGTACGATATCAAACTCTGACATTTTGTATAAGAGAGTTAAAGGCAGATGTGATTATTAGAAAAAGCTCACATGATAATAAATACGTAAATAGGAAAATCGCATGATGCAGTGAAAACATGAGAAATGCTACGACTAAGCCAAAATCAACGCCAAATGGGTTTGTTTGATATGGTTTAACATTAACATTTCTGCTTCACAACACTGAAGCTTTTTGTTAATGGCGATAGTCAGGCTATATAAAGTTATAGTGAGTATCTTAGCTCCTCCGCGCATGGGTGGATCCACGTGACTCAAGCATAAGGGCTTATGGTCCAAAGTTCATGGTCTTAATGAAATTGCAACATATTATATTCATTTCTGTCTTCAACTTCTACAGCTAATGCTAGAATTAAACAACAGATGTTGTATTATAGATATCTTATGCCACTTCAGTTTACAATTTGGCTTTATATTCAAGATTGTGTTTCACGTGAACCAAGCAAGGTCACTATACCAGCACCAATGTTGAAAATAATAAGATGGTAACCCCAAGAAGGGGTTTTTAATGTGTTTTTATATAGCCTCCCCACGCAGTGAGAGAAAGGGAAGAGTTCCTTAAGAAATAAGGCGCAGAAACATTATATAAAATATCTAATTCTGAAGAATGAAAATTCAATCCCTCCGATTAAAACTAAGGACAAGGGGAAATCAAGTGAAATTTGATTTGAATAATTCGAGATTGTACGGAACAATTGTACGGAAGCATAGGTGATCAGACTCAACCAATCACCTGAACTAAAACCTCGCACCCATGTACAGGTTCGACCAGCCCTGTTTTACTTACCACTCACGACTGGTCTATTTGGATCCACCACGTCGCAGTACGTTCCAGTGTAGCCCGTGTCACAGAAACAGAACGCTGTGCCACGAATGACAGCGCAGGTACCGTGGTTGCAGTCGAGGCAAAGACAGTTATCACATGACCCCGCGGCTAGTTGGTACATGAAAAAAAAGTGATATCATAGACACTGAGAAAAGGGTTTGTTTAATGTGAAAAAGAAATAGACGGAATTTCCGGGACCTGTCGAGGCACTTGTACTGGGTGGAAATATATTTTTTACATACAGAAACCGTGGCGTATCCCAAGCAATTCTTAACCATTCAGTATTGTTACTGGCTCGGTGGAAAGCAATGGGCTTGACTGCTAACAAGGAAGTTCAGCAGGTTTTCAGAAATATGGCGGAGGATAGGTCGATGTTCTATCCTCTTCTTTCCTCGCCAAGGAAAGAGTTTGACGAAGAAGTATCAAGCGTTATGACATTGAAGAATTGGCCTTTATTTTATATAATAAAAACAGCAAAGTCTCTAGTTTACGACGTAAAGGACAAAGACCTTGGACTACAGTCTTAAATTTGGCATCAGTGCCAAAATCTTGGGGATTTCAGAGCCTCTTGAGTGGGAAAATAAGCCGTGTTACGTCACAAGATGGCCCGAACCCGAAGTACTCACTGCTTTCACGGATAGCCACGACCAATAAAATTGCCACGAGAATCTTCATGTTGAAGTTTGTACCGACACCGACCTGCAAGAACCAAAAAACAGAAATCTCCTTGTTGTCTTTTTCCAACATTTCAACAAATTCAAGGAATAGTAGTCCTGTGTTCATGTCAGTGATTAACATAAAGGTAAACTTACCAGTAACTGCGTTTCACGTTTCTTGAACTGCTCTCGTCTACGATCTTCGTTTTACCCCCGACTAGTGGGACAAAAATTACCCTTTTATTGATCAAAAACCGGAAACGAGCATGCGTGACATGCTGGACTTGAACCCTTGAGAGTGCTCTTGACACATTTCCGGAGGTTTCCTTCATTGGCAACCTTGATGCGCAGTTAATTAGTACATTGGCTCTTGAAAGTTTAGTTGACCAATAGACAGGTACGATAATTACGCAGAATGTGGATGACCAATTACGTTGGCCGTTATTTGCACGGACGGCGCAGGGACCTCCTTTAGCACTGACCAATCAGAGGCGGGCTTTTATGCTACTTCCAGTACTTTCTCTCAAGGCTGCTTCCTGCACTTTATTGTGATTACGAAATGCCAAAACAATATTGTCATTACTACAGAAGCGTACAAGGGTCATGATTAAGTTTTTGTTTCTGTTCTGTTTTGCTTTTAATTCAAAATGTTACATGTATCTCGCCGCGGTGAGATATTACAGCCTATCCTCACCACACCAGTAACTCTCTCACTGCGGCGTCAGATGACGTCAGAGCCACTTTGTGACAGATGCAAGTGATTTCTAAGCAAACTGGTTTCCAATTCCGATTTTTCTTGTCATTTCCAATGTGAATCCTTTTGTCAACAAGTGATTAGATGGTCCAATTTAAAACCAACTCATTCCAAACCTTCAGTCAAGTTATGCTTTGCGCATAACAAAGTTATTTTCAATATTGTTACTTTCAACTTGACATAATTATGAAGAGTCTAGCGTTTTTGAGTCGTCAGTTTCAAACCTGCGAGCAGCACTGCAAGACAGTTACAGAGAATACGATCTGTTACAGAAAAAAGGTCGTAAAGTTAAGTTTATTTTTTTCCCCATTCTTGGCTATGTTTAGACTGGAAGACTCGAAGTATATCTTTTCCTCTCAACGAAAATATGTCTGAATCAGTGGCGTAGGAGGGGGCACCTCCCATGGACAGTTTGAAACTTTACAAATCTGTGAGCAAGCCAAAGTGCAAAGGCTTTCCGTGACCCTCTAAAAAAAAAGTAGCCTTGCCCGTTTCCCCTGGAAATGTGACGCCACTATTAAATCTGAACGTTAAAGGTTTGCAAACAAATTTGACTTTTCTATAACGGTGTTTATTTGTCACTAGTCTTCGACCTTTTATTGTCTAATACCTTGACATTCACGTCGACTTTTACCACGCTTTCCGCTCTCAGGACGCGTTTCCTTTATCTCGAGTATCCTTGCCATGTTGATGTCCTTTCACTTTTCCATGCAGTGACCAGTCTAAATATAAGAGCCCACTAGGATTAGGTTGACAAGTTTTAAAGCCCACTTCAGCTTGAGCGTTCATTGCGCAACATTCCAGAACCAACCAAAGAAATAAGACAGAAAACGGTTTCCGAAAGGATTGAAAAAAGACAACAAAAATGCAGTCCTCTGAAACCTCAAACCTGACGCAGGTTGAAATCTGTGAATTCGAAATGATTCTGTGTAAGTGACTTTGGGAGTTGTCTCTGGCCAGAGAGATTATTGTAGCGCAGTAAGGGTGGAAAATTGAACTTTCGGTCCGGGAGTCATGGTGTCGCGAGAAGAGGGTTTGCGCCAGAGCCGTTTGTATGTATTAAAGAGGGCGAGTTCAGGCCAACTTCAGACCGAGTCTTCCTGGATAAATATATCCGTTGCTTTTCAGCACGCCCTGTAAAAACCAACGTTTGTATGGGGATCACGCTGATGCTTGCGTCAGAAGAGCGCCATCTTGAGCTGGGAAAAGCCCATTAAAAATGCAGAGCGTCTAATGTTTAAAGACGAATCGTGAATGCAGTTCATGATAATCTGGGGGCATTTAAAAGCTGAAAAGAAAAGTGGACTTCTCGGTTGACAACTGGTCTGGAATCAACTGAGTAGGTTTTTTGGTATCACACTGTGACCTTCCATGTTACGCTTACGAACCTATTTGATCTAATTCAAACAAGAATGACACAGGCCGCTTTTTGTCAAAACCGGATATTGTCCTATCCAGCAACAAGAAGGCCTCGACTTTGTGGTCACATAGGACTTCCTTTATTTAACAGATAGAAAAAGGGCAAAGCCTCCTTAATGTAGGCCTGTGAAACTATCGAGTACGTCAAATCATTCAACAAAGAAAATTCCTTCATTTTTACACTTGATTCGAGAAATTGCATAATCAGGTTAACGAATCTCTTGTGACAACCACAGGATTGGTAGGTTTGATACGTTATGACAGTTCGCAAAAGATAGACAGCATTGAGGGGTGCTTCGGTGCATGTCAGAGCTGTGCACAGAGATAGTAGCGCCAACTTCAGACTTTGGAACCCAAAGGGCTGTTCATTATGTGTGCAGAACTGCATGCAGTTATTGTGTTTCTATTGGTCATGTACACTGGCGCATGATCCACCATTTTGGATCCAACAATAATTGAGACACTCATGTCGCAACTTTTTACATAAACAGCCCTGGTGCATTTGAACGATTGGAGTACAACTGCTAAAACGCTTTACTGTACTGAAGCAAAGAAATCATGGGTCATGTCCTTGATTACAAAGAAGAATTCCGTGGACTACAAGCTAGGTTTTAAGGATAAAAAAGTTTCAAAGAGCAAACCGGGTCGAGACTTGCCAGCATGATTGACTGTTTAAAATGACTTTTTATTGAAAACCTGCACACATTTTTCGCGACCATTAGAAAAGCGGTCATTACATTTTTCCCTTATTCGAGGATCATACCTAAGGAAAAGAATGTTAATTCCTATCAGCATGCACCATCACAAGGCAGTCATATCCAGAAATAAAGACTAAAGAACATTTCATCCATTCAATTATTTTTCTTTGTAAAACCAATTTAAAAGAAACAAAACTTCCACATTATGACAATTTCATATTCCCTTTCCAAGTAAAATCATTAATGACAATGAAGACAAACCGCAAACGTTTTGTTTCTGAAAAAAATACTTCACGCATCTTGCTTTGTGGTTAAAGTTTTAAGACAATCTTAAGTCAAAATACTCTTCATTATTTTTTTTGTAAGATAGGGACCCACTTTTATGCAAACCATTTTTTTTCTTTGAAAGACCATTTGGTGTAGCGATCTTACAAAGCTGGTTTTAGTGGAAGAAAAACATTGGGGACATTACAGAGGATCTCAGAACCAAAATTTCCAAATTTACAGTAGAAAGATTTTAGTATTTACAGATGTATGTACAATTTTTTTTTTACAATACTTCAGTGCAAGAGAACAGATTATGTTTGTTCTATGTTAAGGATTAGCTCTACAGAAAATAAAATTTCCAAATCGAACAGACTCCTTGTTCATTGGTGAGACCGCAGACAACGGAAGTGTGGATCGGGAAGGCTGGTAATTCGGCCTTGACGTCTTTTGGCACACCCTGGTGTTGTGCTAACAGTGTTGAGGAGTTTCGCGGAGGGAAACCAGACGACCAGGCAGCCGAGTGCATGAAGTTAGACACTGTCTCATGGAGGAGAAGGAGAGGGCTCAAACGATGCAAGACTACGACAGAAGCTGAGATGCAACCATGGCAACAAGAAGAAGCAGGATGCTGACCTTTAACGTACAACCTTCATGAAAGAAAAAGAAACGTAAAAGTTAGTAATATCACGTGCAAAAGTGAGCTGGAAGGTCTATCTCACTAAATAGCATCCAAGTATGTTAAGTAATTCTTGGGAGGAAAGTCTTATTAAAGGTGAAACTGGTTCCCACCTGAGCAGGGTACAAGTCCAGCCAGGTTCTCAGCGGTATCCCCGAAGGCCAGGCAGTAGTAATTATTGGAGGTGACCGAGTCATCGTAACTGGCCCCAGACGCCTTCGACACCTGCACGCAGGTGTACTGATAGGTGCTGCAGGTGGCCGACGGAATGTTGATCATAGCGTTGGTGCCTGTGATGGTGATAGTAGAGCCGGCAGTGATGCCAGCCGCTAGGTTCTCAGCGCTGGACGTCTCTGCCACGAACTCCACCGTGCTGGCGTCTACGTCGGTGGGATCGGAGTGGCTGCTAATCAGGAAGGTGAGCGCGAAGTTGTCGCCGGAAGACCGGGCGGCGATGTCCGTGCCGCCGGCGTTACGGACCACGACGGAGTAGGTTACAATGTTGTCCACGTCCAGGTCAAAGATCAGGTTAGAAGGGCTAGTGACGGACAGTCCATAGGCCTCGATATCTGCAGGTGACAGACGGGAGTACGACGATAACATTACATGCCGTATTATCGGATCATCAGTCTGTTTCTCACGAATAACAGTGGTAGTCCCAAGTCTCGAAAAGAAAGGTCTAGAACAAGGGGCTAGAAGCTGATTTTTTATATTTTGTATATTTGAAAAGTTTAGTGAGTTGTGAGGAGACTAACGAAATTTACGTCATCTACGCCACGGTCAGATGAATTCTGATTGGCCACTCACCACTCGCCGACGCCACTGTCGTCAAGCTCTCTGCTGCCGTCGTGGCTGCCGCTGTCGTAACGTCGACAGCTGTTGTACCAGCAGCGGCGGTCGTCATATCCATGGCCATCGTGACGACTTCAGTCACAATGTCCGTGGCGACGTCTGTGCTCGCGGTGATGAGTGTGGTGTATTCTACCGCCATGGAATCCTCCGTCACCTCGGCCGAGGATCCTGCAACAGATTGCGGTAAAATAAGTCACGAACCGTGAGCCATGATCAAGTAACTGAAAGATCCCAGTATCATAATAGAGGTTTGGTATCTGTTCCCCTGGGTAACTTTGTAATAATTGGATCTTTGTTTCCACTGGATGCAAAAGGATTTTTGTTAGTCTTTGTTTTAACTGATACAAGAAGCCATAAACAATGGTAAGAGATTGTGGGGTTGTTTTTTGGGTTTTTTTTTTATTACCATTGCTTCTCAATGACACCAAAAGAAGAGGTAAGAGACGTGTGCAATGGGTATTCTTGAAACGACAAAAATGAAACTGACACGAATGTTTCACTCGTAACAAAAGAATCTGAGACTTGGACTTCAAAACTGTCACACTGAAGGTCTCTGTCTGCCCAGCTAGGTCCATTGCGCTCGTGCGAAAACTCGTTTAAATCTGCTGAACATCTCAGATAGAGGAGATGATTTAAACTGTTTGACTCCTCATCAAAGAAGGGTTAGCAACTCACCACTGAATAAAAATAGCATTGCCAAGAGGGATGTCAATATCCTTGCGTTGGACGCCATCTGCAAAACGAGGAAAAAGAAACCATACATCAAGAATTATCAGAGGTTTAGTTTTTCGATAAAACAAATTCCAATTCGGAAAGGGATCATAATTTCTAGGAAATTAAAAGAGAAGGAAAACCCGGGGAAATCAATTTTGATGGTTACCCTTAGGTTGAAAATCAACGGGTGGGTATCAACGGATCACCCCCAGCGCCCAGAGGAGTCGATCCACCTGGAGTGCCCGTGAGGTGTCGGGGCATTAGAACCCCTTGGTAACCTTTGTCCGTGTATTTACTGGCGTTGTGACAACTCAGCAAATAGCAACGTTCAAACATCCTCTCTCCGTTGCTAACGCACGGCATCATTAACCCAATGTTGTCTGCGGTTTACCAAGAGGCAAGACATTAAAACTGCCCACGTCACTGTCTTATTGATACGCCAAAGGCCGTAAGACAAAATGCAAACAATCTGTGCAAGTGGATACCACTTTGTCTTTCTATTTCCCCGCTCCCATGAACACGTTTATTTATGTTATTTTTGGTTTAAAGGTATTTTACTTTTTTGAGGGTTGTAAGATGCTTCCAAAAATAAACTCACTTTTGCTGTACTACGCGAAGTGCACCACAGAACAAAATTCGTGAGACATCAGCGTTTTTTTTATTGATTTGGTGTCTTTATGTTGACCATTGTTTCCAGTCGTTCTTTCAATACAAGGGCAAAAACAAACATTTTAGACAATAGTTTGGTCCTTTTTTAGGTAACTGAAATCTCACTGCCACAAATTTTTCTTTCTTTGTTGATTTCAATATTTTATAGAAACACAAAATGCAACTTTCTATACCTGTGGGACATCTGGTCACTATCGATCTGAGACAAAGCAACCTTTTGCCCGAGAAAGTTCGGGCTGTTGATTCATAGAACTCTTGTGGGATCGACTGAACAGTTTAACTCAAGTGAAGTGGCCAAAGAGCAAAAGATTAAATCAAGTCAGGTACTAAGGACACCTTGCCCTGAGGGTTTGCACGTCGGACCACACCAGGCCGATCAGGGCCGGTCTCCAATTAACCTGCTCACGCGGTGTACATGAGGTCATTATCTGTGACTATCTCGTCTTCGGTTTGCGCTTCTTCTTTCCTATTTCCCAAGTCATCGACACCATTTTGTTAAAGACATTTTAATAGACCATGCAAATGGACTTATGTTGTCAGGAATTTTTACCACTATAACTCTTGGATTCTACATCCTGTCTCAACCAGCCTGTTGATATTAAGGGTGAAATGACTGAGATTACAGCCATCTCTTTAATGCTGAAACATTTGGTCATTTCAACTCATCGACGCTCTGAATTTTGGAACTGTTAGATTTCAAATCAGTAAGCAGGGTTTTTTGTCTGATAGAAATTATTACTAGCTTTACTTTTTGGCTGTGGAATCCTATCGACTTGAAGTAAGATTTTGTTAAATGCGCAGTAATTATTGTTTTAATTAAAGTGATGAAAAATTCTATTTATTTACGCAGCGTGCACTTACTTCATTCAAATCTTGCTTCTCTTGTGTTCCCGTTTTCCTGATGTCTGATTCCAATGCCTTGAGTGAGTCTCGGGTCCAGCGATATGCTTCCGTGCCGCGTCTTCCCAGCGAATGTCGCAATCAACGAACCAAGCCGGGTTCCGACCGGCGTGATGTACAATGTTTGGCCAAGCCACCTTAGAGACAGTGTGTGGTTGCTTAGCGGCAACTTAGCAACCCGAAAGCTAGGAATCTCGCCATCATGTCTTGTGTGCACTTGGCAAACATACGCCTGTAATTTAGCACCCCCAAAAGAGACCATTCGGCCATGGAGCTCTCATGTAAGCCTAAAGGAACAACTTACAAGTTCTTCTCCATTCTCAAAAATGATAATTCTTAATGAGTTGATAGATTCCAAAACCTTGGTATTACTCCAATTACTCCAACAGGTGTCAAGGTAATTTCATACTCACTCTTCATAAAAAGAACTCGGTCACTTTGATCTAATTTTCCACCAGGTTGTCGTGGCGCACTGCATATGGTTCGCCGATTGAGACAGAATACAGAACACTATTAGGACATAAAGTGTGACCTGACCTCTGCAAAAAGTGCAGATTTCTCTTCAGAGAATGAAATTTGTCAGGCGATCTTTTTAAAGAGTTTTTCTGAAATGGCCTCTGTGCAGAGTTTTACAAGCTGTTTGGTTTTAGTGCACTGCTCAATTGTCAGTGATCGAGTCGATGCTGTTATGGTGAAAGAGCATCATAATTATGGATGTTAGTTTAGGGGCTAGCAGGCCGCCTAGAAATTATCCCTATAAACACAGGGTGTAGTGGGCAGAATCATAGCACATCAGCCAGGTAGAGTATGCAACTCGGGATTATTAGGCGTCGAATCAGGGAAGAGGTTTTTCTACCAGCACAACCCAATCTCTTTCTAGCCCCACCCACGTAAAAGGATGGCTGTAATGAACTATTTTCCCCAAACTCAGTTATAATAAGGAGATATAGTTGTACCATGGTTTGTGGGTTCTTTTGCGGGCAAATTTGACATCACTTTATCCCCAAAGGCTTCAAGTTGAAGGCGAGATGTAAAAGTATTTTGAAGTCTTATTGCAAGGATGCCTGGAAGACTGTTTCTTATCTCGGGAAATGCGTTAGTTTTTTTTTTCTCTATTTCCTTTTAAGGAAGAAACAAGATTTTAGTAGGCTTCCATGCCTACTCAGAAAGCCCGTTATCAACGACAGACGTGGTGCAATGCTTCGTGGAAGGAAATCCATGCACTACACAGTGGTCAACAGAAATCTATTAAGCAAACATTGGTGAAAAGCTTCACTTTGGCTGTCAAGTATTTGGGCCTCTGCAAACATTCCACACCGTGGTCAAAGGGGAGTCATGTCTCTAAACTAGCAGAGAGGACACACAGGAATAGACAGTCAAACTAAAACAAACAAACTAAACCAACAAATATCCACGGTGCCGAATGTGATGCATGAGGACCGAGGCTATGTTCAGAAGTTGGGGCTACGGCTGGAAATGGCCCGTACGCTTACGGAAGCCGCTAAATAAGGGCTTCTGTCTCTTCCCATTGACGTCGTGCTTGTGGTGCGCCACTATCGCGCGATCGCCAGCAACCTTGAGTCGCCCACGGCTTAATTCATATATCAATCAGCTATGCAAGAAACTAAAGGCGGTACATGCACCGCCTAGTTACAAGAGCCGTACCTCCAAGCATCTCTGTTTTTTACAGACTGTGCAAGTTGACCTAAAGACAGCATTAAAAAAAGCAAAATCAAGAGTATTTTAGAATCTGGGAGACTCTCTATAGGCAAGATAGATCCTCGACGTCCTGTCCTGAACATTCAGATACTTTTGAGACCACTTTTCTATAGGCGAGACCCCCTAAGACCATCACAAGACTCAGCAAGACTATCAAAAGACAAACTGAGACCTCCAATCCGAATTTAAGTCACCTGCATTGCTACAAGAGCTTTCATTCGTCATTTTTCATTATTCCCCCTATTGTTTGTCACTGGTCTGATGTCTTGTGACCGATCTTGTGCATGGTTTTGTATCTATTCTTGTAAAGGTCTTATGATGTTCTCGACTACAAAACTGTTTGAGATGCTAACACACTGATCCTTTCATCATGCTCGCGTTCAAAATGACGCAACTCACTGAGCATCGTGAGTTTCGTTTCCAGAGGTAACGCCATTGCTGGCTGGCTGTGTAAATCGATCTGTTCTTGCTCCCTAGCAACAGCAAATCATCGTGCACGTGGACAAAAACCGCCACCAAGCGTCACATGAACTTCCTCAGCCGGCCCAGAACAGCTCGATAGAGGTGTGAAGGTGAACGAATGGGCCGCTGAGTCCATGAAGATGACAGTGCGCCACCACACGAAACTTGAACATTAAGCATTGAGGACAGGCTTTTATACACAGGAGGCAAAGCTGTATTTAGAGTAGCGTCAACTTCAGACTTGGGACCAAAATGGCTGTTCATTATCTGTGCAGTTCAGCATGCAACTATTGTGTGCTAACTACGCTGACGCCAAATCCACCATTTTGGCTTCAACAATAGTTGTGACACTATGTCCAAAGTCTAGCTCTGGCATTGGGAAGTGCTTATCGATCCTACCCGATAACAGACCTATAAGGAACAGTTTATCACATCATTCTTGCTCTATGATCACATTAATTAAGTCAATTTATATATCATTCGGAAAGTCTTATGAAGAGGTTAATTATCTGCACTCTTTTTTATATTTGACTGACACAGATTGTTTCAGCCAGCCTTAGGTACCGGGTTAACGACGATTTCAATGTCACAAGCTGAAATCAGTTTTGTGCTGGCGATAGGGTGTGATTCCAGGCACGCTATATGATGGGGAAAACGCCTTAGGAGAATTTTTTTCTTCAAAGTGAAGTCAAGTCCAACATTTCAACAGGGGAAGCTTCCATTAGGTGTGACGACCATTTTCCCACGGGAAAGTACATGATGTGTATCCCAGACAGTTGTGCAATAAAACACACGCTTCAAGGCAACATCATCCAAGTAGCTTGTTAGTGCCCCCTCTATTGATGACCAATAATCAGGTAGTCGGAGATTTTGACAGTTACGTTGTTACGAAATTTGATAAGAGTAGAGATCATTGTAATAATTCATTCAAGTTTACGGCACTATTTAACATCAGTACAACACATTTTATAATTTAAAACTGATACGCATTCATTTGGGGGTATATTCCTCCACTGAAGATTCCAAATAGACAAATAAATCAGGCGTATTGTTAAAAAAACAGTGAATTTCCAATAAGAGGTTGATAGATAAATTTGCTGGCACATATGGCGTCTTTTTTTCTCAACCTCTTTCCAGAGTCCTGTGTTAATAGTTTAGTTTATAGTCTATTAAATTCACGATGTTTCGCAGCTCAACGGCCGAATTGGACATCAGTACACCATATTTAAAATTAGACAATAACAAAAATTATAAAAATATAGAATACCCTTTTTATTTCATTATAATTAGAATACAAACAAAACTAACATTCACTATCTACATGACAACACATCACAGACCAAACAATTAACACAATAAAGCCGCTCAAGGATATATGCTACAAGCCTGAGTCAAAATGATGCTAAGTCCGCATTACGAATTCAAAAGGTTGATATAGCAAGTAATGGGACTAGTTTGGAATCGATTAGTTCTAGTTGGAATAGTGGTAATAGTTTTGTTATTTCGTAAACTTCTACCGTGGCATTCAAACCTGAAAGGGGCAAATAATGATTTGGTACGAGGATTAACCTGGGTATTTGTTTGCAAAGCTACGGCAGTGATCTTCCCTTCTTCTAGCTAATGTGTCCAATCCAAGGGTTGCACAGGCATTTTCATAATGCGCATAATCCTGTCCTAAAATAATTTTACTAACCCTTTTTTGAAAACGTTCTATTACTTTGCTTCATTGTCAACCCAGAATGCCAAATAACATCAGGGTATTCTAGCACTGGTCTATTGTATCCACTAAATACAACTCACAATTCTTCCCTGTTAAACCCAAACTTTTCAGTGTATGGAACATGAACAGTTTTTGATAGGCCTTGGTCATCATCTTATCAACCTGGGAGTTCCATTTTAGATCATTCTGTATCCAAAGTCGTAACATTTTCGCTTCAGAAACGGTCCTTAATAAACCACTTGCCAACCTCATTGGCCAACTTTTTTTTCTACGAAGAATCTTCCAATTTTTGGATTTAAAAAATGTAACAACAGCACACAAAAGTAAATCTTGGCCTGAACGCAGTGAAACCTGTGGGGAATCTCCCCGAAATTCGACCGAGATAAAAATAAAAATTCTAGAAGGAAAAGTTAAGTTGTCAAATTACTTCAATCAGAAAGATTCTAAATCACCCAATTAACGAATACACTTAGCAACTGACTTTGAATCTACTCCCCGTCAGAGAGAGAGAGAGAGAGACGGTGGGGGGAGATACTCCCCTGTGTACCTACATTTTTTCTCCATTCTGGGCCTTATGGCAAGGTACTTTTTTAATCTCACAGATACAGCGTCTCAACCGCCGTTTATTGGCATATTACCGTTTCCACTGACTGCACGAGTAGAGAGCTAGTCTCCTCATCGTACACGCGCTCCAGAGACACCACATTAACTCCACGGGACAAAAACCTGATCATGCTCTGCGGAAGCTAGATCGATCGCGAAATTGCTGAACAAATAGAGACTGGCGCAACACCACAATTATTTCTAATCAAATTGTAATTTGCAACCCTGTAACCCTTGGTTAAAATATTAGAGTCGATTAGCCTAACAATTACGGAAGTAATCGGTGCTGTCATATCATTTATTTTTTGAGGACTTCCGAAAGGGATGAGAGATTTGCTTTCTGAGAATTACATCAGAAAGGAGGAACGGATTTGTGAAGTACCCCAATATAAGCGAAACTCAAAAGTCTGCTCGGTTGAGAAAATCTCAATCCCAAACAAATGAGCTCTCAAAAAAGTACAGGGCGTTCGAATATTGGCTCAAATTATGTTGACTTGACAGCACATTTAATGCGCCCACGCAGTGTTATTCGTCTCCTTAATCACTCCAGCTTGATGCGGAGATTGCAGTCGGTCGCTGCGCCTGCGCGTTGCCATGGGAGCGGTAAACGGCATGGCGAGAATCCGCGCCCCGTCCCGGAAAGCGCGGAGCGGGGAATATTTGACGGGCTGGTAAATCATTGACAGATCTCGTCCGGTCGGTGGCGAAGGGGAGAGCAGTGATAGCGAAATGCACTGATTGAGAGAGAAAACATGGCTGACGAGGACGCGTAAGCATCATTCTGCAGCGACATCGGAGCGTCGTCAATTATGGTAATGTACCGTAGTTTGTTGTTTGTGGACGGACGATCAGGACTGCTTTTCCCGCTGTTTTTCTTGATGAAATAGTAATTGATGATGCTGCTCAGCCTGTGCGCACCAAACTGAAAACGTTTCCCTGGCAACCAGTTATCCGTTGGACTTCGGTTTCCGGCGAATGGATGGTCCCATAAAGCATGCTAGTTTGGTTTGTTCCTTGATCAACATGGCTGTCCCAGCAACCTGCACGTATTTATGTTTAAAATTCTAATCGATGTCATATTCAAGCGCGCGTGTTGAGCCTATACAGTTTGTGTTAGAATAAATTATGCCAACCACATGTCGCAATATTTAACGGATGAAAGCCGTCATTTTTTACACTTAAAACATGGCCTGGCTATTTACTGTGAACTATTGATCTCTGAAAAGGCAAAGTTGATATGCAATGAAATGCAGCAATTTGGTAATCAAAATAATATTTGTACCCCTCACACATAGGTGAGATTACCAACCAAGCTAGCCTCTGATTCGGCAAAAGACGATGACCTTTCTTGACCTCCGTGACGTCATTGCGCGTTATTTTCTTTTCTTGTGCGTGCTTCCAAGGCAACAACCACTTGGGTGATGTGTTAGCACAGCATCAACATTCCCCAGTGAAGTAGTGGAAAGAGCCAACCTAACCTGCCACTTCATGCAGTGCAGAGCACCTCTAATCGCCAGGGTCTAAGAGCTTCGCGCAGAAAAAAAAGTAAAGGGATTCAGCGATTACACCAGAGAGGCTCTCCATCTTTTGTGAACCGTTAACCGACGACATGTCGCCTCTTCCGCCCAGGGAAGGTTTGATTGATTGATTCGGCGCCATCTGGTACGGTTTACCTTTGCACCTACGCCAAAACAAAAAGGGAAGGACACGAGCCGTCACCATGTCTGAGCTCAGAGACAGAGAGGGGAGAGGCAACCGAAACAGCGGCGGCGGCGGCAGCAGTAACGTAACACCCTCACGATCTGAAGTCATGGAGAAGACACTAGGCGAGCTACGGGGGAAGGTCACCGAAGTCACCGATGAGTCCTTCAACAAGGCGTGGGACCGGGTGTATGGTAACAAAGAGTACCGGCCTTCATGGGTGGGGAAGATCACGGACGGGGGACGGCAACGCGGAGGGCGCGGACTACCCCCGCCAAAGCCACTCTATGTGCCCGGTGCTGGCATACGGCCAGAGCCGGCCGCCGCTCAAGGGTCGACGGGGCCCGCCCATGACAAGGCGCTGAGGAAGATTGAGGAGGAGCCGCCTCCCAAGCCGAGGCTCAAGCCCCAGAAGTCACACGAGGAGATCAAGTCCAAGCAGTACGCCGGCATCCCGGAGCAGTTCCGGGCCAAGCATGTGCCCAGCCCGCTGAAAATCGGTGGGAAAGTCGTGCCCCAAGAGCAAGAATTGGACACCTGGAAGGATGCCATTGCTTCGGATGAAGTCAGCGGTGACGGCAAGCCGGTGTACAACAAAGTGGTGAAGCAGACCAACATCACCGGCTGGATGGACAACAATAACTACTGGGAGCCCAAGACGACTAGTCTCACTTCCAACCTGCCACCACCGCCCCGCAGACGGCATAAGCCCAGGATTCAGAACCACATCGTCACGGCCAACTACGACATGGTGGGCAAGTACGAGAACAAGGTCCGGCGACAGGACTTGAAGATCGGCGCCCAGGAGCTGCCGGCCGAGAAGGAGCTGAAGACCTGGGGAGAGGATCTGGAAATCCCAGATGATTTGGGGGCGACTGATTACAGCCAGGAGGACGCCAAGGTTCTAGAGACGGCCGGCAGCTCGCCTCGTCGACAGAAGTGGAATGCTGTGCTGAAACACTCCAATGTCCCCGGGTTCTTCACCCACAATAACTACTGGAAGTAAACCAGGACCTTCCTTTAAAGAGTCCCCGCTAATCATCTTCCAATTGTTGACAGCCGACGTAACGATGAAAACACAGCAATGAGCGACGATTGTGTGATGAAAATCTACCCTTGGCAAAGCAATGCAAAACTTATAATCGATCGCAAACGAAGCGTTTCGGCATCTGAAGTGGTCTTTGATGTCAACGACACTCCAGTGTGTCCCTTCTTTGAATGATAAAAAAGGTGGCTGAATCGTTTGAATAACTATGATTTGACCTTTGACGGCTTAACCTAAATATACAGCGCCCTCTGTTCACTTCCAGGGTCACAGTACGTCGTCTTTCAATAATCTTCAAATCACTTCGCGTAGTTCTCTATTCGTAGCGCTTAAAGTTTTTGTTTTGCTGCATCCCTAATTTTTAAAACTTGCCACAGCGAAACTTTCAGTAAAAGAGTGACAAATGGGACGGCTTGGTTGCACAAACAAGTCAGTCCGTCGCTGTCCTTATTTTGAACAAGTCAGTCTGTCGCTGTCCTTATTTTGAGCATGTGCTTGGTTGCGTTACGAGACACAGGACTTGAAGAACACGCCGTTAGACTACTGCCTCAAGTCACGTAGCACCATATGGCCGTGTCCGAAACGGGCTTCCAGAGCTACGGCTGGGTCTATTGTCTGCGTGTCGACGCGTATTTCCAATGGAGTGGAGACCTAGACCTAGCTCTAGGCAACAGATTTGACGCAGTCGAGCTCGGCTGGACTGATCTTGACACGGTTTCTTGTTCTCGCGCTCGAACGGCGGGAACACGAACCCAGAACACTGTTCTTGGAACAGGACCACGCACCACCTCCTCGTCAGGGTTTTACAGGAACACACGGAAAAACTCGTGAGATTTTGATTTTAGAACAGCTGCAAAGTAGAGAGATGGCTTCCAAAGCCAGAGACAAAGGGAAGTTTTGCAAAAATAACATTAATTATTTTCGATAACACGGGAAAGAATGTCCCAGTTTAAATAGAAAAGAATTCAGCCCATCCAAACATTAAATCTCGTGGCCGCCGCCATGTTGCATGTTGCTTGCCACTAACCACCAGCAATAACCGGTCGTTTGTTCCTGGCGTTCGAGTAGCTGACCACAAACAAAAAATTGAGCTGTTTGAACTCGGCCATCATGATGGCAACTTTACCAGCCTGTCTTAAATGCCTTGATGCCAACAGAGGGCGCCGTATATAAACTCGTACCACTTCAATACTTTGGTTGTGTATACTAGTGTCAATATGCTGACAGATTCGCTTGTACATATCCAACTGATCCGTATGCAAACATTTATGTCAACTCGAAAGTGCGTTGTGAAAGTACGTTATGTACCTAGTTAGTTATTCGATAGAATGTTTGATTTCAGAGTCAATCTAAACTTAACAACTTCAAGTAATAGTTTTAAAGAGTAATGTGTAATTTTATAATTGTCAGTTTCAGAGATTTTGCCGGTATTCCTTTTCGCTCGGTTCGGCTGTTTTGTTACTTTCCTGATGAAGTTGTTGCCTTACAGTATCCTACATAGTTACGACAGAAGAACTAGTTTTTAACGGACGAATCGCGTCGAAATCATACGCCAATTTATCACGGCAGCGGATAATTTAAAATCGGGGTTTAATTCAAAGATTGAAAAAAAACTAAAAACTACCAGTATGAAATAACACTTAATGAGTAAATGACGAAACGTCGAGAAATTATCATGAGTTATAGCAGTTACTGGCCGCCGTTTGAAAGGAAACCGCGGGGTTTCTCAGCTCTAGCTGTGTGTCGTTAAGTTCAGCTATATCCCCTTCGGCGTCACCGACCAGTTTCCGTACGCTGTTGAGCGATGGAAGTCCCGTATCCTGACCGGTTCAAACTTCCATCTGGCGGTAGAGTAAGTACCATGGTGCGCGGTGCCTGTCAAAAACACCTGCTTAAGTGAAAATGACGGACCTGTTTCAAAGGGTGCGAATGCCTTAACCCCTCGTTTTCCATTTTTCGTTTCCGTTCTTTACCACTCTTTCCGCGGAGCCATCTCGCTATTATTAGCATTGTACCGTTTTTTGAGCCAAAATCGCATGTGCCAGATTCCCCGTGAAAACATCTCACATTGTCCATCTTGTCGTTCGCACACAGTTGTGGACCATGCTACATCTAATAATACTAGGACAATTATATACCGGTCCCCTTTCAGTTCAAAGTCTTGCTGATAAATGAACGAAGCGTCAGTGACGGATATTTAGGCCTAACTATGATTTGACTAGCCTATACAAGGCTGACAATACTTAATTACAAAATCTGGAGACAGACTTTGCCCATCATGCGAACCCCGCAGCTCGGGTGTTAAACTAAATAGTCACACCACAAGCAGCTTTTCGTAATGAAGGAAATATCAATTGAAAAGACAGAAAAACAGACCGAATAATGGGGATTTGTTTAAAGCAGCATGCCGCATTATCGCGGTATAAACCTCATGGGTAATTCACTGTAAAAGTTGATTTCAGAGCTGTAAAAAATACGCGCCCCCAGATAGTGAATGGCTCAGACATACTGTGTCAACCCACCTAGCTCACAATTATAACAATCTGACATCTGAAAATCAAAATTCAAGCGATTTTTGCGATGTCTGAAATGACTGTAGGCGTCTGGATGAGTATTATTCCCTCCAAGAGAGGCTTCATCTTATCTCATGCAGAATTTCTTTCAATGTTTTAATGTTTTGAAATACATTGTTGAGAGCCAATTTTCAAAGCCAGTATAGGCCTAATAACTCGCAATAATAAAGTAATAACTCGTATGAAATGCATTTCAAATCTACTCTAGCTTTTAAACGTACAACCAATTGAACGGAAAACAATCATTCCTTGTGCAAATAAGGAAATCACCTCACATACTTAAGCCGACGCAAATGCCAAGTCAGTTGCTGGTTGAAACCAAGACCTTAAGTTCACGATTACAATTCTTAATGCCCAAGTCATTTTGTGCACTCAAACTAATTTCTGTTTTTACTTCAGGCAAAACATTTTGCAAAAGGCAAACAATTATTATACTCAGGATTTAGATTATTTGAATCCTAAAATATATTGAAATGGCAATTCCCAATAATGAGAAACAGTTACAATACGCGTGCGTCAAACAAGTTTTTTCGTCCATTTTTTTTCCAGAAAAACCTTATAAATTTCACATCCAGTAAAAAGTTGTACAGGCTTCGTAAAACAACATCGCGGCCGTCATCAAGTCAATAGCACGTGCAGTGGTTTGAGGTAAAGGAGACGGGTAAATTCCACACGTAGGCACGGTAATGGTGGAAGATTTAACACGCCTGTCCGCGGTAATAAAGAGCCGGACAGGAATTTTTTCATCAAGCGAATGAAATATCCGGCCATATCTCACCGCCGAGAGAATGCAGTACAGTAATTTCATCGCGGCATAGACCCATTCATATCTCATGAGTCAGTCAACATTATGTGGTCAAATTAAATGCTATTATTAGCAATAAGAATACATAACTTAGCATCAATGGACAAAAAGTTTTCCAATTTAATAACACTCCAAACTTGATGGCTCCGTGTACCAGTATATAAACGCATTCTTCATGGTTGACACGATCGTCTTATCGCACTATCAACGTTGACTAAGCGCTCGTCCACCGTTACGAAAAAGCTATCTTTCGTAGGTCTGTCATTAAATTTATAATGTACTTTTATCTGAACTTACGAACACGTCCACAGGGAGAAAGCTCTATTTCAAAAGAACCAATTAATTCTCAAATGAAAAGTTGCATCCGACTGTTTGCTTCAAATTTGCAGATATGAAAACATACATGGTCACAGCTGTTTGGAATTCAGATATAAAACCATTTCTGCATGGATGGAATAATTACTCTCCACTTCTTGTAGATTATATTGTAAAGAACATCGAGATAGCAAACAGTTTGGTTGGTGATAGTTTACACAATATGAGGAAATATAGAAAAAAGAAAGTTTCATGTGTTTTTGCGAATGCTTTTCTCTGTTATTATAATTCTTCCGCACGGCGTAAGTACGGACTTTTTCTCGCGTTTTGTTTGCTCATCAGTCCTGATGTAGATTTATTGGTCTCTGCTTCCTGTCCAAGTAGCCATTGCTGGGCCAATCGGAATAATGTTTGGAGAGCCCAGAGTCTGACAAATGACTCCAAAGTACGATAAATTATACAGCTCGATCCGCGGCGGCACGATTGGTTTACCGCACCCGGAGAAGCACCTCCCGCCGTAGCTAGGCACGCTTGACGGTAGCGTGACCGTCCGATGGTCCGCCGAGGACCTCTTCACATCCTTGGGAGACTGGCCTTATCGCTGCAGATAAAACACAGAGCCCTGGATCAATACTTCGGTTACCCCCGACGAGCTATCATTAGACGGTGTCATTACGGAGGGCATTATTTTTCCGGCCGTGGAAATTTGTTGATTTGTAACTGCGTGATTATGACATGCGACAGACGGGAGTTACTGTGGTAACCAACACGTCACGGGTTCGAAAAACATTCTAGCTACGCCTAAGCATTGCTCTGGCTTTAGATTTAGGAACATTTATTCTAATGTTACTGTTATTCATAATGATTATGGATTTCAACTTTAATCCTTTCCTCAAAATACAAGATTTTGTGCCTAAATTTGTTCTTTCTTGCAAACGTCGACGAAATATTGCACCAAAATGTTAGATGGTAAAAAAAAAATCATCATTTTTTGGAAGAAAATCGGCAATGATGCTGAAACATGTTACATGCTCTTTTTTCCTTACAATAGATTGGAATCATAAGAAAAGTAAAGCAGTTAGTTGTTATAGTGTTTTTAAAGAACTTTTTTATCTACAGATGAAAACCATTTGAAAAGGTGGTTATTATCCTCTGCAGATATTGCCTTTTACGAATCCGTCCATCTCAAAGTAGAAATTTAGATTTTGTAAATACGTGTAGTATTGAAAAGTGTAATGTGTTATTAATTGCTGTTAAATGATTGCTTTTAAGCTTTCTAAATGCCGTTTTTGCGATGTAAATTAGTATGCTGTGCACTGCAGGAGTACCCCCAGTTGTCTATAAAAGCTGGGGCCAAAAGGAGATAAGTAAACATTATTTTTACATTTCTTCATTGAAAAAAAGATTTTTTTTTTAATTCGATCAATAAAACAATCCTTGCGTTCGTTCTCGTTAAGAATTCACAACAACACTCATATGTAACATCACACCTTTCCCCACGTCCAGGAAATCTCCCCCAACCCACCCCGTGGCTGGCCGCTGTATCCTCAAACCATACCCTGCTCTCAGTTCCAAAGGTATAATGGAACCCCTATTCATGTATATAGGGCGCAATAGCGCCGCTCAGATTTGCTTATGACCGCCGCCGAGACGGTACAGGCAGAGCTATATTTCTGCTTTTATTGTCGTACTGTGTGTTCCTTGCACCTGTCGTGCGCCATTTTACTACAAGCTGGTCCAACAAGAGAGAGCAAAACAGAACGCAGCGGCTGTTTCATGTCTACAAAAATACTTTGCGGTGTAACCATACTTCATTTCGTATTCAGTGCGGACCGAAGGAAACAAGTATTTATGGACTAAAGATTCGACACGATAAACGTTATCAACCAGTACTAACGTTCACTTATTCAAATCATATGCTGACCACATCTCTGTTATTTCCAAGAAATAGTTAAAACATTTAGAAAGTTGTAATTATGGCACAAACGAACACTTTATGTTTTCTCAATTTTAATGGATCTTTCATTTACGACGAACTCTTAAAAACAAAATTTAAAAAAAATCAGAATTCAGCGTCGGCCTTAAACTACTCGGTCAACTCTATTTTGAGTCATTCTCAAAATCTAGACTTTCGCCTGAACTTGATTAGTGTCTCACATGGACTTGGCACATACTGCATTTCATGCTCACGAAATTGATCAAATTCGCTCTCATGTTGAAATTTTAACCATGATTATTACACCTGCCCTTATCCTCTGTCACGAACAATTTTTCTCTTAACTCAAACTTCATTTTGATAATATCTGAACAAATCTAACCATTTGAGGTTATCACAAAAACAAAAGAAGAGGGTAATTCCCACACTGTGAAACAAAAAACAAACAAACAAACAAAAAACCACTGACGTAGTTCTGAAAATTGTTTTCCAATTCAAGAATTACAAGAACAATGAGGAAAGAATTCACTTCAAACGTAATACTATATCAGCTGCAATCAAAGGAACCTTCACATTGAGGAGGGCAGCATAAACAAGTCGAAAAAAATCAGACAGGCGTATTTCCAATGGTACAGACGGGCTTCAGTTGTACGCAGCTACATTTTGGTACTGACTCTCCGGATGTAACCCCAGGTTCGCATGCGACTGATTCCACCGTCCGGCCGCATGGTGAGGCGGATGTGGGTCACCGGCCCAACATCCTTCAAGGTGGTCTCAAAGAAATGCTGCTTGTGGGCAGACAACTGAAACCAAAGAGGAAGAAAGATTGTGACGATGTCGAACTGCTTGAGGCAACGCATTAGTGGAACTGCACGTTATAGATAAGTACAGCATTTTACAGCACTGAGACCATAAAGAAGAGAGAACAAAAAATGGCTACGGAAAAACAGGGAAAGAAAAACACGCACACGGAAAGGCGGCCCTCACTTCAAGGGACTAGTTCCTGCCCCTTCCAGTGAAGTCCAGGTGTATAAAACAGTGGTTATTGAAAACAGTCCGTTGCAAGTAACATTTGTTCAGGTAGACTCTGGCTGCATCTGAATCTGTTGTCTAGAGCTAGGTCTAAGGTCTTCACTCCATTGGAAATATGCTGAGATGTGCAGGAAATAGGACCTTAGTCAAAGCTCTGGAAGCTCTTTTCAAACGCTTATCTATCGTGAGCAATAGGAAGTGATTCCGGACTAAAAACCGAGAAACAGTGTGAGTGAGCTGGTGGAAAAATTCAGTGACCTGCACTTGGATCTGTTTTTCAGCTTTGCGAGCCATTGCTTTAACTGTTTGCTCCTGGAAACGGAGTCAAAGGAGTCTGGGCGGAGCTAGCACACCTTGCTCGGGGGGAGGATGGTCTCCCATAGGCAGCTCGAGAAGTCACCCTTTGTCTTGCCATGACGGTAGGCCTGGCACTGACGCTCCCCCTCCTCGGACAAGATGCATCCTGGGTAGGAAACAGGGCTTTGTTAAAATGCATAACTGCTGCCAGGGGCACAAAGTGTGTATCAGTTGAAACGCAGATGCCCTGTTACTTTTGAAGGCAAGTTCAAGTAATGATTGCAGTTAACCACAGTTTGACCACAGTCACCCCAAACAATGTATACCCAGCAACAAATGAGACAGAGGGGTACCCCCCCAACATGTCCAATCCCTATACACATTCCAGACTATTGTTACTTAACACACCCCCCCAAGATGTCTGAAAGGAATTCCCCAGATTCCTGCGAGGTAATGACCAACACAAAGCAGGGGGGTTCTCTCCATCTCATACCTTGCTGCATATGGAACAATGGGTTGTTTGGACCAGACTAGTTGACCATTTAGAACCAAATTCCGGGGCACTGTTGCACCACTGGTCATCCGTACAAATTTCATTCATAAGTACTGAAGGAGCCTTCATTTAAAAAGGATTGTATGAAATGTCATTGACCATGAACACTGCAAGAGTTACAGGCAGTGACTAACTATAACGGTGAAATTTTAACAAAAGAGTTTGACTAGGGTCATTTCAATGTGACTGCACTGCCCATGCAAATGATAAAAAAGTGACTAACCAGGGTTTACTTTACTTGACGCCCAAAACTTGTCCTTATTTACTCAAAATGTTCGTTATTTGGAATATGAAGATATTTTAATCATCTCACCTTCCACAGAGCAGGAATCGGGATAGTTTCCTTTGAAATGGTTTGTATCTATCTCAATCTGAGGGCATGCAATAAAGCAGAAATGCAAGGATTAGAAAATCAATTGTGAATATCTTCCCTTAACAAAATTGAAGTGACCAACCAAACATACCCAGTACACATGCCCATTGGTCACTAGTGAATCATTCAAATGAGACATGAAATCTATCTATCTGAGGACGACGTTCTTGCCTAATCATACAACTACAGCAAATTTCTTCATAGTCACGTGAAACTAATGCTACGGTCCAGTATTGTTTAGTTTCCATGCATAGAGTATGAAAATAGAATGGGTACCAGACAGAGACTGGGTGAGAGTGCTATAGAACTGTGTCAAAGACTCCTGATGTCAATACATTGTCCAATATGGGTTAGAACCAGACACTCGACAAGTCCTGAGCTGGCTGTTGCTGGCGTAAAGGCTTAGACCCCATTAAACCTCAAAGCAACAGAGTATTTCAACATATGAAGAGGATTGTAGGAGTGCATATGAACATATCTTGCATCTTCTTATCTGCGCTCAGCTTTGAGCCAATCCTAGTTACCTGTTTGATGACGCCGATGTGGCCCAATCTGAAGACCGCCCACTCCTGCCCAGACACTTTCAGAACTGCATTCTCGTCAGCTTCCAGCACTGATGGCCTGTCCAGCTGGAAGACGGAAGATATTTCGCCCACTTGAGCTTCAACTTATTAACATATAAGGCTTTGTTTGAGTGTAGAAATGAACATGATGGTTAAGAGTTCAATGAAACTCTCAAACCTTTTCAGCATCTCAGTAGTGATGTTTGATAACTTGTTCTTCCTTCTTCTCAAGCAGACTTCAGAAGTAGTCTAGAAGCTGTTGACACTTCACCAAGAACTCAAGCGGACCCTTCTTGCATTGGTTAATTTGTTTCCTGATTCTACGGCAGCGAGATTACTTGCGCAAAGCATATGACTCCTTGGACTTGGTCAAACTAGGAAGTTGGACAGGTCTGGGATGTGAAATATGCTGAAAGTCTAAAGATTTTAGATAAGCACAACATCACTGGAACACTGAAATGCTAAAGTTTTCTAAGTTATAAAAGAAAGGGAAATGGTGGGAAAGCTGACAAAATATACCAGCCTGTAGTCCCTAATTGACTTAAGAGTTACCCCAGCTTAATCTCCCTGTTATAGTAATAATAATATAGGTATTTATAGAGCGCCTTTAACATGGATCAAAGCACTGTACATCAAAGGAAAAAAGACAATAAAACAACAAAAAGGCAAAGGATTAATGAACAGAGATGCCACTACCCTATGCCAAAAAAATCGGAAAATCGCACGGTGTCAGTTTTAAACATAAAAATGCCTGGGTCGTGTAGTCGCCTATAAAAACAAAAAAGTTCTTTCTTGATCATCACTGGTCGATCACAGTCATGAGTTGCAGCCTACATGAAGGCCGGCCTGCTGGTTTTTACTCCAAACGATACAAACATGACGAAAGCTTTCCACCCGATCGGAAGTATGCAGCGTTATGGTCATGATGGTAGTCGGTAGGCTTAGGCCTACCTAGCAAATGAAGCTTTCTAACATAAGTAGAAAAGAAATCACCACTGTTATCCTTTTCTCTGAGCCATCTCCACTGAAATTTGTCCTTGACATTTCTTTCCATATCATGAAGATCCTCATTTCTGTTGACAGTTAGATGCTGCATTTTGTCGGCCCTCGAACATAAAGTCAATCCACGTGTTGATCATCCAACATACAATGTACGTTCGTTGTGTGCGTTCATGCATCGCGCATGTCGCATGTGAATGCATCAAGCTGTCCATGACAAGCGATTTAAAGGTCAATATTTAAACGTATTTCCAGTCACTGACAACACCACTCAATGCTGTCCTTCGTATTTCGCGCCACAATATGACTGACTTAAGCACTCTACTGACGACTGCGCAAAAGACTAAATACCCAATCGCGTGGCGCAGGATACATGCGCATCATAGATTTGCTTCCAGTCTTTTCTTCTTTATTTCATTTTGTCAATGTTGAAAACACTGAAGGGGGAAATGTAAAAAAATTGGATTTGGGGAGAAAAATACCAAAACGTTGGATTTCCGATTAAAATCGGAAAAGCGGCATCTCTGAATGAAAAGGCTGACTGAAAAAGGAAGGTCTTAAGATTGATGGTGATTCCCAAATTGTTTTGGGTAATCTGTTCCACTCTTTTGGTCCAGCAAAAGTAAAAGACTTGGAGCTGGCGGATCAAAGAGGCCTGTTCCAAAAAATGAAATGTTTAAAAGCATTCTACTGTCTCAGGAGTAACTTACTCTTCGGGCCGTCTCCCAGCCATCAGCCATGGTCAGTGACCTTGGAGTGGCCAGCAAGTTTCTGGCGTGGCCAAAATGAACGTCACTGTAACCAAGACAAACACCACCATTTTCCATAGCAACAAGGTCGATCAACTAGGAAAAGATATTGACCAAAAAAAATTCAGAAAATGTGAACGGAAATCATATCTTTAGTAGATCAAACCTTAAAGAAAACAATCTATCAACTGAAAACTTTCAACTACCCACAATATTTTGAAACATTATATAATTTTGAGGGCAAGTGCAAGGCCACCTCAAAACTGATTAACTCCTTTTGGTCAAAGGATTGCACAGTAATTTTTTGTTCATTACAAACTCATTACCTAATGCAGTTTGATTTTACGCTCACCTGGTGTTGAGATATTATGGACCAATCAGGCTCCGCGATGCCATACACCCTGAGTCTTGCTATTCCACCATCTATCAAAATAGAAAATAGGCTAAAAGACATGTCAGCAGAAAACTATCTGCTTAGCAGTAAAAAGAAATTCCACCGCTTAGTCTTAAGACCAAGACTGTCACCAACTTTGAATCTTTCTTACCAGGGTACATGTTCAGCCTCAAGTGGGTCCATCTCTTGTCAGAGTGAATTCTGAAGTAGTTCTTGCAAGTGTCCTTGAATCCCGGCAACAAGGCTGACGTTAGTAGAATCTCCTCCCACTCCTGTAAACCCAAGAGATTATGGGCTTATATATTCAAACATACCCAAGAACATGTCCAGTTCTCTGATTAGCCATCATCTCTGTGATGAATAAACAATTTACAACACAGAACATGTAAGCACAGCGACAATCAGTGAAAAAAAACCTTTAAAATTACAGCTTCAAATAACCCACTGCTTCTCATAACTTGATAGTTGTTCGGCTTCCAAATTGTATGATTTGATGGAGGCGAAACATGAAATGACTAGAAACACACAGACAGCAGTGTTCATCTGTTATATTTCAGAATAAAAGCTTAACTTCAACTTAGCACAGAACATGCATTCATGACGACAACCAAGCACCAGTACATGTATGTATATACGCCAACAAGCACATGAGCCTGATTTGTCGTGGACTCAAGGTTGTAGCATCAACATCCCATGGTCAAACAACTACATGTAGCATTGTATGTAAACTCTAATTCCCGATATTTACATGAGTTGCAAGTTTTTCCATCGCTGTCTGTTGTTCCTCACTTGCTGCTACACCCATTCTACCTTTCCTCTCTGGGAAACCAACCTCTGCATACAAACAAATAAAATCTCTCTCTCTCTCAGGTTTCACTACACCGATGCTCAAACAGCACTCTGAATTCAAAAAAACTTTCAGGTTAGGTAGAGAAAAAGGTATGTTTGTCACAATTTTTGTACATCATGAAATACTTCAAATGCTTTTTATTTTCAAATATGACTAGATTTTTAAATGAATCTTACTTAAGAATTACGGCTCATTCCATCATCTTTCAATTTATCTGTGTCTATATGAGTATGTCAGAGTAATGACTCCTGGCATAAATATGGTGGGCAAGAGAACGATTGGGTCCCAAGTTAGTTTGAAGGCAGGACCTTAATGCTGCTTGGGTTGCTCCTGTTGAATCTGGTAGACTGTACAAATTTCTGATAACCCTTTAGGAAAAAAAAATCGATTCAGCTGCATTACCTCCTCCAAGACACGCTCCTTGGATCGAGATCTTGGGAGTGAAATTGCCGGTGAAGAAGGAAGTGTCTGCCTCGATGCCGTGGATGATGCCCGGAATGCCAAGCTTAACGATGCACCAATCGTGGCCGGGGATTCGCTTTCTTCTAGTCTCCCAGCCATCCATCCACTTGCCAAACTCTGTGAACACCCCTTCCTTCCATACTGGTGGTTCCGGCTGAGAATGGAACATTGAGCATTGAAGAGTACAGTCTAAACAAGCTTCATCATATGGGTCCTTCAACAAACTTGAGGTCCAATTTTCCATGTGACCCTGTCACATCTGACATATGGTTTTGGAAATTCAGAATGCATTCGTTAATTTCCAAGAGTGATGAATTAATGCAAATTACATGTACCTGCCAAACAAATAGAAACAGTCTGAAATCAATTTCAATGGTATTTCCAGGTGAAAGTACACAGGTCAGGTGTAACAGGGATACAAAAATGTCACATTTGGAGCCTGAATTTATAGAAAGACCAATTTGTAATTAAAGGTAGCTTTCTGTCTCACTGTAATTTTCATTAGGAATACCATATGTCAGTACCTGAGTGGGTTGTTATTTGAACTGTGGATAAAGAAGTCAGGATTGCATCAAAAGTATGACACGACCATCAATTAAAAAACCTTGTAAAAGTTGAAATACCTTCAACAGATTTTCTGCAACAGCAAACCAGTCATCAGTGGCAAACAGGACAGTTCCCCCATTCTGTAAGGAAATGGTAAATAGACTTGTCTTCATGAAGCAACAGGCATTTCAAGCTAGACAAACACTACAAATACATGTACATTCAGCATGCTGTAATGAACAAATTTAATCAGAAACAACCTATGCCGGCAATAATAGTCAGTCTTAGCTGTAACATACATGTACATTCAGCCGTAAGACGGCCAGAGAAAGTGGTTTCAATTCAACTTTGTGTGCAAAATACAGCACCTAAATTTACAATCTGCTTATGATATGTGGTGCTTATCAAATCACTTGTGTCACATTTGGGCGACTACATTTGCTGTAAACACTTAAACAAAATTTGCCACCAAATATCATCATAGGCCATCATTGGCCTAATATGGACCGTAAAAGCGTGGCTATTGGAGATTGACATAGTTTTTTCCCGCTTAAGCAAATTTTGTGCTTTTAAAAAGCAGCTCCATGGCCCCAGCTGGTCCATGGAGCTTTTTTTATGGAGCTATAATACAAGCTCCGTGACTGGTCCAACTTACTCGGTCATTTGCAAGATCATTGAGTTCCACAAAGTCGGGAAGCTGCTTCAACTCTTTGTCAACTGTCGCTGGACGGTCTGCCATCACAATATTAGGAGCTTGTCACCTGTCACTTCATGTAGTGTCGACGAATCCAAAAGGCCTAGGCCTATGTTTACGCCAAAAAAACCCTTGCTTGATCCACGACCATGACTAGACTGTGACCTTGCCAAAGAACGTTCATACTGCTGTACATGTACTATACAATGTACAATGTACAATGTACATGTACATTGTACTGTACATGTACACTGTACTGAACATGTACATTACATCTTTAGCTAGCTTTGATCGTACGCGTACGTACGTGCGTACAGCGCGAGCGCCGTCGCGCTTCGGGTACCGGGTACGACCTTTGCGTGCCCTATGCTCCATTCATATGCCATTCTAGTTCTGTGCGCAAGCTGGGTACGATTATGAATAAAACAGCATATGACGTAAACATGAATAAAACAACACAGGACGCTTCATGACCCGATACCGCATTCATATGGGCGGCCAAAAAGACCAAAATTGATTTTAAGGAAAAATAAACAATTACAAGCAAACAGAATCTTGTTATTCAAAAATCTAAATAATAAAACACAAAAGAATCACCAAAACCATTTGAGAAACAAATTATTAAAAATTCTAATTAAAAGATTAAAAGTTACAGGTAAAAAAAAATAATTTCACCAAAATTGAATTAACCACGGGCAAACAACATTTTCTTATCAAAATGTAAATGTAATAATTTAAAATATAAATGACCAACATCTGAAAATGATATGCACCCAAAAAATTCCCAAAATGAAAATACGAAATGATTGGGGGAAAAAATGTCCAAACCAAAGGTCGCCAGCAGTTTACTTCAATTTTTCACAACGAAGCTAAACGCAAATCATTTGAAAAATTCTGAAAGAAATTTGGTTCCGACGTATAATACTTCATTTTTTGTAAAATTAATTTTGACCCATTTGGCCGATTCTGGCGCTTTTGGCAGCCCAGTTTTTGTTTCTAACAAACCATTATTTCACCGGTTGATAACAAAACTGACCTTTAAATGATTCCACACTAACACACAATATTTACGATATAAAGTTTGTGAAATATTAATACGTTAATTTTTGGTGAATACGGTTATTGAAGTGAGTTTTCAAATTATTTTTGTTTGATTTTATAAATTACCGATGGGGAATTGCCCTTACTAGTCACGTGGTACCCGACGTACTGTTCGCGGATATGTACATGTCTGTATATTGTGCTAGTGTTGGATGCAGCATGCATAGAGTAGCAAGGACTGATGCAGGTGTATCGATTCTGTATTCTGTAAATATTCTGCAATTTGAGAAGATCATGCGTACAAATATCGAAGTGTTTTAGCCCATTTGTACGTAGTAAAGTAAATTGGTAAGTCACACTGTTTAGTAGGAGGATAAAGGGGTAAGAAACTTGCGACACGTGGATTGGCGTCCGTCCACGTCTGCCATGGCCGTTCATACGAATTACGATACCGCTCCGCGTATGTACTAGCATGGAGGAAGGAACTGTTCCTTCCTCCATGGTACTAGGTACGCCAAGGTTGGCGCATGGCAAATGGCCGGACGCTCAGCTGGGTACGATCGGTCGATCTTTGAGCGACATGTCGATCGTATTGTTGATTTGCCGAAAATTCCGCCGATAACCATTTCTTGTTCATTGGCGGTTGTGGAAGATTAATCGGGAAGAGTTCCAAACATGCCAATACATGCCGACGTTAAACAGTAACTAGGCCTACTCCATTGATTATGTCCACCTAGGAACAGGTCAACTCGTACCTTGGACAACTCGTACCTCCAGTAAAGACAACTCTTACCTTTGCATACGAGACAACTCGTACATGTACCATTACAGAAATCAGAGCTTGCTTAAAGCACATTATTATAGTAATTAATTTGAACACTAGGATTTGATTTCTTAAGTCATGTGTTCGTCAGCTAATTTGCTGTTTTGGCTACGATGCCTTCCCTACATGCCGGTGGGGTGACATTAATGCAAGTTTTATTAAGTACACACCCCCCACCCCAAAAAGTTACAAAACAAAGCCATCATTCCCCCACAAAATGAAAAAAGTCCAATACCGTTTTCCCATAGCCATAAGAATAGATTGAAGTCCCCCCCCCCAATTTTAGAGTTTATTAAAGGGACCCCCCCTTGAATGTTAATAAAGAAGTCAAGTTGGTAAACGGTCGGGTCGTTTGACATCCATCACATAAACCGACAGTGCGAACGCCCACGGCAGGCGATATACAGAAAATCATGCTGCCACTCGGGAACCCCTCTGGGAGATTTATGGAGAGTTTTCCTTGATATGTTTGTCAAATCTGATCTTAAACATACTGAATAGGCAGAGGAAGAAAGTTAACACCGAACTGGTAACATGAAGGTACGAGTGGTCTTAAGCCAAGGTACGAGTTGCCCAAGGTACGAGTCATCCAATGTACGCGCCGGCCAAGGTACGAGTTGACTCGAAAGCATCTACCTTACTGCACTCCACCTTTTTTAATGGTTCCAAACAATAAGACATTTTGAAAGCTGCCCAGTTGGAGTACCAGATGAAACCTCCGTTTGTGCTTCCTGAAGTAAATCTTCCCTTAGACCACAGATGCGCATATGCAGCATATTCGCGTAATGAATGTTTATATTGCTTTGGATACCAGTCCCTATAATTCCAACTACTGTCGTTAAGAATATGTATAGAGACATCTGGGAAATCTGTGGTCAGGAAACCACACTAATCACATATCGGCTGCATTAGTGTCATAACTTCACAATCGTATCTTTGCAAAATGTTCTCACTCCCTGAAGTACTTATTTCTCAAACATCTTAAATGTGTGTAAACGGCTAGCTTGATAACGCAGGATGCCGCATGCCCTGACATTGCCGCGCCCCCCCCCCACTTCTAAAATGATCGAGCCGCTTATACTTAATTACGCAAGCAAACACACAGGTGCATTCTAAGAATTACGGAGGGTGCTATCAAAGTTGCATTTTTAGTCATAGTTGTCATAGAAAACAAAGAACTTTTAATTTTCACTTTTAAAGTGCTAGTAAAAGATTGTGGCAAAGTACATGCTCTCTAGTTCTTCTCAAATTTCTTGCTCAGGTTTACCCAAGTTGATGTCTTAGTGTTGGCTTTTATACCCACCCATGTCTGGCAGTTCAAACAACAGCATCACTGATCCCAGCCTGCGGGCACGCACCATGTCATCCTTCCTGTACCAATTGTCTGCAAGAGACCGGGAGCTAGACCTTGTCCACCTGGATCACTGCTACTCCAAGTCATGGAGTGCACACCCCGACGCCAGCCACGCCAAGCCAGCCCGGTTGCTGTTTGTCCCAAGGACCCTCCGACTTCGCCAGGACAGACAAAACATTGTGTATGTGTACTTGTTATCGTTTCAACTTGAAATCCTGTTTCAAAATGGATCCATCTTTAATTGTCAGAGTCAACATTCCAGAAAAAATGTTTAGACTGGATTTTACCACTTGTCGTAAAATTGAATCAAAAATGATTTTCTCTTCACAGTGAACCAGATGTACCAATTGAAGTGGTCACACCTTCTCCGTCAAACACCTTGCCGTACGACAGTGGGAGGGCTCACTCTGTCATGAACGAATGCCAGCGGCACGTCAACTTTGCCCGCTCTACAACCTCGGAAGAGCACACAGACGAAGAATGGGAAAAGAAATTGACCAAGTACACTTCCAGTCAACTTGATTCAGGGGTCAACGTGCCTCCTAAATCTAGACTGAGGGATGGTTTACAGTTGGGTTGATCTTGGGAAGGCTTCCAAACTTTATCCATTCTCCATCATATTCTTAGACGGTAACTTATTTTTACATTTCGACTGTTTTGTGTGACCGAAGGAGAGTTTCTTAATTTAGAATCTGATTTTTCTTTTAAAGAATTGGATGGACCTCTCAGCAGAATAAGCTGTTTGATAAGATCATCAAGCACATGCAGTCAGAACGATTGGCCAGGCTGGCTTACGAAGGGGTGAGTAAGGGTCTGGATTTTAAGTTTCTCAGACTTTCTTCCCTTTAGAATATCTGCCACATTTTTTAGCTGGAATCTTTGTCAGGTTTGGAGTCAGAAACTAAATCTTCCCAATTGTTCTCTGTCACTCAGAACCCCAACGAGCCAGTGCTGAGACGCATCCATCTGGACAAGTGCGCCAAGAAAGTCCGACGGACACTTGCCTCCATCGGATGGGTAAGATTGGCCACAAAGATCTCCTTTCCCATCCTTTGTAATGTCTGTAGTGTGCAATCATGTTTTGTTTATTTGCTGTTCATTCAGGATTCCAAGTTAACGCAGTGGTTACACAGTGTTCTAATCGACAACCTTAGCTCCTCCCTCCTAGCCATTTATCTTGATGTCTTACAGACCTTGAAATCAAAGGTAAGAAACGTCAAGGAAATTCTATCAGTGGAACATAAAAACAGAAAAATTACAAATGATTCTATGACATTGTTAATTTCGTCTTTGTAATTTGAAATAAACCTACCACAAAGGCCTTACACTATAGACAGTAGTTTTAAGCAAATTTTCAGTAATTTTAAACAAGCAGTTTTGTTTTGTATTGTACGCACGATTGCGAATGTTCCCAGGATTGATATTGTGTCACATTTGATTTGACGAAGGATACCCAGTTATAAATGAAAAACAGCTGATGTCGTGTTTCATGATTTGAAGTCTGGCTTGAATTGAAAAAGTTAAAGTTAGTTCATTGTTTGCTACTATGTTCTTTCTGGAATGTTGATATTTCTGGACTTCTGTTGCTGTATTGTTGAATCTTCAGGTTCCAGCCCTAATTGATAAGATGATCAGCTTGTCCACTTCCTCCAATCGCTGCAGTGCGGCTAGCTCTGAAGCCTTGATGCTCCTGCTGAAAAGACCTTGGGACCCAGCCGTAGGAGTCCTCAGCCAACACAAGCCGGTAACCCATCCCATCCCAACCATCCCCCACAAAAAAGCCCTGATTTCATATACAGACCTGGAAAGTCCACTTTCATGCATTTCCAGAATTTTTCCAGCAAAAACGACAGAGTTCAGAGTGATCCGATGTGATCTTTCTACAGAAAAAGCTTCCCGGTTCCCCGCTGCTGGTGGTCACGCCCAGTGGCCCTTCGTTCCCCAGCATGCCTACGTCGCGTCGCATGCGGTTCTGGAACACCCAGCTGGCCAACCTGGGTAAGGTCATCCCCGTCACCACGCACACGGTCAGCGGAGGCAGTGGGGTCAGTATAGCGCAGTGTCTGGAGCACATGGTTGGGGCTGTGCGCACCAAGGTCATGGAGGTAGGTTATCTTTGATGAAGTAGTCATCTACCTCGCCCGCAAGGATGTCCTATGTTGGCTTACCGGCAAGCTCTAAGGGTGACCAATGCCAGCATCGCAGAAAACTCACAGATTTGCAGAATTCTTGTCCATATATGTACATACGTGTACTCTCAGTTCACTCAGAGGTACGTGCACATGGCACATCACCCTTAGAAAGATCAAATAGGAAAACTTTTGAGGGAACAAACTGACCTCAAAATTCTGCAACTGCATGCTTGCTAACGCAGCCATGAATTTACATCATCTAAATGCAAATGTCCACCAAAGCTGATTCTGGCATTTGCATCGTACTTTTATCCCTCGATAGAGGGGCTTGTATTCAAACCAGGATTTTTCTGAACTCTCCAGGTATAAGGAGCCATTTAAGCTGAGTTGTTATCACGTTCAATGTTATATCACGTTGTTAGAAGACACTAAACTCCAGCTAAAAGTATCCTTGATTCTCTCCTTAGTTGAAGAGCCACTTCCCAAATCGACCCATCGTGCTGATTGGCTGGTCTGTAGGAGCATTGGTAGCCTGCCACGTAAGACACCTTCCCTCTCTTCAAGTTATATTTGAATAAAATCCGGTACACTGAGTTCTTTAAATTCACTTGAACCTAACAATTTGAATTCTCCATACTAAAAACACTGTTGCTATACCTCGTGATTCAGGGCAACCTTATGCTTACTTACATAAGAGACGCCTTGCACCAATAGACTGTTTTCAATGGATAAGAAGGGCACAAAGGAACCAGTCCATTTCCAGATACAGTGTTCGCTATGTAAAAGCTTGCCCTGAATCACAAGGTGTAGCAACAGTGTCTTTAGTCAGGGGAATTCACATTGTTATATTTATGTGTTACTGGATAACTCAATGTACCAGATTTCATTCAAATTTAACTCGCCAAAGGCTCATTCGTTAAAGAATTCATGAAGAAATTCTGAATTATTTTTAATGACGTGACAATGTCTTCATTAGTTTGGTTTTTCTTTGAGGCAGAGGCATATCCTACAGCTGTTCAATGTTCTGATAAATTTAATCTTGTATATTCAAACTTGCTCCAACAGGTTTCTCTGGTGGAGCATGTAACAGGAGTAGTGTGTCTTGGTTTCCCTGTAATGGGAATCAGTGGTGCAAGAGGGGTGAGTGGAGTAGTTTTACAGTAGTTGACAACAAGTGCTGAATATATGGTCCATTGATGTTGAAGATCCTGGCATTTTTGTCCAGGAAGAGTAGTTTGGTTGGACATCAGACATCTTCCATTTCACATCATTTGTCCAAACGAAAGTGGGTGCACATGATACCTTATCAGACGTGGACCAAAAGCACACGATGTCCTAACACTTTTTATGTCTTATTTTACCCTGTCATTTGTGTTTGCAGGGAGTCGACGAACCCCTGTTGGATAGCAAGACTCCAACTCTGTTTGTTGTCGGTCAGGAGTCCAGTGTCTGCACCCAGGACGGCATTGAGAACCTGAGAGAGCAGATGCAGGCGGAGACGGGGCTGGTAGTGGTCGGAGGAGCTGACGAAAACCTCAGGATGTCCAAGATGAAAAAGAGGAGCGACGGGGTGACACAGAGCATGGTGGATAGATGCATACAGGTGAGGGCCAATAGCAGAAGGAAGGAGGTTGATGGAGGAGAGTCGATAGGGGTGTGGCTTGGGATGGTTGGCCGCTGTGCAAGCAGACAGCCTCGGTGGTTGGCACTAGCTGCTTGATGTGTTGGCCTTGCGAACGGTTGCTTGTCTATTGGGCACTTCATGGGCTGGCTTTGCTTGGTTATGTGCTGGTTAACTAGTGAGGTGATTGGTTTCCTTTGTGCTTGGATAGGTGCACAGGTAGCTGGCGAGATTGTAAGCAGGCTTACCAGAGACCTCTTAGCACATATGAAGTTGGTATGCAGTGCCCTGAGCTGGTTGCTGTACCTGCTGTGTGCTGAACAGGTCTAATTGTCAAGTTCTTGCATGTGCAGAGCAGTGCAAATATTTGTATCATGTAGACATTAGTAGATATTGATCCCTGATGACTAACGTTCTTCAGGATGAAATCAGCGAATTCCTCTGCACTGTCCTGACCTCATCCATGAACGACGGCTTTGACCGGCCAGAGTTTGACCTGGATCACCGCAAGAAGCGAGAGAAAGAGAAGGAGAAGGAGCGTAAGAAGCGTCTCCACCGGGACTTGTCCCTGGAACTGAAGGGGAGGAAAGCCTCTCCGGCAGGCAGGGGTCGACGGAATAGCCTGCCAACCATGTCTAGCGAGGTGAGTCCGGACAATCTTCAGCCCAGTTGTGGCAGCTTCTCTCATTTCCCCAGACATGCAACTTTTTCTCAGAAAGCTGATTTCATCTTTTTATTCGCTGTGACTGCTGCTACCATAGATGAACACTGTACCAAGTCACTTGTTCAGAATTTTTTCATTTTTACTAACTTCTGAGTTTCAAACCTGTTTTTCTCAACACCTGCAAGGAATTTGTGCATTCCTTCAATTGGAACTTTCAAACTCTAGTTGAAAACAAGTACCGCTCTCACTGTGCCTCCAGCTGAACTGGGGTCTTTATTTCCGCCTCTTTCTGTACGTCCCACGGAGGATCTTACTTCATATTCTACCCCACAGAGCCTCTTGAAGGCCCAGGCAGAGCAAGGCTCTAAACCCAGCCAGTCATCAGGGCCCAGCTTCGGGGAGCAGTATGCCCACTATCTGGCCAGAATGGCTGCTAGTAAGCTGGACGCCAAGCTGACTGCAGATGATCGCCCATCCAAAGATGGTAAATACATTTGTACCATTTGAGATTCATCTCATTGCATTTTTATTCACTTAGTGACTATGAATTTATGACCTCTTAGAAGGCGGTCTGCAAAATTTAAATACATTGACACTTCCATTTGAAAATTGTCTGGCAAGTTAGAAAAAAAGGACAGTGTTCTCTACCCCGCAAAAAAAATTTCAATTAAGGAAATCTGCGACATCCCCATTTTTTGCTTTGCTGAAAAAAGGTTGAAAATCTTGTACATCATTCTGGATAACAGGCAAGGCTGGGTCCAGTGGGTCCTACAAGCGTCGACGCAGTAAGAGCCCCACCAGCTCCAAGCGCAAGCAGATCAAGTTATGCTCCCTTGTTGCCATGGCAACCATGGCTGCTGCCTCCTCTTCCTCTTCTGCGACTTCCTCTTCCCAAGACTCCAACACCACCCAGGAGGAGCCTGCGTCATCCCAGAGTGGCATCACCACTGCAACGGAGTCAGCTCCCACTGCCCTGCGCGGAGCTACGTCTTCCAAGCCCCCCTCCCTGCCGCAGTCGGCCGCTCCCATCCCTTCCTCCACTTCTCTGGCCGTCTCGGCTCCTCAGCTCTCTGGCCTCTTGCAGAAGACATCAGGCAACACAGGTGGCAAGAGTGTTGCAGTCATCGGTGGGGAAGTGGTCAGTCCTGTTTCCGTAATTATTTGTACCATTAAACTGAAAGATTTCTTATTGAAATTGTACAATTTTGGGAGGCATATGTAGTTCCTTTAAATGTGCTTAAAGCAAAAATTTGAGAAAAATTCAAATGTTGGCAGCATTGCAGTTGCGTTGGAAGCTAGAGTCGGGAATGATAAAAGTAATAATTTGAAAGAACAGTGCATATATAAATGCCCAGGTGGTTTGTTAACAGTGGTCTGTGCCGTTGAAGGAAAGAAATGAATAGTTCACTGACCTGACTACTAGTGTAGTTCTTAACTGCCTTAGTTGTTATCAACAAAAAAGGTGACATATCTGCATCTCTGATGTTTTTAGATGTCCAGAACGATTGTTGAACAAAAAGATCATAAACATCAGAGATTGTTGTGTTTCCTCGCAGCCACTGACTGTGACATCTGCAGTGACCGCTGCCAAATTGTCAGTGGGATCGGCTTTGTCCTCGAAAGCAGGTAGCGAAGGTGTAGGGACCAACAGCTTGACACTAGCACAGCTTCAACAATTGGGAAGTTTGCCCTCAAACATGCCACCAAGCACACTTCTTCAGGTAAAATCAAGCAGAGACACTGTTCTAAGTTCAAAAATCTCAATGAAGAATTTAAACTTGGAGTGAATTTTGCCCAAACGTGGCAGACTTTTTTGTCTCGTCCATTCTCCATTTATGCCATGATAATAACATTGTCACAAAACTACCAATTAATTGATGAATAACTGTTTTTGTGCAAAGCCTATGTTATTCTAATGCATGTACTTTCTAACCAGCAAAATGAAGTTGGTTTGACTGTTGCTTAATTACAGGGTCTGAATTTCAACATTCAGCAAGACAGCTCAAAATCTCCCACCACAAACCCACCAAACTCCAGTAGTGTGGATTCCTCAAGCACCCAAACTAACCAGTCGTTGACAACCGCTAAGGGCAAAGCTCCCAAAATGAGCATGCCCTCGAAGGGAGAACAGCCCGAAACGAGCAGCGCGACGTCAGCAGAGCAGAGCATAATCACCAGCCAGTTTCAAGCAGCTGTGCAACAAGCCGCTGTGGCCATAGCCGGCAAGATGATGGCCACCTCGGGCCAGCCACCCAGCAGCAGTTCGCTGGGTGCCTCTCCTAGTACCAACCAGGTGGCCTCCCTGGCTGGCCTTCTCAACATCCCCCAGCTGGTGTCGGCCGCTCTGAAGACCGTACCGCCAGCTACCACAGACAGCTCGGGCCAGGCCACCTTGAGAGCACTAGAGAGCCTAGCTGAGAGGAATCTTGAGTGTGCTGCCAGTGGAAAAGATCCTGGGGGATCCACAGGCCAGATTGTCTCACCAGATGTAGCTCTGTTGGGACTCTTTGCTGCTCAAGGGGCGACCTTGACAAGCAAGTCTAGAGGGTCTTCACAAAGCTCAGTGAGATTGAAGACCACGACTGCTGCGGAATCCCCAGTCACAGCCAAGAACATGGAAATTGACAAACAACATGAGCAAGCCATCCAGAAGCTTCAGTTCCACGACTTCCCTCTCACCACCGTCTCTTTGACCTCCTCAGCCTCCATGGGCACAGTCACCAAGGCCAAAATTTTGAAGGACCTGGAGAAGGGAAATGTGTCTGGCCTGACCACGCTTGAGAAAACTCTCCTCGGCAAACCCACATCAGGGGTTGGACCCTCCCACTCCCAGTCAGCATCAGTCTATACGAGCTCTTCTGGATTGTCTGCTCAGAGTCTCATCTCAACAACATCATCTCTGACAGCTCCTTCGAGCAAGGTTCCATCACAGGCAGCTACTGCTTCTACCAGCGCCAAGACTGAGATCAAGCTGACAACAGTTAGCCATACCTCCACTGGATCAACTACCAGCAGGTCTGCTTTAAGCCTTCAGCCCCCAACCTGTGCTTCCAACAAGGCCATTTCAGGTCTCGTGACCCTGTCCTCTTCATCCGCTGCTGCTGTCAGCACCTTCGGTCGAGGATTTGCCCACTTATCCAGTTCGTCCAGCCGACTTGCTCTGACAACTAAAGTTGGCACACCTTTGCTGTCCACAAGCTCCAAACTCTCCACCACGTCCAGCACCACTACCCCAGCTAAACCCCTGACTGAGAAGCCCCTAGCTGGTAAATTTCAACCCACGCATATCCAGCTGGGTAAATTTAGTCTGCAGTCGGGAACTAGAAGTGTTATCTCTGGAGAGGCAGTACCCAAGTCCCAGTTCACAGGCAGATCATCACCCGTAGTGATCCGATCAGATCCAACTGGAGTGACTGTCAAGAAGGCCATCAACCAGCCCTCAGCTTTCAAGCCAGCCCCAGTGACCAAAGTCATCTCAGCCACCCAGCCAGGCACAAAGGAGCCACCCTGCCCTGGCTCATTAGCTGAGGTTACCTTAGTCCTGACAGCAACTACATGCTCCAAGACAAGCACCACCGAAACAAAGATGACCATGGCACCCTCCATTCATAGAGGCATTACCCCCTCAGATATCTCTGGATCATCCAAGACACCAACAATGAATCTTCCCAAGGCAACTGATGATGGAGGCAGCAAAGAGGAACACGAGCCGCCGTCTTCATCAAGCTCCAAGACGAGCTTTGGCGATGCAGGAGGGAAGAGAAAGTCTCCTCCAACTTCTCCAACTTCCTCTTCTCCTTCATCATCACCCAAGACAGTTGGGCCTGGGGGTGATGCTGACAGCAAGGCCAAGGGGAACCAGGGAACTCTTGCCGCAGCCTACATGTCAACCCGTACACGAAGGGTCCGCACACCTCGACAATATTCCGATTACACAGAGTAATGAAAGGTAGTGTCCGCTACGATCTTAACTCTTTACTTTCCAGATTCGTCATCATTCTCAAATGGGCATTTTTGTCGATTGATGGTAAGCAGTCAATACATACACAGTGATACCAAGTTAAACAGTGCCCGTGGTACACCACAGGAACATGAGCTGGAATGCTGTGTATTTTGGAGATCACAGAAGATCCTTGATTACAGGCATGCCACCCTTACATCCACCTGTGGGTTAGTTACGTTTATCGAAAGTTCTCATAACTGCATGCAGTCCCTTGGCTTAGTGCACCTGACACTCAGTTGTGTCTATTTGTCGAAAACCTCCTCTACAAACATCCATTCTCCTCAAAGTTGTCATCATTCAAAATCGGTCAAATGACATTTGATACATGTATGTCTATGTCATGTATGTACTGCAGCAGGAGTAGTGGAAGCAATATTTGACTGTCGCTATTTTAACAGCAGGAGGGTGTTTATGAAACTAAAACTGTGCTTTTAAGTGATTGTTATTTTATGTTTTCATAAAGTATGTTATCATTTTTTTCGGTTTGTTAAGAATTTACGAATGAGACTTGTTATGCCTTGGAACTTCCGACAAGCTTTGAAATGTCCGTCTCTGGTTTGCCAGATCTTGGCCAAAGAAAGAGGCAGCTTGATCCAATTTTGACAACAGCTTGCGCTTCTCAGTTGGGCTCGTTCATAATTGAGTTTCGGTCCGGAGAAGACTTGCCTATCCCCATGCCACATCAGAACAACTGGGAATTTATGGCGTCCAAATGCTGGCTCCTAGCATTCCCGGCTCATAGTGTCAGCTCTGGCAAATTAGTATGGAATTAATCCGATTTTGTTCTGAAAAGTTGTCCATCTATCAAACTTTTCTCACTAGAGGTTGCTTCCTTTGTAGAGCCCAATTTCAGGAAGTTGTCATATTTTGGTACATGGTAGTACCCTTGAAATAAACTGATCTGGAGGATGTGAATTATTCAGAGGAAATTTTGACAGGGTGGAGAAATTTTCTAAGGAAATTGGTCGATGGAGGGTAGCATGAATCCAATAATGTATTGGGATTTCAACTGTCTGGTGGCACAAGGCAGGACTCAGACTGGGGAAATGTCTGCCCACGTTTGGCTGTCGACTGTTTGTCATTGTCCAGGAGGTCGAGGACTTTGTGTTCAAGTCTTCGTCCTTGCCCACCCCAGTATGAATACGTGCATGCACATCGACCCGCGTCAACTGGTTGAAAACTCAGCTGCTTTCTTTCTGTCAGAACTTTCTGCTTTCAACCTGGAACAAATTCGGATGATTCTCACATGATATGATTGTATTTGTGCTCAATCACGATAATATCAGATCAATGATTTTATTTACTGTTGCTTTGTGTATGCGCTGTGCTCTGTGTATTTATGGTTCAAAATAGCCACACCCATGTCCAACCCTAGAGATTATTTTCCAGGTCTAGCCGTGTGTACGTGTGCCTTTCTGGATACATATATTCAGTGGTTGAATTATTTGGGAGTTGATCGACTTTGCATAGAGTTTACCGAAGACGATCAACAGCGTGCAAAGCGCAAAGGATTTTCAATTATGCTTGCCAATTAGTGTAGACCTTTTTCCAGTGATGTCACGATCATGCCGGACCAATGATGTGTTGTGATGGTAATGTGCACTGTGTTGTGATGGTAATCTACCTATTCAAGATAAACTAGTCAAGCATGCAGCGTTCGCTCGTGCGCTTGCACGTGGTTGAAGCTGCCCGTAGGAATATGTGCGATCACCATGGCCAAGGCAGTCCACACGTGTTGGTATTGTTTACATTTAGTCACGTGGGTGAAAAGGGTCTATAGAGGGGGCTGTCAACAAGTTGGACTGCAGAATGTAAATTATGTACATAGCTTTGGATGGAGTTTTCCCCCTAAAGGAGCCTCAGTTCAGTTCCTATTTATTTGCACTCGTTAAGTCATTTGTACTGGTGGTCCTCACCTGCAGAATATATTGTTCAATCCTTACCTCTAGCGTGTTTGTAGAATCATATTTGAAATCAGAGGATATGAGGACAGTAAACAAGAACTGTGTTGTAAATCCAGTGTAGATAGTTTCTATGAGCAAACTTCTTGGAGCCTTTTTAAGTTGCATTTTTAGCATGGTTACAGTATCTGCAACTTACTTCTTTAAAGAGTAATGTCCCTTTCATTCTCATTCATCGATAATGACCTTCAGTCTTATTCACTGTAAATTATATTTAAAAAAATCTATGTTGTCTTGGAGTGAGCCTAACGACCGCTGTAAAGGTGTTTAAGTGCACAGTTACACGTAATAAACCTTAATCTTGTTCACTCACTTAACTTCCAAACAGCTAAGTAGGTTGCTTTTATCTCATAGGTGTGTTTTCTTGCTGTACCTGATGTTGGAATGTAAGGGTAATTTCGACTGCATTTGTGAGGTTCATTTTAATCTTGGCCGTATTTGAAACAAACGTTTCTGTACGTCAAAAACGTTATGCTAATTAAGGTGCTCCGTCACACATGCGTGTTAAAATTTCTAAGCAGTCCATTCTGTGGTGCTGGTCTACATTCTCCACTGTCCTTCTTTGTAAGATTTTGAAGGATTTTGACACAGACCACCCACATTACGACTACTCTTGTGAAGGATTTAGAACAATCTTAATGTATCAGCAGGATCATAAGAAGAATTTGACTTTTGAATGACAAAGTTTGACAGCACCTGAAGGGTTGTTCGTTTTGTTCTTTCATACATTGGCGGGAAAAAAACACCTTTTTTATTGCATTTTGCTGCATCGAGTATCTTGGGTTCATATTCAAAAAGCATTGATCGAAAAGCGCTCGCCGGGAAATCTACCCTCGCGTAGCGACCAGTCTGTGTAACCAAACTTCGTCTTTCGTCAAATGTCGGCTTGTGAGCTGGCGATAATGGTCCGCGTCTCTGCCTTCCATGTGCCCGTGCTGTTCGCCCTCACAGCGACGCAGGTGCGTCACACACACGGGACACATAAACTCACCCAAGGGACACCGAGTGAACAAACACCGCCGTGACGGGGGAGAGAAAACACAGGGGAGGACACTCTATCCCCGCCAGAGATAGATGCTCCTTCATAATCTCGAAGACGGGACCCTTTTTTTCCTGGATCCGAGCTCCGGGCGGGGCGAAATCGCTTGCGCGAACTGACTCCGCTAAATGTTTGTTCAGAGCTAGTGTGTGAAACCCAATTTATGTCTTAAGTTCAGTGTCTCCTATATCGCAGGAGAGCAGGTGTTTTTCTCGAGTCCCCGGTCAGTGTTTTTTTTTCCTCTCTCGTTCCCCCCCCCGCATCTTCTTGCATCCTCTCTTCCCGGTTAAATTGAAGAGGGACGCTTGAAAACCTTTTATCGGTTTTGGAGAGCAAGTGGTAAGGGGAGTGACCGCAGACGGGAAGCGAGAATCGTTTTATTTTAGGTAGATGAACGGCTTGTGATTTTCCCCTTTATTCAACATCTCTATCTTTTGACAACAGCGTCTTTGTGGATATGGATTGGCTCCAGCAATTTTCTAAATTAGAATGGGTTGGTAAACAATGGAGTTTCTGGCCCAGTGGAGTCGTAGTTCCATCCAACATCATATTTGTTCCAACGGGTTACAGTGGTCACGCGGATAAGCCAAAACGTGCCTAGGCTCGGTGGTGTGTCGTACTAACGGACTTCGATTCAATACCATTTGATATAGTGCTGTAAGCAGTATATCGGAACAATAACCTTGTATGGTTTTCCTGAAGAAGGAGCAAGATAAAGCCTACCTTCGATACATCCAACGATTTGAACAAGAAATACCCATGGCCTGCATGATCGACGGTGATCTAGGGGCCGGCAGCACCATAAGCTATGTTGGGGGTACACGTGGGTGGAATTGGACTTCTTCAGAATGGCTAAAAACTACGGTTGAAAAATGGTCCTAAGTGCCCGAGAAAGTTGAGGGTTGCCACTTAAAAAATGGCTGCAATCGGACTTTGGAAAAATCCCTTTTCGGTGGGCGATTTTGTTCTGTGGGAATAATTAAAAATGTAATTGGTTAACCCTCAAAAACTTGAAAAGAAATTGAACGATTAGGGACTAGACAATAATTTCATTTGTGTTTCTGAAATCTCAGGGATGTTGGTATGCATGTTATTGGGCCCTGAACGGTGCTGATTTTACACTTTTGAATGGGGTTTGAATTAGTGGACTGTACCCTTCATTGTGTCTACGCGGCTCTGACATTGACACCCTCACTCCAGACCTACATATGCATACCCCTCCCCTTCAAAGTTTGGAGAGGTTGAGGAGCTTTGTATTTCTGATTACCATGACAACCCCATCGCGTACTCCCCCCTTCTGTTTTGGAGAATAAGCCCCTCCAGGAATTTCTCCTGGAAGTATGACTCCAGTAGTTATGAGCTTGGGCTTACAAGAAAAGTCCTAAATGGGAACCTCTTTAAGAAGTGACTTTTATCTCGATAACATCATGATCCGACTGTGCGTTGGTGTATCGAGTGCAGGCTCGAGACGGAACATAAACCAGCTCTGTTTTTATACCCTTGCAAGAGGCGCCGCTCGCTATAAGCTTACAGCCGCATCAGGACTTATCGGAAACATACACCGTGGCTGCCCGTCGGCAATGGAAAAAAGTACTGCAAAATTTGGGGAAACTTGCTCTGAAAATTACGGCCGTGCATGAGCAAATATTGACACTGTCTTCTTCAAAAGTTCAGCCCCTGGAAGAAATCCTCTCGAGTTTAGGTAAATCGGGTCAGGGCGAATATGCCTATTTATGTGTTGGATGATAGAATGAAATGTCAGAACTTTCATTTTTAGGTTAATGTGCATGAGACATTGGCTGCCATGTAGCGCCCACACAAGAAGGGACGGTAACATCTCAGGGTGGGACGTTTACACGTTTGCATGATAAAAAAAGTTCAGATCTGTTTGCAGATTTCCTAAACGCTTAAACGGAACCGCCCCTTTTAGAGGTTTTGATTGACGCAATCAGGCGTTCATTTTTATTGTAAACGATGTCTGTAAAATGTAATCTGATTTTCCGAACACTTTACTGCTCGGTCATATCAAAGGAATACCATGAATTCATCAGCTGAGCTTTGTGTCAACTATTTACACTGTAGGCCTATGAACCATATAATTATGCACAATATGTAAAAAAAACACCGAGGTAGACGGTGGCCTCTATAAAGTGTTCAAACGTTTAAACAGCATGGGAACGGTTTCTGAACGTGATCAACTTGAACGTAGATTCCCATCCTTATACATGTAGTAATTTCGTATATTTGGTCAAGGTAACCAGGACATGTTATGGCATGGAGAGTTACGTTGCATGGGCGTTGCCAGGATTTTTTTCCAGGGGAGGGCATATTTTGACCCGCAATGGGAAAAAATAAAACAAACCTGAGGGCATCAAAGGGTAGAGGGCGGTATTTTTAAAGAAAATCCTTGACTTTCATCCCATTTCCTCTCTTATTTTTATTGACTTCGTTTTTCCCCACTTGTTTTAATGTTCCCCACTTTTTTCGGGGGGGGGCAAGTGCCTCCCCCCCCCCACGCCCATGTTGAGCACCTCGGGGTGACAAGCGATGCTGAGGCAATGTCCGAATCGGCAAACTGGCAGGTGCTTGTCTATAGTAAGTGACTGCAGCTAGCCACTAGTTAATGGCTGCTAAATTGTATAGCGACACGCGCGTATTTTAGCCGTAGTCATGTTGTTCGTACGTGTGGCAGCTGTCTCGTTCATACATGAAGACGTAGGAGCATGCCTGTTGTTAATTCATTTTTAAGGAATTAAAATTTAACAAGAGCCTCCAAGATGACTGCTTTATGCAAAAGATCTATAAACTCTCGAGCGGAAATCTTGATGCGAATTCCAATCGGGGAGAGTATTTTGACCTCATCTGAAACTCCGTGAAGGGTATGAATCAGGGAGGATGCATCCAACAGTTTCTTGTGATATTTCATAAAGATTTCAGACAGCCGGCCATCCTACCGGCTAAGACGATATGCTCTCCCATGGGTTAAGATACCGTCTGTCATGTGAAACGTGAGAGTATATACACAACCGTCCTTCGTCACTTGTGCGTTGCCTTCCAAATGATCAACTGCCATGTCTTCGTCGGTAAATTAAACATTCACCTGAAACAGATTAAGTCTCGGAAAAACGAATATACTGACTGAAATAGAATGTGTCCCTGTCACGTAAAGGGTGAAACCTTCAATTCTGCCGGTTGGAATCATATTAATGATGCCCGATAAATATTGCAACGGGAGACTGCGGCAGGGAAATAACAGCGGAGCGGAGAAATCTCGGCAGCCCGTTGGGGATTGGAGTGACGCCCGCCGGGCCCGGAGGTGCGACTCGCACGTCTCGTTCCTTGATTGCCTACCTGTTTAAATTGCGGAGTTGCGTCCGGGGTGAGGGGACGGTTGGAATATGAAAACAGTAGTCCGGTCGGTGAAGGGAATCTCTCACTCCCCGCTCCGCCTGTGTTTTCCCTTGGCAACCTCGTGCTGGGTTGTTCGTGATGTAAAAATAATAAGTATCGTGAAGATAATAACATTGTTACACCCATGTGACAAGAAGGCCCTGCTCACTGCAGAAACTGCATTGACGGACAAGCAGTTGAGACTATTTGCGTGTCTTTATGATTAAAAAATACACAACCAGGGGGAAAGTGTATAAGGTTAGATGTAAGAGGTGACCGTGGTTGAGATTTTTCACAAGCATGTCTTTTCTAAAACTGAACAGCGGTGTTGGGGGAGAAATACCAAGAAAAATGAGAAAAGGATGCTCCCTGTGCATTGAAATGACTCGCTGATGAAAAAAGATGTTAGAGGGTAGACCCTTAGCACGTGACGTCACCTTTCAACTTTCGCTACTGCTTTTTCATTTTTGTATTTGTTTGGGGGAGGGGTTAGACGAAAGTTTTAGGAGGGCTAAAGGCCCCCCGTAGCTCCCCCCCAACCGAACTTGCGTTGGGCTATACATGTAAATGGACAAAGAATGAAGTGGAGATATTTCTGACGACTTTAACATACAGCTATGCACCTCAGAAAAAGAGAAAGTCCTCTTTTTGATTCAAGAAATCGATCGCTCTGTAGAGGTCAAACCGAAACTGCGAGCTTTACCCCAACATGCGCTGTTTGGTATACCCCCTTGGTTTCCCCAGTGATATACATGACACACATGTACTTATACCTGCACTGTGGTATACATGAATAGAAGGGGAAAAAATGAAGTGTTGGTGTGGGGATAAATCAATGTCTATACATAGGTTGTGTGCTGACGGTTGTATGCACTTGTCCTGGCTACGCTACCTGATCCATATTTTGGCTCCTAGCTACCCGGACTAGCCTGCCAGTGCATCGATTATTACTCCCCCGACCCCTCTTTACTCCTGTGTCCGGTACGGTCCGGTCGCGGTGGGGGGAAAGAGGGCTCGGATGTCGGCACGACGATGCTGGGATTATGGCACGGAGTAGTTAGAATAAATTTGCCTCGGAGGGTGGCAATCTGTCTGAGTTGGTGCTGGTTGATAGTGAGGTTTAAGGTGACCGATTAAGGTTGTCTAAAAACGCGTCTAAGACGAACCAAGGGACACTTGGGGGGTGGTTACTGTAAGGTGTGAGAGTGCAGAGGTCTGATGCAACAAACTATCTGCAAGTTGTGAATTAAACTTGAGACATCCAATACCACAGACTCTCAGACAATAGGGCACCATCAATAAAACCTTCATGACAGGACATTGCAAGTTCCAAATATAGTTTGCCAAAATTTGCGTAAGCAGACTGTAGGACACCATTAACAAACATTTTGACTTAATTAAGACATTGTGCCAAAGTGACAGTGGCCAAGCGTTTTTGATTTAGGAGAGAATTTTAAGTGCTTAAGTTAGGGGGCTCGTTTAATCTGCGATGGAAGTGGACCACGGCCTTGAATAAAAGCAAAAATCGTCGATAGACAGCGTCCTCTTGTGGCTGCTTACAGCGCCCTCTGTGAGCATGTCATTTTTTCGTTCCTCCATCTAACTTGAGTATGATTGACTGAAAATAATTGTCTGTGCACGCTTTTATTGTCAATGTCGTTGTCACTAACGCCGTCTGAACACTCAGGATCTCTATTCCACCCCCAAAAATGTCCAAGAATGAGAAAGAGTCCACTTTACCCTCCCGTGTTACAATTTTCTGCAACATTCTGTCCAGACCGTAATCAGATAAATGTACTCTCTCCCCGTTGCCGCATTAAAAAGAGAAATCGTTCCTAATCATTTTAATTCCAGCATCCTGCGCCTTTTCGCTGGCCCCCTCTGCCTGCACAGACAAACATAATGTGCAATCAACCAGTGGAAGGATACCAGCTGATAAGAAAATCTGTCTCGGGTGTTGTGTTTCATCGTCCTGGGATATCAAATTCTCCAAGACATCAGCTTTGAGAGGCCGACCGTGCCCATTGACTTATGCCAATCATATCTCACTAGGGGAGTCAACAACAGAAAGGAACGAACAAGAACAACCCCCAACCAAAAACAGATAAATATCAATAAAAACCCTGTAGCACTTGTCCATATTTTTAATGGAAACTGCACACATTTTAGACTTTACGTTGTGTCCCCTTAAATCCCATGCGGCAATGATTTCCCATTTTATGATAAACAACTTAAAGATTGCATTTCGAAACCGCTTCACGTTGGGGGAGGCCAAACAGAGTACAAGGAGTTGAGTGAATAACATCCCCTTGGGTATTTATATGCATGATTGGACCCGCTGCAGGCTCCACGCTTTTAAAATGCATGCTGCCAGCCCTCCATGTTCATAATTACAAGACAAGTCGATATTTTGTCCATGCGCTCGGCGATCTCATGAAAATTGAGCTGCCGCGATATTGATCTGGATTCCGCCATCATTGCTTATGATTTTTGCTCATAAAATGCGGGTATGTCATGCTGCCTAGTCGACCCCGCGGGACACTTGAAATCAGGTTCAATTTCTATATTATGAGCTCCAAATTGTATACCTCTCACTGAAAAATATTATTCAATAAACAGGTGTTTTGGCTGTCCAGCGAGAGAGAATGGCGTAGCTGATAAGACAGGAGAGAGCGAAGGAGAAACGAGAAGGGGGGAAAAAATAGATTTGGGTTGGATCGAAGGTTGAGCAGCATCAGCAATTGTAGCAAACAGCCCCCACGGCGGGTCGTGTTTACTCTGTACACGGCAAATATTGTGTGGATATCGGGCTGGGCATTGTCAGAGCGCGCGGAACGGGGCCCCGTGGCCTCTCGCGTCGTTGAGGTTTTTTTTTTCCCCATGATTGCATACTGGCTGGCTGCGAGTCGAAGCCAGCCAGCCAGCCCTGCACAGGTGGCTACGGGCACGTATGCTAATCACTGTCAAAAGCAAGCGACAGATTGAGGCGATACAATCACGATAATAAGGCGCGGATTATGCGCTGCCATTAAACACAATATCAGCGCGGTCCGTTCATCTGACATCTGGTGGGGCCGGTGAACGTGCTCACACATGCAATTGTTGTGGGCTGGCCGCCGTGTGCATGTGCTTGGTGTGGGTCTGTATGTGTTAGGAGCTACATAAAGGCGAGGACAGACGAACCACCCCTCAAACCGTCTTGTGAAAAGCTGGCTGGCATTACTTATTAGCCGGTCTACAGAGAGGTAAATTCGCCTAGAATCAATAACGACAAACCAGAGCAAGCACTGCTAACCCACACAGGAAGCACCAGACCTCGGTCGGGCGCGAATTTCGGTCAATCTGTTTTCATATTTTATTGCCCCGTAAAAACGAAGAATAATCACGGAGGCGTTTACATTGGAGACAAACCTGCGCCGCCACCGAGAACGAACTGATGATTGGATGTTGAAAAAAGAAGGAGGGAAAAAGCCGGAAAACCTTTCCAGCGTCGTGGTTTTCTGATGAACCGAACACAGGGTGAAACCCTACCGAGTTGTGTCCACACGCTGAGCTACTCAACCAGCTGGGCCGGGATTGCATTGCTAAGAGCGGACGAGGCGATCGTTTTACCCTTTGGCTGTGAGCTGTTGGTGGGGTCGCCGTGGTAATGGGCACGAGATTACATCCGCATATTGCGCATCGCATTAGGAATTCTCCGGGACCGAAACATCTGGGCTGTCTGACTTGAATTGGCTCGTGTCGAGTGTTGGCAGGGCGGCTGGATTACTCGTAACTGTCCGTTGTGTACACACACATCGCACACATACTGCACATGTACACCCAAGCTCACAGCGTGCAAGACATGCAGTCTTGCAGGACAGCGTGATGGTTATGCATTGATGAATGAGCAAATAACCTCAACTGTACGATCTTCCACGGAGAGGCGTGATCAAGGAGACAAGCAAATCTCCTTGTAATATTCCTACTGTCCCAGAGACTGTCCTGAGAAAGAAATGTCTTGGGAGAAATCGCCAAGTCCGGACAGTCGTCAGAATGCAGAGTGCGGTTCCAGGACTTCATCCCGAGAGAGGTCATCCCGAGAGAGTAGTTGCAAGGAGGACATGTCGGAGGGACATAACTCGACATGTTCTCCACCCGAGCAAGCTGGATGCGGAAGGGTATCTCTCTCCAGTGTTTCTCCCGTCGGGGTGAATTCTAGGAGGAATAAACGCAAACAGAGCGAGCCTCGTCGACTTAGCACGAGTAGCCTCGTGGTCAAGGAGGAACCAAAAGACAGTCCGGCCCACCCGACTGACCAAGGCCGGCTGACCACCCGTGGACTGACCATCGAGACAGAGGACGATTATCGATACCACAACAGCAGTGTCGTTGGCAGTTCGGTGAGAGACCGCCAGCGGTATCACCATGGTCGCCACCACCCGCAGGGTTTGGACGAACTGATACCTGCAACAATGCTGTCCTTACAGGGTCACACTAGCCGCGCCAGCAACTCCAGCGAGGACAGTTTAGACTTGCATCGGGTGGCAACTTCTACTGCTGTCCCAATGCACTCCATGATGAGTATGTATAGAGGGGGTGACAGTGGGGGTCACGATGGTGGTGATGGAATGAGTGGTGATGAAGCCAAGAGTGACATGGATGACCAAGATGATCCTGGGTCCCACGGCACCTGTGCCGAGTCGCCAGAACTCATGATCGCCGAGGAAAGCGATGCCATGGACGGTAGCAGTCCCGGCAGCAACGCCCGGGAAAGCACCTCCCCGGACCCCGCCGCAAGTTCCTCCTCCAGAGCCGGTGGTTCCTCGGGGTCCCGCTCTAAGAAGACCTCCCGGTCTTACAAGAACCTCAGCAGGTCCCGTCGAATCGTCGCCAATGCCCGCGAGAGAAACCGTGTGCACACCATCAGCGCAGCCTTTGAGGGTCTCCGGAGGGCTGTCCCTTCCTACTCACACAACCAGAAACTCTCCAAGTTGGCCATCTTGAGAATTGCATGCAGTTACATCCTGGCTCTTGCGAGCCTGGCTGATATGGACTATTCCCCCGACCATCAGCAAATGTCTTTCAGCGAGTGCGTGGACATGTGCACGAAAACATTACAGTCGGAAGGAAGGTCAAAAAGGAGAAAGGTATAGACCTATACATTAGAATTGTCAGGGAAAAGGCTTCACTCTGGGCGTATCCATGAGAACAGACGCATGTCATGCATGTTACACAGCAAAACAAGTAAAATATGTAAAAGTTTGCAGTGCAATGCAATTAATCTAACGAAGTGGCTTTGTCTACTTTACTGTTTCATTTCTTTGTTCGGTTGCCCATAGAGCTCTGATACAGTTTCACGGAATCGCCCATTTTCTAATTTTTGTACTGAGTAAAATGCTGGATAAAAGGTTGCCATGACATTTCCTCAAAAGCACCCCTTAGCCTGCGAGGACGGTCTGGTAAGATATGGCCACATATTTTAGGGCCCGTACAGGTTGATGACAAGAACGCAAGTTCCGGTGAGGATTTTTTTCCTCGATACAGTTTGCCAACTCGTGTCCTAGAACAGTTCCAAATCCACCAATTTCAATATGATTTGGCATACAACCTGAGGGGTTAGGGTTGAGGCGTTGCAAGAAGTTTTGGCCTCGTAATCCTCAAGACTCCTCATAATGAATCTCGAGATGGTTCCCACGGCCGCATTTTAAAGTTTCTCCTCACTGGAGATTTTGTTGGCGTGGAAGAGATTCTCTGGTTATTCTTTGTTACGTGTGAAACGGAGAGAATACCGCCCTCTCTTGACAAACGTAATGTGCACGCCAATTATCTGATTTATTTATTTTTTTGAATGGTGTGCGTTACCATCTAATAAGGAAATCCTGAAAGAATTTTAAATACAGTCCTTTAAATACGGGCGCTTCACAATAGTGCGCCTCCAAGAGTTTGAAACGCGTTGGTCAATCACGATGCGCGAACTCTGTCGACCCAATGCGCGTTTGGAAAGGGTCGACAGATTTCGCGCGTTGTGATTGGCCAACGCGTTTCAAACTCTTGGAGGCGCACTATTGTGATTTGACCGTATTCAATCCTTCTCAATTTGTTGCATGGCCTTGCTTGTCAGAATAAGAACGGGTTACCAGTCAAACCTTCTAGCGATATGTAACGGGCGAAACCGGCCCTCTGCCATTATGAATTAATTATTCGGCAGTTGCGTAATCACGGTACGTAGGCCTACGTTTATGTGATGTGTTTTGTCTTCCCCAAAGGGGCGTGGCAGACAGAGGTGAAAACCGTGAGGTTTCTGATACAATGTCTAACAAATGGACTTGAAATCTCCTTGTTTACTGTGTTCCCACAACAGCAGGTGTTTAACAACGGGTTACGGCCCGTCGCGTTTGTCAAGCATGTTTCAAGCACTCCATGCACACAAAAGACTCGACGTTATCAATTGCTGACTAGTTGAACTTGGAACAGGGACTCAAAGCGTCTACAGCGCGCCTGCAGCTTCGTTGCATACAACCTAATCGTATATTATTCAAAAGCGGTTTGTGAATGAATTTCACACCGCATTTCATACCGCGGTCGAGCAGATGTTAAAGCCCCGGCTGGTCGAGAGAAATGAGCTTCCATTAGTCCTGCATCCACCACCCCGAACAATGGGTGGAGGGCAGTCTCGACCTTGGCATCTAATTCTTTCTTTGTCGTTTTTTCCCCTCAAAGCCGTCCCGCATAAAAGTCGAATTGTATGTTGAAGTGTTGAATTTTACCACAGAATTTAATGTATCCACACCACTGCTACCAACGTCGACTTTATTTGCTCCTTGGAAGTAATTACGCTCCTAGCCAAGGTGAAACTCATTTCGAGTTTTTTGTAACACTACAATTCGTACAGGGTTCAGGAGTTGACGTCTTCAAATTATATCAAGAGTTTTATGACATTTAAAATACTTTGTCGAAGTTAAATTTAAGTTTTGTCGATTCACTTCACATTTCTTCAGCAATGGCATAAAAAAACACTGACCAGGAAGTACACAGAGATGGTTTTTGGTGATTGGCAAGGTTTTTTCAGTGTTTCATTCGAGTCCATCACAACACAAGTCCTTTCACAAGTTCCTTCACAATTCCAGTCACAAGTCCCTTCACAAGTCCAGTCACAAGTCCCTTCACAAGGCCAGTCATAAGTAACGGGGTGAACAATGACAAAGGAATGCTTTTGTCACAGCTCATTTGAATAGCCTATGAATTGGCTAAAGACTGAATGACTTGTGATGGACTTGTGATGGGTCTCGTTTTGCTCGCTCAAAAAAGGTGAGATATGGAATTGCCGTCAATCCCATTGAATGCTTCTGTGATTCCTGCATCACAAGGCAGAAATTAATATCTTTTGAGCATTCTTTTGTCACAATTAACATCACACAACAATTCGCGCATTAAAATAAAATGGCCAACTCTCGAATTCCACATGTCCGAAATCCCTTTGGCGCTAGATTCCTTCCCGCCATCTATATGTATTTATTTAACTCGACGAACTAATGACAAACAACGACGCGATCGCCACGTTGGAAACTCAATATTTTTTACCGTGTCTGATTGATTCGAGGTATTATAAACAATATTCCGTCCGTGGCGCGCCCGGAATGTACTTTCGATTCAGAATGGGTCCGTGGGGATTAGGTAAGGCCTGGTCGGGGGCTGGCGCGATGCGATGGCGATATCTTCCAGATTTCGCCCGGCACACTGTAAAGGGAGTTGCAGCTAATTTGCATCGTAGGCTGTTGATTTTATTTGCTGATTTCCAAATGACCTGGAGGCTTATTAGCGGATGAAACAAACATGGTTGAAGTTGAATTTCATGGTGTTACTCGCTGTTGGTTACCTTCTTTTGCTATTTGATGTTATTCAGGTGACCATTATGGTTCACCTTACAGTAATGGAGAATGTATACTGTACAGTTTACGTAACGATACACGTGCATGAGGAATTTATTGCTAATTCACGAGAACTTTGAAGTGTCCGAAGCATGCCGAAACCCTATTCTCAGCCTGTGTGTTTCCAGTGTGAACAGAGTGGAAAACTTTCCTGTCTACCCCTCTCCTCTACCCCGCCTGTTGCTGGGTAAACTCTGGTGTGGATAATTATGCTGTGCTTATTTTACTTCCGCATAATGTCACCCGAACATGCAAAGCAATTCTAGAAACCAAAGGGAATGGTATTACAATAAGGGGTCCAAAAGAAACGTATAAACCTTCATGCCGTATTCGTGTACAGACTAGCGTCAGTCACACGATTGCGCGACTCGATTTGTTTCTTTATTTCCAAGTGTGAGAGAACCCTTTATTGGCTGTCTCCCACTTCTCCAACAAGTCACCCACAGAGAACCTTTGCCTTTCTCCCCTTCTCGTCATGAATCAACCACATGGCCCAACCTGCATTGCAACAATCGCCTCCTTTCTCCCGAGCCGTGACGGGTGACTGATGCCAATTTGTCGGCCAGGGTCGCAAGGCCAAAGATCGGTCGAGCCCCCCGACATTCGTCAGTCGCCGAGCGAATTTCAGGCGGTGAAGAAAGAGAAAAAAATATGTTGCCAGTAAATAAAACGAGTAACATTCCATTTTGGAAGTTTCTGTCCTTCGGAATGACCCTCTCGACAGAAATTAAATAAACAAGTACTTTTTATTTCCCTGCGGTTTTGCACTGGTAACGCAGCTTGGCAGACCAGGGAAGTGGATAGGGTGTTGGGTGATGGAACGGGTATACTTTTGGGGCATAATGGGGGCCGACGGGTGCCCTAAAACCCCGCAGGGGTAACCCTTGGAGGTCACTGACTGGTACCACCTGTGAGCAGGATTGTTCGGAGTGAAGATCAGTTGTCGTATTTTTGTGGAAAATGGGGTTGTCAACTTGAATGAGTTAAGCCTTAACTGCAGACAACGACGGAGTCATGCGTTTTCGGCAAGAGGAGGGCGGTGAACCGCAAATTCCAGCTGGAAACACTATTCTAGTCGCCCTCGGTCGACTCCAATATGGAAGTAAAACCATGTGCTCGCAATAACCTTGTTCGAATCACCCCTAAAATGTCAACAAAAAGGCGCCCTTTGTTACATTGATCCCCTATGAATCCAGTTCTGCCCAGAACATAATCTGCGACTGTGCCGGTGTTCGGTCGTAATTTGATCGATCTTTCATTCCGGGTAAACAGGAACAAATTGGCCGTCTTGGCGTCCACCTGCAAATTGCGATTACGGATTGGGTGCAATTTCCGAGTTGCAGGGCCTGAAGCGAGACGGTGTCATTACGTGTTTGGAGTCATGGATCGAGGGTCAAAAACACACGCCAACGAAATGTGCCCAGTGTGATTTCCTTTGTCGGTTGGGTGATGTACATGTACTTTTGTCTTGGTAAACTTAATGTGTTAACTAAAGCTTAAATAATGCACTGCATCAGGCATAGGCCTGCTCGTATTTCTGGTTAAGTTCCTTTAGAATCGAAAATAATGGGAGAAAGAGTCCAACAGTGGGCAACGTTTTTGCTACAGAGAATGGCGCCCAAGTTAATAAGAGTTCAATTTTTCGATTCCACGTATCAAGTATCGATATATGCAGCATCATATCGAGTTTATCGGTATCGAAGTCATGTGAAAGGTACCTCTTTCGAACTGAGAAAGTATCGCGGTGTGTGATATGCGATAAAACCATACGAACGCACAAACAATACCGCAGTTTACGGCAGCCCCTGAGTGAAGAGTGGATTTTCTGAGTTTGAGCAAAAACAGAAATCTCAGCGTTACATAAAACATGCACCTGATTAACAGAAATGTTTAACTCCACAAGGAAACTTTGACGGCACTGCATACTATAGTGGGAAGTTTTTGAGGGTGGCATGGGGAATATAATTATGATTATAGCCCAGAATAACAGTGGACTTTTGTGGGCCTGATATCTAGAAGAGCCGCCGGCATTGGAGCCGTGCAACCGCCAAGCCGTCGGTGCCCGGGGTGGTGCAATATCGTGTGAAAGTCCCGCTGGTGGCACGATGACACGACCCGCCCCCCTCCAGCAGCTGACCGACTGGGGGCTGATTTTGCTTGGCCGCACTAGTTTTAATGCACTGACACGGACCCTAAACGTGACCGATCGCTGACGAGCGGCGCCCCAGCGGGGCGCTCTGTGTCCAGGTGTAGCGTGTGAGTGCGGGGGGGGGGGGAAATATTGCCACTTGAAAGCCGCTGTCAATATTTCGGGAGTGGAGAAAAGAGGAAAATATGCTGTGAATGGGGTGACTGTAGTGCAGTGCCAATAATTAATTTCGCTTCGCAGGCTGCATACCCAGGGCGACTTTTATGTCTGTAAACCATTCACAAAGCCTGCATCAGCCAAGAGAGGAGGAACCAATGCAAATTTGCTCACTGTAAGATGACGCTCTTAAAAAAGAAGTGGTTGGTTTTCGTACTGATTGCCTTTAGTTCGTGGATTTTATGAAAGAAGTAAAAATGATTTGGAACTGAAAATGGTGTGCAAATATATATAAATATTTCGTGTACGTTTATATTCCCATAAAATTGACGCCAACTCTGAAGTGGGATTGTGGCGAAGTTACGACTGTATTGCAGTAACAGCAGAGCTACCATTTGCCTGTTGCCCAGACGTCCCTAGGGGCTGCGCTACGGCAATCCCCTATTATCCGCGTGGGTGGCCCAACCATACCAGCTGTCTTTGTGTGGACAAGCTGTGGTTTTATAGTAGCCTGGTCACGTGATCCCATCGCGGTGTCATTCTAGACTCCGTTGTCCTTCGTTGTCCTTGCGCATGTACTTGTTCAACTTTGCTGTGTACAGGGTGAAACAGCTGGCTCGGTCCACGCTAATTACTTTTAATGAATAGGTTTATGCGATTACAGTACACGCGACCTGTAGGCGCAATTCGAGACGTTCCACGTGCCGACATGAATCAGAATCTTTTGACACAAATCATGGCTCCGTCACCAACACACATATCACACTAATCCCAGCATTTACTTGTTATTTTTTATACATGCCGGTATGTTTTGATACAAGTCATGTACTTTTATATTCTTAGTCTTACCAAAAGTTCTACCAAACAGTCATTGAATGGAACAATGTCGTTGTGACTTCACTCTCCCGTAAGCCATTGGATGCTAGATATAATTATTTTCCTCTTGACGTCAGTTTGTTTTTTGTGAATGTCACGGGTCTTTGAAGTGTCGATTTGATATGTCATCATGTATTGAGTCAAGCTTGGAAGTACATTTTTATCCAATTTCTCTACGCCCTCATGTCTTTGGTGGGAGATAGTGGGTGACAATTTACGTTAAATAAAGTTAAATATAATTGCTTGTAACTTGAATGCCACACGAAACATGACATGCGGCATCCATGAGCTCATTCTTAAAGATGCCTGCATAACATTCTTAGCACCTGCCGAGAACCATACAACAATTTTTTCACCAAATTGTGAATACCTCGTCATCGATTGGATTTTATTCTGCAGATGGTCACGCCCCCTTCTGCTACCTTCCTTCTGCTCATGCAAGTTACGTGTGTTGCCTTGGCCGATGTACACCTGGCGACGGTGCTGTGGCACCGTCCGCCCTCGGGCGCGTTTTTGATGCAATATAATTTTCGTCTGAGAGCGTGCGAGCCCCGGCCGGTGTTTGCGCGCGAACAAAAGCCGAGCGCAATTTCTTCCACCCCAAAACTGATGTTGCACCATTAGTCGCCATGGCAACCGAGGGGACGGACGGTCCAGATGTTTTTTCCAGTGCGGCGGGGGGGGGTGGTATCGTTGATAATGCGGTGCCCGATTCTGCGCAGCATGAGTTTATAACTAACACCATTAAGATGGGAACCAATGAATGGTAAGTCAGGAAGCGATGGAGAGAACTGAATAGGGAAATTAGGATGATGGGTTGAATTGAACAGCGGTTTGGCGCGTCAAGACTTGGAATTTGATGATTTGGTGTGGCCTTCACACTACTATCTCTTCATACTGTTCGATTCCTTAGCCCTGCCTGATGAATCAGCAGATAATTTCATTCAAAAATTTAGGAAATCTCAGTGTGCTGTTAAATTGATTTCTCGATTTCGCTGAGAACAATAGATAAATGTACTTTATGGGGGAAAATAATTGCATTAAATGTTGTACACGTAGTTTGGCGAAGGGTTAAAATTTGATGGGCAAACAATGTACTCAACAGACATAAACAGTCGATATTATCGATAAATCTTTCCCCTATAACAATCAAACTTTGGGTTTGTCTATAATGTTCTTGAGAGGAAAGTAAAGATGACTTCCTGGATACAAATTAATGTGTAAGTAATGATCACTCTGTTGAGAAACTGCTTTCACATGCAAAAATTTTTGCATGTCTACAAATGGCGTACAAAATGACGGTGACCGTGATCACGGAAAAAATGCAGTAGGGATTGTGTGTCACCTCTGACGGTAGGAGAGGATTGTGACATGCGCCACAGCTGCGAGAGGCATGTCTGTGGAGAATTCAATCGCTGCGGACCTTGGTTTGGAGAGGGAAAAAACTTAATATTTCCGTGGCCATGAGCATGAGAATCACAGGGAAGGGAGAAGTTACCTTCGTCAATTGTTTGCTGCACTTGTGGGTGATTGATTGATTGGAGATGGGGGCACTTTCTAATTAAAAGGTTGTTCGTTTCTGGTTCCGAGGTAAATCAACGGTGATCGATGCGTGTCACCTGTCGCGTGATTGGCTGTTGCCGGTCACGAGTTGATCGAGCTTGACTTGTGTGATTGGTTGACATGGTCTAGGGGGGATTCTTTTTAGTATTACATGTTGTATTTTGATATTGTGATGGCCGGTAGAATGGAGGAGTAGGTGAAGGACGGAGTCGCTTGATGATTCATTCATTGTTAATCGGATTGTGTTTATAACACCGTCCCGTTTTCTGATTCGTCTGCAGAATCGACGTGCTTCACGGTCGAGTCTTTTGACTGGCGAAGAACAAGGTCACGTCAAGTCATTTATAGATTGAACCGTGCCATAGGTTGACAGTGTCAGGTTTATTGCATTTCATTTGTTTGAGCAGGCGTTAGTTCTTATGGCGTGATCACTTCATTATGCACTCGTTTAACTTTTGGCAGCCAGCGCTGTTAATTCGTCTTCTTGGAGATTTTGTTGATGTGTCTTTCACGAGTTAATTTAGATTGACAATGAAATGTCAGTTTACAAGCTTAGCGCTATATAAAACGGACCCTATAATGTTGCCACATATTAACTCAATGGCTCAAAGATCAAAGTCTGGATATGATGTTAAATCTCCATTTACAAGTTGACAGCATACCTCAGACGAAAATCTGAGCTCCCTCGTCGACTGTTTCACAGAATTCTTGTCTCCACCCCGCTTCTTGCATTTCCTTCAGTACTCCACTCATCCTGTTCCACCTGTGTAAGTTATCTTTAAGACCCCCAGTGAGAGCCTCATCTCAACCTGCATCTCTCAGCTCCTAAGGTCTCATCCTCAGCATGCATCCATACAACCCGTCTTCCTTATTCATCAACCACCCCCCCCCCGGTCTTTCTCTTCAATCCATTTGGATGCGCCAGAAATTAATATACGACGGGCGCACCGTCATCATCACAACAGCCGTGCGCGCGACGGGGAATGGGTTTCCGTTTATCGCGCAGCATGATCTCAGCGTTAGGGGCGATCGCGAGATTAGCCTTCGGTTGACCGGGCACGATGCACCAGCGGGGATGCGGTTCAGTACGGACTGGGACTCGACTGAGGAGCCGGGAGACAGCGACGGGAAGTTTGAATCGATGGCCCGTGGTGCAGATGTGCAACCTTTTGTCTGGCGCAGCGGGCCTAGTGGGCGGGCCTGTGGGAAGCTGGAAATATTCCCACATTGTTCATTTGCGATAAGACTGTACTCCCCCCCCCCCCAATTTTTTTAATTTGGAGATAAGACCTGGAGTGTAGAGGGAAATGGTCGTGGCATTGTGGTGCTGTAGGCCACTGTGTGTTGCTGACAAGAAAAGGCAATAATGATATCGCTGTTATAGCGTACGATGCACCCGTGATGAGAATGCGTTCAAAATATGATGCTACTCCCTTGGGAAAATCTGCACGCGATTAACTATCTTGTCCTATGTTGCCCCGTCATGCAGTGGCATAGTCCATAGCCATACGCCCTCTGTTGATAATATCAGCATATAATGCTAGCGAATTTCATCTTTTTTTCATTACTGAAAGTGTTAACGCCATGAAAACTTACTGAATATTGTAGTTTAATTTCCCCTCGGTTTTCAGCGTCTTCTTTCTGAAGTCATTTTTCTGGAGTATTTTTTCCAGCGATATACCCCCAAATCGTGGATCGCTTTAACGGGTTATTTTTTTTTCTTTCCCTGCTCCCTTTCCCCCCAAATTCTTCATCCGTCCTGGGCCTCCCCTCTTTACCAATCGCACTCTCTTCCCCTCGTTCTCCTTTTTTATATCCAGGTGCCGTTGGAATGAGAGCGACGGACATATTTTCGTCTTCACATCCACGTCTTGTTGTAGACGATGGGCCTGGGAAGCCCGTCCCTCCATTTTCAGCTGCCATTTAAGACGAGAGGGCGCACTGCCAACCTGTTGGAGGTGGGATCGCTGTCTTCATCACACCCGTTTGGGAGACGGACCTGTCTGTGGTGGCGCAAACGAGACTCGTCTGAAGATGCACGACCACTCGTCGATCACGGAAGGACTTCGCCTGTTGACCCCGCATTACCGTCACTGTCTCTGCATTCACCGCTTGGATCAAAGACTAACCAGTAAATGGCATTACAATCACCGACATTGCAGATGGCAGGGCTGGAAATAGTGACGTCACCGAGTACAATCCTGCCCAAACCTTGGATCCTCTGATTTACAAACCCAAGCGGTTACCAATTCCACATTTAATTTGCCAGTCAAGCGTGAATGCAGTTATGTTTAACATGTCTTTGTCACCCGCATCGTATCCAGTTAATTGAAAAAAGGACCTTGATGCTACCAGCATTGAATAAAAGTTAATTTTTGATACTGCGGATATACGGTGGTATGGTTATGGGGCGTGCCGGTTCAACCGCTGCTTGAATATTTAAGCAAGGCTTTGCCGTATATTATTGTATATTTCACGTAGTCTTTGCTGCGAATTCGTTTCTCAGAGGGAAATGACTGTATCCAAACCACACTACGCAGAGGATAGACTTATCAGGTCCGTGAACTCTCAGCTGAGAGGGCGCTAGTCAATTTTTTCAAGAGTATTTTTTTATATCGAATTTACCCCATGTCTGGTGTCATCTTGTCAGTAAGTCTTGTTATGTGCATAAATTAGTGCAAATATTTATGTTGTTGAGGACCATGTTACTTAAAGACATTATTATGATAGTTGAGTAATAAAATCTACATCTACGTCATGTGCTTTCAGGAATGTTTCTTAATTGTGGTGTGTCATTTTTTGGGTGGACTTGGTGACCTACTTGGTTCGATTTATGTAAATGTGCAGCATATTTTATTAGATACAATATACATATATATATACATTTGCTTTGGTCTGTATGTTTGTCAATACATCGTGAAACCCGCTACTTGATGTCATTTTACGACCCATAGAAACTCTGGAAAAAATACCCGCCAAAAATACGGGTATGTCTGTCATGCAGAAATGCCTGTAAAAACCTTGATTGGAAACCCGTTTCTTTTGATGGTCGGAACGATCAAGTAGTAAATGACAATACATAATGGTATCGCCTTTGCACGCGTCTGCTTTATGCATTCTTTAAATAATGTGAATCGCAGTGACAGATTGCAAACTGTATCACATTTCATTAGTTGCTGGTTTTGGGAACAGTTGGCGGAGGATGGAATGGAATTGTTGCGAATAGCCTATGGTACCTCTTAGCCGAATCGCCACCTGGTCAAATCTACAGCATTTAAATATCACAGTTTACCTGTAGATATTTCTGATTCAAAATGACAACAAGGTCGTCTTTGTACCTTGTTATGCTTACTCTTGTTCTCTCAACTCCGGTGTGTTCGCTGGCTCCGATATATGGCAACGAAGATCCGCTACTTCCGAACAGGTATCTTGTTCATCTCAAGGTGAGTTGGGCTCAACCTCTTTTCTAATGTACGTATAAAGTCATAGAGGCTGCCAAAATTACAAGGTAACTTCATTACAAGACTGCGAAGGAGTAAAAGTGAGCGACACTGTTAAAAATCTCTCACTGTTTTCTTTTTTTGATCCACTCCTAACTTTGTTGATACTACTTTCCCACAAAAGGAACACAGCAATGTCCACCACACTATAGCTGCAATGGAGCATTTATCAAAGAGGTCGCAACTCTTAAGCCGAGTGCACGGTATTTTCGAGCATGTTATCAAAGCATTCGTCGCAGAGATGGACCACGACTCGCTCCAATCGGTAATCTTCTTGTCTGTTTAATACTGTCTCTCAATACAGCTACCTTCCTGTATCCTTATATCATAAGTGTCAGTCTGTCTCATCGTTTGTTGATCCCTTCATCGGTTCGTCTATATGTTGGTCAGTTCAGATGGCTGTCTGTCTTTTATGACTAACAGTAAACCAGCAAATATCTTGCTTCTAATTGTGTTCCTCGACATATTCACGTATACTATTCTTAGCTTTACTCGATCTGTTTTAGATTCTGTCAAACCCGGAGGTGGAATTTGTTGAGAGAGACCAGACAGTTCATATTTTGAGACAGGAAGGTGACATTCCTTGGGGTCTAGATCGCATCGACCAGCGAGATCTGCCCCTCGATGGAAAATACGAAGTTGAAGGTAAACTTTGGCAGGCCTAGGCCCTATTTGATATCGACCGCTGTAGCATGAAATCTGGAAGAGGTGGGAAATGGCTGATGGCCGTAATCCAGCAAAATAGGATATCCCCCAAAATGACACCCCCGGAAGCTTTTTTATTTCGTGGTCACTTAGCTGTCATTGTAATCTTATCGTGTGTGTTTTAACAGCATACGTAGCACTAAATGAGCGAGTTTTCCTTAGCTGCCCAACGTAAATTAGACAAATCGCCTTTGGTGCACGATCAACATAAGTGAAAATGTTGGACTACTCAAGACCCAACTTACGTCCCAAGCAACCAACATCGTATCTTTGTCCACTGTCCAGAAGATTTTTTCTCATAAGTAACGCATCGGGCATACCATATGACCGTATCGGTGCTTTATTGCTTGGCAGGACCGCTTTCCGCAGTAGTCAGTCGAACACTTCAGGCTTTACTCTCGAACCTGAAAATAAATTCTATCCACGATAGTAAAATACATGTAGTTAAGCGATATGCTACAAACCTTACTTCAACCTTGCTATACAATGAACCCACTGAAGAACAAGAGTTCCTTTGCTATGACAATTTTTCTGTCGCTGCTTAGTTTGTAGTAATACATTGACACAAAGACGTCTTCACCCCAGTAGGTTCAGGAGCCGGAGCCCACGTTTACGTCTTTGACACGGGAATCCTGGCTTCTCATGAGGAGTTCGAAGGCAGAGCTGACGTGGTCTTTGATTACTTTGGAGAAGATGTAAGACGGGATTGGTTCATGACAAAATTTGCTCATGTAGTATTTTCACGAAGCACCGAATACCGTTTCAGTCTTTACTAATTCAAGCGGTGATTGTTATGAGAATCCGGAGCGTTCTGGCGTTTCAAAGTGATCTCCTGTGTGCCTCCCAGGGTGTTGATTGTCAGGGTCACGGCACGCATACGGCCGGCATCGTTGGAGGCAAGACATACGGTGTAGCAAAGGAGGTCGCTCTACACGCCGTACGGATACTGAAATGTGACGGAATGGGCTCTGTGTCTGGAGTCATAGCAGGTGAGTTTTCCTTATGCTCAGAAAGTGAAACTTGACAGAACCATGACTTGAGACTTTCAACCGTCAAAATTTTGACATGAATGTATACATGATGAAATTTGGTGGTGATTTCTTGTGCTATCTTACCTCTTGTTCGTGTTGTCTCGTGTGGCTTGTCTTTTGTTTTTGTTCATTGTTTTTCCTTGCTTACTATGTTTCAGCCACATCTGAGACTTTTAACCCGTATATACTGAAGAATTGGCAAATCTTTTCGTGACAATTTCGCCAACACATTTTATCATAGTCAAGATCCATAATGCATCATTCCAGAGACTTGATCCCTCCTACCGCTGCATCGTGCGTGCTTCTTGGGAATTTTTCCGTCACTAAAAATCCTCCCACTTCATTTTGACTCTTTGGCAACGTACTAGGTCTGGACTGGGTCAAAAGCAACGGCATACGGCCGGCCATCGCCTCCATGTCCCTTGGCGGTAACTTCTCGCTGTCTCTGTCCGAGGCGATATGGAAGACCGTCTCGTCTGGAATTGTAGTCACCGTGGCTGCCGGTAATGAACACACTGATGCATGTACGGTATCACCAGCCAACTCTGTGAAGGTTGGTTGACGCGTCGTGTTGTCTTTCCCCCAAAAGATCCCCTCCCGCGAACTCTGCCATGAGAAAGTTTATCTACTTGGACAAAAATAAGGACCTCTTGGCGAACAAACCTTTACTCAGCACAGACAACATTCTGTTTCACCACTTACCATCAGTCAGCCATTTAAATTTCTAAGCACTCTTCTCGCACCGCGACAAAGAATAATTTTCAAAGTTGCTTTCCTAAATGACAGTTTGCCATTTTCGGCCACCACTCACAAAAATGAAAACGCCATGTATTTTTCTGTATGCTTAAGATGTAGCCATTAAGTTTCCACGATTAGATACTTGTTAAAGACTTATCTAGCAGTTGAAAAAAACATGTCAAGAATTTAATGAAACTTATAACGACTTTGCATTCCAGATGTAGCAGTCATTACTTGCTCCTGAATCCCCGCCAATAATTTGAGGATGTCAATTTTTTTTTCTGCGATTCCTCAGGCCATCACCGTATCAGCCACTAACATCCACGACCGCGAGGCATCTTTTGCTAACGTAGGCCCATGTGTCGATCTCTTCGCTCCTGGCATTGACATCCGTAGCGCTTGGATCTCCTCAACGACAGCCAGCCGCGTTGCATCCGGGACCTCTATGGCCTGCCCTTTCGTTGCAGGTGCGTGATTGGTGTAAGAGCCCGTGACGTAGTAACGACGTAATGCGTCTGTAAGACGTTGCACAAAGTATGAGACTAACTGGAGTTTCATTTACTGCATTCTTCACTGTTCCAGCCGACAACCACAAGCCGGAACATGGCTTCCTAATCTGACTTATGACGTCTAATTCACAATAATATAAAGCTAATTTAACATGCAGAAATAGCAGATGTCATTCCAGAAAGTGACCGCTAAATGACCTTTGAAGTACCAGAAATAACCTCTTATCTATAATGTTGTCACCCGCATTTCTTACCCAAACTGACCCGACAGTCATGGCCTTTCTTTGTAATGTTGATATCAAAATCTGCCTGCTATGAGCCCCGAGCTGGACCAAGAGCGGGCGCAATTTTCCTTGCAACGGAGGCTCCTTTGGTCGGAAGTGCACTTTGCTGGTTCACAAACGACAATGAAATGCGCTGGTTAAGGGTTCGTCGCTACCAGAACAATGAACACTCCCAACCAACATAATTTTGACCCCAACAGTACCATTCCGTGACTCATCCTCAATCTTTTGCTCACTCTGGGAAATGACCCTAACATAACCCTCCAACGACCTCTGATACAACACCTTTTTTATTTTACCCTACCCACCTTCAGGTGCGGCAGCTATCTTGCTAGGAAATGACCCTGATATGACCCCAGATGACGTCAGAATGAGAATTCTGTCCAAGTCGTCAAGAAAAGTACAAACTGCCAATGCGACGTCGCCACACAAGCTGCTATACATACCATAGAAATTCCCGATAGTATTCCCGAGAGTATTCCCTCAGCACCATATCTGTTTCTTGACAAAACATCTACATCTGCTTTTGTTTTGAAACAGCAAATAGAATAGTGATAATCTTATCACACCAATACTTTAAGGATAACGCAAACAGCTTGTACGTATTTTCCATTCAGTATGCATACATCACATTTATTGGACTGGTTACATTGGGGGGGTTTCAGTTCAGCACAGGTGAACTACCGTGCCAAGTCATACCAGACGATTTCCACTTTGGGCAGTATATCTAACTCTTCTAAGAAGCCCAGCACAAGATGCAGTTTGGAAAAAAAGGATAAATCACACTGCATGTCACCTTTTCATTTTGGTGAATTATGTCATGGTACCAACAGATGCAACAAAGTGATTGGTTGGCTAGGGATTTGACAAAGTCAGTGGTTGGCTAGGGATTTGACAAAGTCAATGGTTGGCTAGGGATTTCTAATTATGTAATTTGTCTTCAGGAAACGGGAGACCCTTATTGTAACTAACTCAAACTACATGTATGAATGATTTCCAAAACATTTCAACACTCCTAGCTAACTTTGTGGGTTTTTCCTGCCTAAGCATATTTAATGTTCAAGCATGCAACCGTTTGTGACGAACCATTCACGTTTGAATAACTTTCCACATCTCTTTCCATATACATAACAATATCTTACAAGGCTTGTTTGGTTAACAGTAATTTGTAAACCTTGACAGATAAAAAAATTCGGATAAACATGACATAAAACAATGGCTAGAAAATTAACAGTCCTCTAATTCAATAACTACATTGTACAATTATTACATAGTTTTACAAAATTTTAGCTGCATAACTTTAAGCCTAAATCAGAGAGAAAACAGCAGCATTTTGGGTAGGCATGACAGAAATTTATATTTCAGGCTGCTCTTAATTACTGGAATACCTACCTACAGAAAAATAATCAGATAACTTCGAAGAACTGGTTTTCTGTTAATGAACTCAAATGATCCTAAGAAGCACGAAGAAATCCCTCTTTCATCAAAAACTCTCCAGGTAAAGTTACCATCAGCCGCATGTATTTTTATGTACATGTATACACATTGCAGCTCATAAAATGGATAAAACAATTATGGAACATAAATATAGCCGACAATGTGAATCAACAGTCAGCAAGAATACTTTAAACAGTGTGAGAAAAATGGATTTACACTTCCTATTAAAGTAAACGGAACTGGTTATATTGGCTATGCTCGGCTGGCAACGCAGGGCAAATATGAAAACAGGAACATCAAGAGTAGTGTAGCATTCTAATGACTACAAGATTCCTTTAAATGACGAAGCAGGGAGACATAATTGAAAAATGATCGACATATATATGTATGTATATCTTGCAAAGTATCACATGTGGTTAGGCACACACACTAGGCAAGGTTCTGTAGAAGGTGGGGGAGGCTGAGGGGTAAGTTGGAGGTGGGGGGGCCTTGCCAAAAAGAGGATTAAAACAGGACAAAGAATGACTGTGCTTCTGTCTTTGAGTGATTTTCTGCCAAGCAGTGTTTCATCAATCAATATATCCCTGCCACTGACATTTACATTCCCAAATTAACTGGCTGTCAAGTGCAACAAAGACCAATGAAGTATTCTACTAGACCAGCTACGGGGACAACAGCTTTGTTTCTAAGACGACAGATAAAGAGTTAGAATTACTTCATAATGACTATCCTCATTATCCTAGCTTACACATATTGCATCTCTGCATGGGTGTGGCCAAGGTCTGGTTCTTCACCTCTTCACACCATACAGAGCACAGCATAAGCACCCGGGATCCCTGCTATAAAGCCAAGAGGAAGTGCTTCCATTCTGAAGCTGTGTCCAAAAGTAATGGCTGTGGCTGGAGATGACACACATCCTTATGGAAGCCAGTAACCTTGCAGCTGTGGCTACTTCCCATAGATGTGTGTTTCTCCTAGCTGCAGCCAACTAATCTCGAAACAGCCTCAGCAAAACGAGGAAGGTGGTTGCCTTTGTTAGTCTTGTTCTCACAGCCTCTGAGTAAAAAGGCTTGGCAAGTATAGTTCTTCGCTCATACTGACATTCAAGACTAGTTCCTAATCCCATCCACATATAAAGGCAAGAATTCCAAAGCGAGAAGCCTGAACAAAGACACATTGGCATAAATCACCACTTTGACCAACGATAACGAGCTATTTCTAACATCACTGAGCAATGGTACAAATCCTCAAAGTAACAGTTCCTGCAGTCAATCTACGCACGTTCTCTCAAATTTGGTTCACTGATGGTAACAGTGCTGTACCCCTAAAAGTCCTGTTCCCTGTTCTCAAAGACCACCCTCTAGTGCCAACAAAGGATTTTAGGTATATGATTGTTGGACCAGTACCTTTGCTCACACATTTGCACCAGCGTACATATTTTTCTTAACCCATCATAATGCACAAGACAGCAGGCGTAGAAATAACATCACAAGGATAAGATATACTGAGTTGTCTTAGATATTGTTTGGCTTTACAGGGCTGATGATTCCATCGCTCCGTCACTCCTTTTCACTTTTGGCATTTGTCATGTGACCTGTTCACGTACGTGGTCTACGTCTTCACTTCGCTGCCCCGCCTAACGAATGTCTTGAGTCGTGTCATCTGGGCGGCCACGTCTTGCTGTAAGGCAGTGATGATGCGGGACACTGCCGCGCCAATTGTGGCAGGCGATTCATTCTTGTCTGCCAGCTGGTTCCAGTCGTTGCGCACAACACCAGGAGGGCACTACGAGGGACCAAAAAGAAAGGAGACAGATGTCAATCAATCCAAAACGGACCTTCTGGCTTGTTTCTGTGGATGGGCAGTCGAGATAATCTTGTTTCTTTCTTAGATATGACCAACCTCAAATATCTTCTGTGGAACATTAAATTTGCCCCCTGCAGCCCCTCCTGTACATTTAATGGGGATGACCGTGTGATCACTCCAAGTGAACTCCTCAGCTTCATGGGCAGCACCAGGACCTCCTAGCAAGTGAAAAAAAAATCAAGATGACCAGGCAAAACAAAACCAGAGCAACATCAGACTGTCTTATTTCTGAGTCGGAAAAATTTCAATGTAAACTGAGTCACATCCATTTCTGACCTACTAAGTGAGAATCTCCACATTCCAACCTCACCTTCGATGAGGATACAGATGTCAAATATTCGAGACACAATTGTCTCCCTCTGCCGGACACTGTCACCCACAAAGACCGTCTCTCCAAAGGGCATCGGCTGAAATGTCTTGTCTCTATTTTGCCTAGCCTGAGGACTCCGATCCTGAATGGATAAATGCCAAAGTTGCACTGAAACATTGCAGAAGATTTCAGATATCAAAAATTATTCTGCTGAACACCCCTACAAACTTTACCTGTTCATCTCTGTTGGGCAGGATATGGTAGACATCCTCTACTCTCTTCAGTCTCTGTCTCTCGTCATAGAAGCTCCTGGACACCGTCTCCCCGACTCCGAAGAAACCACCTGTGACTAGGGTGACTTTCTGTAACTTGGCCAATGCTTTGCCGATCTCTCTGTACAAAAAACACACAAAGAATATGATACTGGTTTACCAATAAGTATTCATTTTTCTTTAATTTAAGAAAGCTCTAACAAAGATCCCCTTGGGCTCAGGGCTAAGTAAGTACACGTAACAATTTTGCAGGTGCTTCAGTGTCACAGGTAGATTTTGATGTTCAGGCTAAGAGAGTGGTTTGAGAGTCTAGCAAAGATGTCTTTGAACTTAGGGCCAAGCACATACGTGTGACAGTTTGGCAGGGTTTCCTGTGTAGCTTTCATGTTCAGGCTCAAAAAAACCCAACTGCCTCACTTCAGTGACTTTGTTTTCTGCAAGAGTGCTTACTTGCATATGGCCTCACTCTTATCGTAGTAGAAGCTGGTTCCACCTGAGATGTAGACACAGTTGCTGCCTGGCAGTTTCTGGCAAATGCTGCCAACCTGTGACAAAACCAAATAATTGTCGGTTCTCAGTCTGGGTCAGACTCTGTGCATTACTGAGAGCTCTGTAAATAGATCGCGTTGTCTACTCACAGGACCAAGAAACCAACACATCAGATGCATGCACTGGCTTTTATATGGGAATGGTGCAGGTTTTTTGTGACCAGTTTTCAACAGAATGTACACAATCACACATGAGCATCTTCAGTCAAAGTAGAATCGCCTGTCAACAGTACAACGCAAAAATTCTTTAGTGCTTTCCAATGAAATGTAAACGAAACGAAACTGGAATGGACCATCCCCCAAATCATTTGGGAAGTCAGTGAAGTCCAAATGAACGATGAGAAGATTGTTCTGTGCAACTCACACATGCTTCTATTTGCGACTCCTTAGCTGCGTTCATTGAGCAGTCGGACTGGTTGGGGTTGAGGGCGCACTTCACTCTGGCCATGAGTGACTGCTTGTAATCCACTCGTCTGACATCCTGCCCAAGAAAAATCCCACAACTTTCAATCCAGCCAACAGGTAACATACAAAATTTTATGGCACTGTCAAGCAACGACTGCTGCTTGTCACTTTGCTGAACATGAAACTTGCACATGCCTGGAAAATCTGAATAGAAAACTTTTCCTGAGCAAAAATCCCCAGCAGTCAACAAATTTCCATTCTCTGTAGTAACTTCTGATTCAATAAAATCTTGCTGATTGGAATTTCAACAAAAATGCTGACATCCCCTTCCTTAGTAACGGTCATTTGCCGCACGGTTTCTTGTTGCAAAGTCTGGTTACTTCCCCTGATGGACTTCTACACTGTCTTCAGAGGAGCCTTTGCAAGTTACCTCCAATGTGCTGGTGCCAATGAGCATGCTCATCCATCCTGGCATCTCAAACTCCTCATACTTCAACGGCACCACTCGCTTACGTTGCTCACAGTAAAAGACCTAGGGTAGACAGAGGCAAGGTCAAAGGTCAGGTCATTCAAAATTGGTCCACTCCCAGGAAAACAAACATTGAGCAATGCCATGAAAGTAACTAGTGCTTTGTCACGCATAAGTTCAACAATCCGTTGTTACTGTGTTAGACCATCAGTTAATGACATTAAGTCAAAAATGCTACAGCTAAGTTTAGTACAGTGCATTTGGCTCATCAAAGTAGACTGGCAGCCTCAAAATGTGGGGCCATGTTAGCGCACACACCTGTTGTTTGCCGGTATCGGAGCTGGCAAAGTCCTTGGACAATACAAAGACAATGACGCCTGCCTCCGCTGCCTTCTGCTGCAGGATGCTGACAGCATTGGCAGTGTTGTCTTCCGTCGTGTCGAAATCAAAGTCATCCCCGTCCAGAATCAATGTGGAATCTAAATGCAACCCAAACATTGCTTCAAAATATTTAAAAAACCCATCATGCAGGAAAAGTACATTTACACTCCTTTTGTTGCATAAGCATTTTCTTCCCATGTCTATGGAATGCATATTTAAGACCCCCCACTCAAAAAAGGTAGCTGAAAAAACTTAAAGTAGCTTTAAATGCAAATAGCAGACCTGCCAACCTTTAGAATCACAAAATGTATTCAGAGGTTCCAAAATGTGTATTTTTCAATACAAATGTGTATTTTCCCAAACAAACAGGCAAGACAAACTTACAAGTACCTTTGCGTGACTACATACTATTTGAACTTTAATACTTACTCATGCAGGCTTCAATGGCCCTTATAATTTCCTGGTGTTGCTCACAGTAGTTGCTTTGTTGCATTTACGCAACAGTTCATTTTGGTGTGCACGTTGCTGCCATGGCCTGGCTGTGGCTTGGGTGTATATTTTGTTTGTGAGAGAGTCTGACAGGACTGCAGTGCTGTGGGTTGCATTCTTCATTTCAGCAATGTTGCGGTGTTTACTGCTTTCCATGTGGCGAGATACATCATAACTCCCACTATGCGCGAGACTGAAGTCAGAACTACACAAAGTGCAGCGAGCGTCATGTTCACCTCTCCGGGAACGTAATATGAATTCAAATTTCTCCGTATATTCCCTTTTGAAAGATTACTTCCGTTTTTGGGTGTCTTTTTTAGAAGTTGAAGCCATTTTCATTCATGCAGATTTACGATTACGTCGGGAAAATCTTTTGCATGCACACGAACGTACACTCCACTCCACATGCCAATCAGTTTTGGTATGCGACGTTCCGATTGGTTGATACGTGCACTACCAGGGGCATGTGTGCGTCAAGTACACCAATCACGAACGCTCTACGAACGAGTTCGTGATATTGAACTGCGTGACATGTGGCTTAGTCTTGCTTGCAGCCGCTTTAGCTATTTTAGCTTAGATTTCAAACAGCGCCCTCTTTTTTCCTGTCCGTGCCAAAATTATTGAAATCCGTATTTTACGGTGATAAAAACGTACGGTCGTATTTTCATCAATTTTTCGTACAAAATACGCCAAAATCGTACTATTTGGCAGGTCTGAAATAGGTTCAGGAATACTAAACACGAAGTTGCAGGCACGCATGTGTGTGTGTATAAACTCAAACGGTAACAACTGTACCATCTTCCAACTGCCGAGAGTGGGAGCAGAGATTCATGCATTCATTGTTGAGTTCTGTCGTACACCAGACCTCGTAGCCTTCCCCTTCAAACAGTTCTTTCAATTCATCTCCCTTTGATGGAAATAAATGCAACTGATGTTAATGGTCCAGTCCACTCACAAATTACAACTCTGAATAGACAGACTAGAATGTAACTACACATATCTGAACTCACGACTCGTGTCTCAAGATGTGGCACGGGTATACAAAAAAAGAGTTAGTGTGTGAATGCTTGTGAGAAAAAAAAGGCCTTAGGGCTCGGGAGTGACATATTTAAATCCTTAAAATTCAAAGAACTGCAGCTTGGCCGACTTACAAAGTCCTTCTGCTTTGGGTGGACGCATACGACTACCATGGGGGCGCCCTCACGACTCTCGGTTACCACGGTCATGTCATTAGGCAGGCCTGGCGGTAAGGCTGATGGGTAGCTCCGCAGTATGGGAGACTGGTGGAAGAAAATCAAGAGACGAGGCTTAAGTCTGAGAAATGTATCACCTTGAAAGACAAGGACAGCAAGTCGGAAATGATTTTACCAAGAGAGAGGACAGAGGAAGTTTGTTGTTGATAATCATGGACAGGTTTGATTCCGTGCATTTTTATTTATTCTCTATATAATTTATTTTTTATATTCCTATGGGGGTAGTGTTTGCCCGTTCACCTTCTTTAAAAAATTCACTGCAGCGCATGAACACAACTTTTTGCAATGAATGTGATTGAGAGAAAATGCCACACTTTATGTGATGTTGCACTTTGTGTTATTAATTATAAATTCATTATCAGACATTTCAAAACAACTATGCAGCCTGTGTGATTGTCCTTTTGAAATGCAAATGACTGGTGTACAGTTACCTTCTTTTCTGACTCCTGTTGGGCCTTCTTCTTTGCGTGAGCCAAACACCGCGTTCCAATGTCCTTGCTGACTGTGATGACGTCACTGCTGTTCCACGTGTACGTCACCAACTCCTGCTGCGTTGATTTGTCTGCCATAAGACGGAAAATTTTCTCTGGAAATAACAACGGAGATGTGCACAAAAACACACAACACTGTACATCAAGGGAATAGAGAACGGTGGTTAGTACATGAGTTCATAGCAACAGCAGGCTGAGCTGGCCAATCAGCTGTTAGTTCCATGGTGAACAATCACTACGATGGTTGGCACATCTAACAAGCAGGAATCCCTCCTGTTACTACGCATGTGCAATAAATGATGGCATGGATTAGTAAGGTCTTATTTCACCATTCTGCATGAAATCAACTACAATCTAACTACAATCAAACTCCCAATTTCATTTTTTATTTACAAGTCAATAGTCCATGCTCATTCTGTTCCCATCTGATCCACTTTCAATGGTGTGAAAGGGCCGTTTTCAGCATACCCTTGACTCCCATAATGCATCTGGCATTTCAAGGTGCAATGGTTTCCCTACTTCAAGCTACCATGTCCAGTGTGGAAATGTATGAGGCAGGTCTTAAGTATATAAGCCGTCCAATAACTGCAGATGGTACCTTTCTGCCCATGCAACAGTCAACACCGTGACTACCCAATGAGGTGAATTTGGAAATGGGTATAAAATTAGTGACTAACCATTAGAAATGATGGTTAATGGAAAAGCTGCTTTACACACAAATGCACTTAACACAAAAAAAATTTCTACCAAGTAAAACTGGTCAACACCTGCAAAGCTGAATTCTGTATATTCTGTCCGGTTGGTCCATTTCTAGTGACACTGTGCATTAGTAGCATTTTGGGCAAGGCAGTTTTAAAAACTTGAGCCCAGAAAGTCTTCGACAACCTGGAACAGCACTGAAGATGTGACATGTTGTAACCGCTCCCAAAGCTTACAGTCAATGTTAGTGTTCAACAGTGTTGCAGTAAAGTACTCCACAAGTGCTTTTTTCTGGTTGCCAAAAGCACTATCAACACAGTCTGTGGTTGAACAAATAACTTTGAACATAATTGGTGCAGTTCCATACTTGTGGCTTCGAGACTGTGAGAACATGTTACGTACTAATGGAGTTATTACTTCAGCACTGGTGCTACATGTACATGAAACTGTTAAGTACTGCATGGACCGGCACTTAAGTTACGAAACCAGACCAAACCCAGATGTGTTCCCTACAATCTCTTAACTGCATAGCTGCTGATGGAATCAGCCTCCAAATGTTGAAATTCATAGAAATTTCACATCAAATTTAGATCTGAATTTGGCCTGGGGTGTAGTCAGTCTTGCAGCCTAAACTGAACTTTCTCAGCATTGACGTCTGGCACGACAAACTCTTCTTTAATCTAGAAGTACATGTACTAGAAACTGCAATCACATGCTCAAATGAAAGAATGCAGAGAATTAGAAAATGGAGGAAGCATCCTTGAACTCTGAAGCCTAGAAAGCAAATGATCTAGTTTAACAGAGATAAAACCACAGCAAGTAGCCAGTGGTCAACATTATGAGATAATCTGAAAACAATGAACTACATGTTACTTCACCTTACTACACAGGTGGCAGTTGACTGAATACAACATCATGAATATTCAGGTTGTTACCTCTCTTTGCATGAATACTCACAAGTGTGACCTCTCACCTCTGTCCTGTTTGCCCTGTCTCCAGTGGATGAACTGTGTGGTGGCAAACTGGATTGCCAGGCAGCAGGGCGGCCACGTCTCCACAAAGGACACAGGTATGATGTACTTATTCAAAATGTCCGCCAGCTTCAACTGAAAAGGAAATCAGGAGTTAAAGCTGGCATCAAAAGATTGAGTGGCTAACTTGCAAACGGCAATACCTTGCCTACTCGTGAAAGTTAAAGGAAGGCATTGTGTGCGAGAATGGATGCACAGGAGTCACCAGTGTAAATTGCCCTGGCTGATTTTTCATCTGAATGTGTACAAATCTGGGGCACCTTCAAGCCAGCCTGCTGACCTTACCAGCCAGCCAATAAACCACTGACTTCCTGGCAACCAGCAAGACAGGTGAACAGACCATTTGGCTGACTTGCCAGCCGGCCTACCATCCAGAATGCAAGCCAGCCAGCAAGCCTGCTGGCCCTCTACCTCATCAGCTTCCCCTCCCTTCTTTACCTCTCTGTTTGTCCACTGTGTCTCTCCGTATCTGGGAGTAACCAGAGGCACAAACACCTCACAGTTACTGACAGCGTAGTTCAGACTGTCTTGCCAATCGCTCCCACAAAATATCTCGTGCACATCCTGGAGGAAAAAAGGAATTCAATAAGAATGATAAAATCTGTGGTAAGTTATCTCAAAATGAAATGCTCCAGAATTGCACATTATAACCACCACAAATGAATGTTGATACATGTACATGTATAGACATGTATGTACAACATGTCCCAGTCTAACCTAAATAATTTGAGACTAGATAACCTACGACAGACTAGAGTTTGATCTGCAACAACCACATTACAATTTAGATCGACTTGAAATGCCTGATACATATTTGATTTTTGTTCTCACCAGATACACGCTAAATTTTAAGTTCTCGAGAGCCGTCTTTAGGTCCAGGGCATACTGGGATGCCTCTGCCCGCACGTAGCTGATCAGGATCTGTTTGGCAGGGAGCCGTACAGACTTGGATTGGAGGAAGGAGTCACCGTGAGGGATGGGGCTGATGGGTCTAGGGATGCTCCCATGCGTCAAGGCAAGGCCGGGATTCTCCAAGCTACGAGGGGTTGGTGAACAGCTGTGGGTTTGTACAGAATATTAAATAAATTATCATTTCGTAAAGGGTTTCAAATGGGAAATTCTTCACATACATGTAATGTTGATTTCAATTCTCAGACCTTGAAAAGGCTGAATTATTTGAAATTGTTAAAAGTTTTCAGTGACACACGAGACAGATAAAGTTCACTCACTTGACTGAGTTAAGCATGTTCATTATTAACCACTTCGCGCCCGGCCCATTTCTACATGTTTGTTTTGCTGGGCTGGAGGGATTTTTACATTTTTTCTTTAAAAATTCATAACTTCATTTACTGGACATTTACAACCACATAAATGACTGTCTGGTGGCTACTCTAATCTGACAGACAACAGCTATTGACGTCCGAATATTTCAGACAGGCCTGCCGACTTGTAAAAAGAGCCCATGTTGTGCGGTGTTATGTAATTTTCTTTTGTTCCCGAAACAGGCACAGTGCGGTGCTGGTGTCTTCTCAACAGGGGCCAGATTAGCGTGCAGCGGTATTGTATCGCTCATCGCTGGAGCACTGGAGAGCTTTTGTCCACAGTGGTAATTTGCTCATGCAGAACGGCACAAACAGCGGAATAATCTTGAAACACAATGACAGATTTCCTCCACTATTGACAACTGAACTTGTGTATGAACCCAAGGAGTCGGTTCCGGAAACCCTGACAGCAAGTGGTTAACTGATGTGAGCAGTATATTTGAATATCCTTCAAATCACTCGGACCTTTACTCTTCGTATTGACTACTGTTTATGCTGCCTGGCAATGTTTAATCTTCAAAATGGAAACCCTGCACGTAGATAAGGGTTGTAGTATTTGAGCATCAATTGTCAAAACAAGATAGAGCCGTTGACCAATATTTCAAAAGTCGGGCGCGGCAAACAGTCTTGGATACACTGTATGTACAAAGGCATTATGCAAAGCAAACCATAAACACTAAGTCAACAACAAAAGACGAGACTGCAACACAAAAAAAGAGCACCAAATATTTTTGTGAAGTAAAACGATAAGGCTGAAAACATTTTACTATTTTTTTCTGGGGGTGTCGACCGTCAGGCTCAGACTGTCATCTTTCTCGATGTCGCCGAGGTCAGGGTCATCGCTGCTCTCATCCAGGAAATGAAGCCTGACGCAGGAACCCGATAAGACGTCGATGATGGTCATGGCATCCTCTTGCTGGGAACAGATCGGCCAGAAGTTGCGGTCCACAAATACCCATTTGCCTGCTGGAAGCTGATGACTTCCGCCGAGCTATTGCCAGAGGGGAAAGTACATGTAATTGATAATGAGACAGAGTGTGCATCTAAGTCTTTGAAATAATTTAACTTTTTCAGTAAAAAGTCTGGAGAAACTATCAAAATTTAAACAGAACAAAATGAAAGCCAGCAAAATTGAATAAGTTTGGAACTCTTCCAATTTAATTACCATGGTAACACATACCTGTGCTAATATTGCTTCTCGGAGTTGACTAATTGGTAGACTAAGAGATGAAACAAAAATGAAACCAAGGGATCTACCCTTCTCAGTAGAGACTCCGACCCGTGGCCTTGCTGTAAGAAAACACAATTATGCTCCAACTTTGAAACTGTCCAAGAGCATTGTAAAACGTTGAGGTTTAAATGTATGTCTCGTTGTTACTTCTTCATGTGACATTCTTAGCTTTATGAGCTTTCACAACAATGTCTGTAGTCTGTTCTGAATATTGTTTGCTCTTGGTTGAACCAACAATAAATCTGAATCATGTACAGTTTTGCCGGAAACATCTGCTACAATTACTGGTAAGCAAATACCATAGTCCACGTAGCGTTTGCCAACCACTCCAAGAGATATTGAGATTAAGCATCCCATGAAGGTCACATCAAATCCTTTTTTGCGTTAAAAAAAATTTGTCTCCAATTTGGGGGCGACTGGACCAATTTGGTTTGCCTGCTTTGGAACCAATTTCAGAATCACTGGGAAATTAACTAAAAGGGGGTACTGGATTTTACTCTTATTTTATCATTTTATGTTTGCTAATTAAAGTCTTTGCTAGATCTATCTCCTGTCCTACATGTAGCTTCTGTCCATTTTGCATTTCCACAGGCACCTGACTCTCGAGCAAATATCCCTATTTTGTCAAGTACTGGCACGAACATCCTGATAAGATAGGAAACTGGAATGAAAAAAATTCTAAATGGGGCAGATATGGCTTCCCTGTCAGACGCCATGCCGCCACACACAGCAGATGGCACTTTGATTGTCCTCTTAAGAAGAGACAAAAAGTCAATGTACTGGTGAGCATCATGGACAATCTGCAGTTTCACAGACTAAAGCCACATTTTCTGAATATGAAAGTCAGGAAATGATGTATAGTAATGACCCTGGTCAATGCTCCACTTAGAAAGACAGTGCATGAAGTTTGTAAGTTGAACAAGCCAGTGCTGTGATCTCACGTGCATGTACACAACTTACAGTCTACCGCCGTCTACAGAGTAAATATTTATCCTTGTGTCCATGACAACCTGTTAATGGATACTAAAGAATTTCCTCCCATGGAAAATAAAAGTTAACTTCTGACTGCAGAATTAATGGAAGCGACTCAAGTTCAAGTCCCAGTACATGTACATCCCAAATTCCTCCAGTGAGTCAACACGGTGCTACCAGGCAGCCCGGAAATCAACAAGTAGGCCTACTTCAGACTTGTTCAGGCAAGTCCAAGACAAACCTTTGGAGCAGACCATGGGGTCCCTATACAGTACACACACTGAAGAAAAAGTATATGTGTAGACAATCTTGGTCTTTTTAAGCACTAACCTTAATTCCTGCACATTTGGTGTGTGGGAAACAGACAGAGTGAAAAAAATACTGACAGTGCTAACTTTTAGAAACACAGCATGATGACAGTTCTATGTGTAGGTGACCTTTCACCCTATCCTGCATTTGTCATTCCCCACATGAGAACTTGAAAATACAACCCTCCAAATGTTGCTGAAATGAAGGTACGATAAATAGGCACAAGATGGTGCCTCACTAGATGTGAAAACTCACGAAACTGTGAGCAAGCTTTAAAAAAAAATTGGTCTGTGCGATGGCTTACCGTAGTCGGGTTGTATTCTCACCACGGTGTCGTCGTTAATGAGATGCTTGACTTTAATCATGGATTCCTGGGCTGATGTGACAGGCCACCTGTTTTGGACCAGATGATGAGAATGAGAAGTTGATGAGGTGGATCATGAACGGGTGCATGATCTATTAAAGTTGTAGGGCTTTTTTTCAATTAAGCTGGAAACCACAGCAGCAAGGGATTAGGTTTAATATGACAACCATCGGATGAAAGAGCTGAATATTTTTTCTAACATCATCACATCACATTCTTCATTATTCTTAGCCACTTAGAAACTTGCAGCCACTTTGATGCCGATTTTATAACTATCGGACACAACATGTCCCACAAGTGTGCACATGGAATGTCCATTTTATTTTTCTACGACAACTTGGCCAAATATACAGTAACTCAACTTCGTTATTTGCATTTCTTTAGGTGCATATCAATCGTCAAAAGATTGATAACGGCCCCCCCTACAGCCATGCAAGTCCAAGAAGGTGCGAGCAGATTTGAAAAAACGAAAACATAAAAAGTCCTGTTAGGGTTATCGCCAAATGCTTTGACAAAGACTCACCCTTGTTTTGTGAGGAATCGAAAAGAGGCGGGTAACGACTCCACCTGTTTCTGCATGGCTTCTCTCATCTCCACAACAGTCATGCGATCCACGTTCATCAGGATGAAGCCCAGGGCAGAGTCATGCTCCTTGTTGCCATGGCAGCCCATCTCACTGGTTAGGCTGATGCCCACCAGCGAGTGGCTCTCTTCATCTGAGTTCCAATGTAAAGTTTAAAAAAGTGAACAATTGAAGAAAGAAAAACCACAAAACAGAAGGTGATCTGAGTGTGATAGATTTCAGGCAGATGTCAAAACTTTTGAAAGTTGTTTGGCTTGCAACATTGTGCCATCGTATTTAAAGAATTACAGCATGTTTTAAGGTGCAAACTTTCACTGAGACCATGAGAAAACACATTCACATTTAATGTTGTAACTTCAAAATTAAATAACGAAAACTGTACACAACAGCATTCAGTAAACACACTAAAAACCGTCCTCAATTTCTGCTCATGATGCCTCGAGAGGTTTGAGTAAATAAAAAGCATGCTCAACAAAAAAGGAAAGGAACAAATCATGATGCAACATCAGAATACAGCCTGAAGTTGGACAGAATCTGAGGGGAATATGCTGAAATATTCATGATTTACAGACTTTGAATTGTTCTGTGGATATCTGAGGGGTACATGCTGAAATATTCACGCTTTACAGACTTTGAATTGTTCTGTGGATATCTGTGTACAGTGTACATCAATGGACTCGGCTTCCACCAAAGCAGCGATCACGATCGATGCCTTGTACCATGCCAACAAGTACATGTACTGTACTGTAGCACAGGTGTGTATACGTGCACATGTACAGATATCTTGGAAAATTTTCATTGTTCACTGGTATAAATGCTTACAAATATCCGTCTGGTTGGTGTGAACAAGCATGACCCTGACCTCGACACAGTACATGTACATGTATCCACAATGTACTCATCCTATGAACACTCAAACATGCAACCCATGGATTGGTAAATTGACTCTTCTACGCGTTCCTGTGGTAGATTGATTATTTCCTTTAACATTTACGACAGCAGACGCACACTAGTGTATTTAGGACTGTGTGCAATGAATGAAAAGCTTCGGTGTCAGTCTGACCGTATAACTAAACAATAGAGGACACAGGTACAGTGTAGTGTACATGTATCAGCATAAGGGTGTCCCAAGCATGGTTGAAAACTTACAAAGACGCAAGGTGTACGATGCTTTTTACAATTAATCTCTTTGAGAACTACACCAGTTAAAACTAACAAAATGCAATGAATGTGATGTAAAGTGTATCTACCCTGTTTTGAACAATTTAAGGAATGTGCCAGCAATGGCAAAAGTCCTTTTTCATGCATTCATACATGTATGTAACATGCTTCAAGGCCCTAGGCTTGCCTGGATGGCATTGATAACTTCCACACTTACTCTCCTGTTCATCTCCGACACTTTCCCCGTTCGCCATTTTCCGCGTCTTCCGGGGCGACCCTGAAAGATGGTCATCCTCATTGTCAGCAAGGCAATTACGATCCGTCACTCTAAATCTGCTTTTTCGACTCATCACTTAAAAACCTCAACCACTTGGCGATCTACAAAATCTACCAGAGTCCAAGTTTGCATGTGCAGGCACAACGAATCTTGCAACTTGCAGTCGGGAAGAACCAGTGTCCTGCACATGAGACCGCTATTGACAGAGTGGCCCAACGGAGACACAATGCAGATGTTTATCTCAGTGAACGCACAATCTTTCTGGACCCATTCATGAAGAGAACAAAATGCAGGTACCGACGACGACACAAGTTCAAACTGACAAGCACAAAGGCGAGAACTGTGCACGTCCTAGTACATATAAGTTACATGTACATGTACACGTACATACAATGTAGGTGCAAGCCAGATACACAGAGTACAGTATTGTATACAAAGCAACTGGGAAGGTCTAGGTCACTCTCTGGCTTTATGTCAAATAATACCACTTTGGTCAATTTTCTGCTTCTGCTACAGAAGTGCAAGCTCAAAGACATAAACACAAGCCCACAGGGTCATCTGTGACAAGGCAGGTTAGTGTTCAATCCCTCTCCTAAATGGACGAAGGAATGGTTGTAAGCACATTCATGTACATGTACATGTATGTACACATGTACTTTGTTCCACTGGCTTAATCCTGAGCTTTTTTTTAGCCTTAAAGTTTCTTATCAACTGAAATCGCAAGGATATTGCCACTGACTGATAAAGTCTGCAAGCCTTCCAATATTGACAGATCAAGTTGACATACTGTAGATGCCAGACAGCACTGGCATCTGGAAAATTAATCATGCGGAGGCAGGCAAGCAAGTGTTGAATTGACTCCTTGAAAGACTCAAATCATCGGTAGAGCATTCTCCTAGTGGAGTTAACAAATAGTCATTGGGAAGTTGTTCATAATATCACCCTGCAGTGCTCAACACAACATGAAATGCCTTAAGTGTACACTGTTCTTTGGGATACACACTTATCTTGAACTTGTCCAAATTATAAGTAAAAAACACTTGTGCTTGTTTTCATATGCACAACAGATCCATAAACTCATATATACCAGACGTACAAATGTACGTGAATTCACACGTACTTGCAAATGTGTGTGAAAATGTGTCATAAACTTATAAAAAAAAATGCTGAAATAGATTGACCAGTTAGGGGTGTCACTGCCAGCGAATCCACCTCAGTCAGTGGCTTAATGCATCTGGCTGTTGAAATGTAAAGAGCAAGGCAGAGGGGAGGTGATTCCCTGGAGCATGATCATACCACACATCAGGCTGACTTCTCATTGGTTGTCTGCCTAATGCATTGCAAATAACCGACAGAGAGACTAGCATCCTGGGCACCAGAATAAATTGGTCTACGTCTACTGTAGGTCTCCTATAGTGACAGAAATTGGAAATGACTCCGCATTTTTTTCCCCAAAGGAGGAAGGGGGAGACAATAATCTTTTGCTTTATTCTCAGCGAGGCACTGATGATTTTTTTTTCAAGGTTTGTGCAGCCTTCGAGAGTGAGTGCATGCCAAACATTTGACAAATTTTTTCACATGAATGCGAACAGCAGCTAATCCCACGATACAGTCTACATGTACATGTACCTCAATCCATAAGTGAGCATAGAGGTAAACATCAGAGGAGATTCTTATCCTGACATTTTATTCCTCCTAGGGTTTATAATTAATTGGAAGTGACATGATTCAATTCACTTGTCACAGATCTACCTGCGTTGTGGTGGTTTAAGCCTTTATAATATCTTTGTTCTATCAACTACATGTACTTGTATGTTGACTGTTTGTAAAGATCCCGCTGCACCTTGATCACAACTTGACTACTGAACCAACCACCTTCACATCTTGACAAAACCCACCCAGCCTCAATGTAAATATTTCACTGGTCAGGAATCCTGACACTCTGTGGCTTCTAATGCATTAATAACTCGTTAGTGTTTATATTACAGGCATTTATTTACACAAACCAAATCCGGGGTGGAAAAGGGGGGGGCGGGGCATCAAAGTCAGCTGGCAGTGTTGATCAAAACAGTGTGTGAATGTTGCACACATCAATTCGACACAATAATTTTAACAGTGCCAATGAAAGAGATATTTTCAAAAAACGGTTATATTGAAACAAGCCGCTGTAAAGCTACATGGCTAAAAGAAATTGAACAATAAGCAACTACGGTACAAATAATGCATGTCTCTCAGCAGAATATTTCATCAAAATGTATGAGTAGGTACATGTACATAACCACGGTAACAGCATGCACTCTGAGCGATGTAATTACACAATGCACTGTTCATGTTTGCCAAGAATAATCAAATGCATGAATGATCATACACAGCGTGTGATATAAAAACCTCCTCTGGATGACATCTTGGTAGACGTGTCATGGGAACAATTCCATTCCGTCGGTATCAAATGTCTACTCAGCGTGACAGTGATGAAAACTCACAAAATTAATTTCCAGGAAGCTGCACATACTGTACATGTAATCTGCCTGGTTGGGCGGCTGCCAATATTTCAGGCTGCCTTACAATTGAAATTGTAACCACTGTGGAGCATATCCAAATTATGTTCGAATAACAAAGGTAAACCTCCCAGAAAAAAGGATTACATTGCACAACTGAAATTCATTCTGTGGCAATCCGAAGGATAAATTACTCTAAGCAAAGATCTTATAATAAATTGGCCCACTCGTATCTTGAAACGACCAATTTGGCTTTGTAATCAATCTTCCTCGAAGCCATTTCTACATCTGAATGAATAATGAAGGAATGAATTGCTTTCCGTTGTCTGTCACTGAAGCCAAAGTCACAATGTATGCAATTAACATTGAGTGCTTAGGTTGGGGCCAATGTGTGAACATTAATTACATGTACATGTACACTACAGTCGCCATACATCTGCACACGTATACCTTCAATACCAGAGTGTACATGTACGTGTCACAATTGTAACATGTCAGCATGTGTTCAATAGTTCAAAGCTATGACCCAACAAAGGAGTTGAAGAAAATAGTTGGAGAGGATTCCTCTGCCGTTATAAATCAATGGTAACAAAAAGCTTCTAGAGTGGTTCATAGGCTAAGTAATGACTCGAGACCGTGAAGCAAGCTTAACGGTTAGGGTATTGCCACTGGCAATCTTAAATACATGTAAAAGGCCTTATTTGAACCAGCCACCTTTAAATTCCATTAATTATGCTGACATTGAAGACAATCTTAACATAATGCACACTGTAGGACTCGAGCCCTTTTGACGAATTTCATTTTGTCAAGCACATTCTCGGACCCAATGCTTTTCGGAACCAGCCCTCAATTCAATGGAGGTACTGTACATATACATGTACATGTGTACGTAAAATGCTGTACCTCCATGGTTAAGTATGTCACATGTAACGGTACACTGTACGAATATTGTACATACATTCACCTGTCTGGCTTTTTTCTTTATAACAATTTGTGTTTCCAAGTAAATTTTCAGCCATCCCATTTTGAGTCAATGACCCTGCTGACTGCCAATGACAACTGTTTCTGAGCACATTCAATCTATACCAGATTTAGACTCCGAGTCCCCTGTGTCTAAATCCCAGTTGGAAATCTTTCAACCTTGACAACTACTGGCTATAATCTCTTTAATCTGGAGTTCGCATATTCCGACACAGTTAATCGGACCAGGTCTGCTGATGTGATCCGTAACTCCCTTTGCTGACAGCCCGGGAGAATCTAGAGAGAGTCTGGGTGTTCTAAAGATGGCTACATCAACAGCACTGGGGCTGTTAACGGGGAAGCAGGCAAGCGTGAAATTCTATTCCAGAGAGATGCTCAATTTAGCTGGAATACTGATGACCAATTCTTGTAGAAATATTTTTGTATGATATCGATACACGTACTGTATGTAAACAAGGTTTGGAATTCCGTAGTTTTGGGCACAGGCAAGGTTTGGAATTCCGTAGTTTTGGGCACAGGCAAGGTTTGGAATTCCGTAGTTTTTGCCGTGGTTCAACGGTCTGAGTTTTCCATTTCAATGAAAATTCCTCAATTATAGAACACATCTTTACCGGTAGAAATGATAATGAAATTTTAACAATTTGACGCTCTATGCACCGCAACAATCATCCTGCAAATCCAACATACAGTTTGAAATTTCCTCAATGCATGTATCAAGACATTTTTTAGTATAACTTGTTCCTTTTTTATCTTTTGTTGTGATTTCTTTTCCTTGAAAATGTTGGAAATCTAAGTTCACATTTGAAAGTTTGAGGACAATACCCTAAAAAACAAATTCTTTGCAAAACTAATGTGAGTGTTAATTGGTCAATGCAACAGCATTTCAAATGTAGAAACTTCTGAACATGTAGAATTCTTCCATAAAATGTTCTCATTTTTCATCAGTGACATTTTTCAAGTGTTCAAAATGTTTGTAGAACAAGCATGATTTCTATCCAGTCTTACGTGACTTCATCACAAAGGCGGATGCACCACCATTTGCAGGCTTCTATTGGACAATCGCTAAAGCTGCATGTTAACTTCTGGTTCCAGGGTTCCATGTACATGACGACCAGTGCATGTAACTTTATGTGAAGTGGGCGTGGTTTAAAGTGAAATGATGTCACTTACAAACTGGATACCGGTAGACTGCCATTGCTTGGTGAAGACCAGGTCAACATACATACACTTTATGCATTCATGTTATCTGTACTGCTAGGCACCTACTGCGTCAGTAATGCAGGCAGCACAACACACTTTCCCTGAACACAGTCAAGTCAGAAAGCTGGAATGTGTTTCAGAAAGGTCAAACAATCACTCCTGTGCCATAACCTCCAGCGCATTTGTTTATTTTTCATTATGCTAGCTGTACACTTGCATGTCGTGGCTTGCTCTGATGGAACGTCTGAGGTTGTTTGTTTTTGCACGTGCCAAAGAAAAGTAACTCTCACCAGACAGGATGATGGTAAAAGCTGTTGAATAATTCCAATTAATTGTACGCATACATGTACATGTAAGCCTATTTGTCTCAACATTCTTGTGGACAAAGATACAAGATACAATACACCGCTACATGTACAAGTATAGGGGTTGGGACTGGCAATAGATGGCTTGCACACAGCGCCCTCATCCACGGAAGTCTTATCACCTCAGTATAGCATGAGAAGACTTTTCCAACAAGTTCCAATTGTAGGTAACTGCAAAAGGTAACCTCAACATGGGTGCTTACAATTTAATGACTGTGATGATGTCTATAATGAGGGCTTAATGCTAACTGTAACAAAGAGTTTCTTGTCTGCACAACAGTTTGGGTTTCTTCAATTTCAAGGGAGGATAGGCCATTTTCCAAGATGGATGAATGGCTTCTTGCCTCTGCAAAAGGCAAAATTTATACTTACATCAAAAGATGTAAGGACTTTAATGATGACCAGAGACCAGGACAGGTCTAGGAAAATGGATGCAAGAAATGCACTGTTTACATATCTGCTACTCAAAAATCAGTACACATGTACAAGTACACTGTGCATATGTAGGAGGCCATAACATGATGTGAAAATTGGCAGTCTTAAAGATACAAAAGATAACAAAAAAAACATGTAAAAGAGGCAGAGGGGGAAAAAGAAGCATACAAGGAGGAGATGGAACACGAAACTCAATTTACACAGCTTAATGAGAGTGATAACTTGGTAAGCATTCCATATACATGTACATGATATACAGACATCAATTTTTTCCCTTGGAGTGGTTTGTAAGCCATTGGAAAGTGATTACATGCTCCAAAATATCAAATTTGACGGTGAAAATATTGAATCATTTATTCAGAAAACACATAGTTTTTCAGACTAGGCTCAAAGGGTTTGTGCACAGGTGTTTTAAGTGATGTGCGTAACCCTTTCCCATAATTTGGCACTTGTTGTACAGCAATGATCCACTTCCTCATATTGGTACATCCAGCAGATTGGGCCTCCGTATTTCCCGTATCCAACTTCCCGGTACTGATATGGACAAATGATGGACATGCTCAGTATGATTCCGTGTAGGATCCCTGGTGATGATGATGCCAAATGAGATGGCCAAAAACCCAGACTGTTTTGGACCATGTACATTGTTGTAGGTTCGGCGTCATTGCTGGGCTATCATTCAATTTCAATCTTGTTGAGGTAGGAAAAGACAAACTAGGCCCTACGTGTGTTTTGGACTTTAAAACTGACCTCCACAATGACATAAAACTGTGTTCCACATACTCACCTTCATCTGCCATGCCCCACCAGCTATTTCTGGACACATGCAGGTTGAATAGATGACATTTCTGCGGCATGAACCTCCGGCCTCCGCCTCCGCCTCCTGTCCACGATGATTGAGAACTTACAGCGCCCTCAACCAATCGCGCACACGAAGATAGCGTGGTACCACTTATTTGAAACGCAAGGAATCGCTTATTTTGACGAGACTGTTTTGGATTCCAAACTAGTGACAGCGCCAGTCAGGAAAAAGCAATTTCTGAAGTTCTGTTTCTAACACTTTAGGCCTAGCCTATTCAATTATCACTGGAAATTCAAGCTCCGTCGTAAAGCTGGCGTACATTGTGGACAACAGATATTTGGACAGTATAGGCAGCCATTTTCTGGATCTCGTTCATGCAGACGTTGAGGAATTCCTGACAGTAGGGATCGGAAAGTGGTGAGCCAGGCCGGGCATTAATTTTGTTTCGTTGTTCGTTTTGTTGGTCCAGGGTATTTGCATACGAATTATATGCACCGATCAAGTGCTTACCCCACCCTTCCCTCCCTTTCCAGGCTGCCACAACTCTAAGTTATCATGGTTATGTAGGGCCCCTACTAGGGGTTTGGTCGCATCAACTTGATCAAGCCCAGGCCGAGGTTTTTTGGTCGCATCACAGTCGTCACAGCACAGGGCATGCAGGGTGTCTCAGGCACAGGGACATGAGGGAAGGCACGTACCCAGACAGCCTTGAGAGGGTTGGAGGAAAAGTCAATGGGTGTATAAATTGGAGATGCGTTTTTTTCCTATTTCCCAAATTTAGATGTTTTAGTGGATTAAAAACAACTGGTCTGGCTGCCAAATCGTGTAATGTAAGCCTACAGCTAAGCTCAACTATGCTGGCTACCAGACTACAGCTAAGCCCGCGCCTACATGTACGTAGTTTTGATTTGTTTTCTTCCAAAGAGTGAATAATTTCCTCTTGGTCTTTTGCAGTGTGTTTGTCTTCCCAGCCGTCACCAGCTACTATCGATTTCTGATCCACCAAGCCATTGAAGAATATCCACAGCTAACCAGTTTCTCAATTGGACAAGGAGACGATCGGAGGACTGTCATCTGCCCAAACCATTTGAGGTTGGGTTACTCTAGAATACTGGATTTAACAAAAAAAATCCAACTTTAATAAAGAAAATAAGTACAATTAATTGCAAGTCAGATAAAGATGAATTAATTACCAAGTCAGTTTTTAGCTCTTAAGATGTATTCACAGCTCAAATTTATGACAAACTCCTCAATGACTTGTCAAAAAATAACTCCCTTTCATTTTGACCTTGACAGTGTCAAAGTTTTCTGGGTTTTTTTTATATAGGGCAGGAGATCCATCTCAATCTCCAAACCCCAGGAAGAGGGGCTGGGAGAGTGATCCTCAGGGAGGCCTCAACAGCCCCCTCAGGAGCTGCGAGGAGGACACCAAGAAAACAAGAGGGGACCAGTCCTGGGGTCTGTTTGGACTTGAGCGGAGAGAAGCCAAGAAGAGAGACACAGGCCAAGCGGGCAAGATGCAGTCATTTCAGGATGATGTGAGCTCAGAAGGAGGCACACCTCAAGCTCAGTCTAAAGAGACAAGCAGGTAAGGGTAACTTCAACCAAGTGGTTGGGCTGCTTGGATGGAATTACATTTCCCACAAGCCTTCCAGAGTTTGTGAAATTACATTGAAATTGTTGGATTGAAGACTGTTAGAGTCCAACCTAGTCTCCTCTTTGAATAAATTTCAGGTCCCTTAATCAGGGTGTCTGAAAACTTTGGTTAAAGTTGGAGGATTAAGGACTATTAAGATAAAGATCTCGTTGGTACTTAACAAAAGTGTGCAGTAACAGGTAGGAATTAGTTACAGTAGGAAGGACGTTCAAAGAAGGTCAAGTTGCAATTTCTTGTTTGGACAATGGGACAATATAATTTGAAACAGTCCTATGCTTTATCATGGCAATTGAGAGCGTGTTTATGTCACTGTGAGTGGTTCGTGCCTTTGTGGGATAATTTGGGATACCCACTTGTTTGTCTGTCTGCCAGGAAATCCAAAAGGGCTTCACAAGAATTGTACGTGCCACGAGGCCGTAGGCAGCAACCACTGGCTGGAGAATCAACGGCTTGCCAAGTGGAACTGGCTGTTGACAAACCAGGAGGGGCACAGACCAGCACGAGACAACAGGGTCGAAAAACAGAGAAAAAGAGGACACGAGACGGCGGAAAGGGGAAACAACCGAGAGATCGGAAAACATCGACGGACGGGGAAGAAGTTGAGAATAGTGTTGCCAAAGAGAAGAAGGCACATGCCAGAGGGAAGCAGGGTAGGAGGGGTGATCAACAAAGATATGTGCCAAGGCCACAGAGGGAGGATGCCAAAGCTCAGAAAAGCTGCAGTGGTGAGGGTGTTACTTTGCCAGCGGAAGATGGCCACAATTCATCGAGTTTAAAACCTGCAGGACAATCAGAAGGTTTGCAGGTGTCCAGGGCAGGTGTAAAGGGTGTAAAGCAGAGTGCCAAGCCACTGAATGTGTCGCCTGTCCCTGAGGACTGGAATGAGATTGATTACGATGACAGGGAGGTCACCTACCAGCCGACAGGGACCAGGCTTACGGCCCACGGCCAGCTCGTGCCCGTGGATCCCAGTGCATTGCCCCAAGCAGTACAAACTGAAACGGAGGGCGAAACACTTGCAACTGAAACCGACCAGTCACAAGGTGCTTTGGGGTGTCAGGAACCAGAGGTTGATCCAGATGCTAAAGCAATGCTTGAGAGCTCAGTGGCAGGAGATGCTGTCAGTGAAGAAGACAATGGCAAAACGAGAGACAGTAACTCTGAGTTGCCAGTTGCCGGCATTGCCGTAGAAACTGAAGATGCCACAAAGATGCCAGATGGAAGTGCCTGTAGAAAAAGCAATAGTTCGGAAGATGTGGCGGTGGGAGCTGATGAAATAATTAAGACAAGTGAGGATGTTATGGGTGATGAAAAATCCCCAGTTACCATGGCAACAAACAAAGAAGTTTCTCAAGGTCTGGACATTGATGCTCGTGTCAGTACCAACACAGATGCTGTTGGCTCTCTCAGCTTAAATCATGAGATTGACAGCGAGGAAGTGCGTCTCTCGCCAAAAGATGAAGAACAACCAGAGGCATCACCAAAGTTGGGAGCAGCCTCATCAGATTTGTTGGCGAGAGATGATGCAGACATCCCTTACGTGTCAGATGAGCTGAATGATGCAGCTGGATGTGAGCAAGAGGAAGTCGTCTCCGCAGAAATTGCTCTCAAAGTTGAGGAGCCGGGTGATGATGCAGGCAATGATGATGGGGATGACTGGGATGCCATGTTTGATGAGAGCGGAGATTGCCTCAAGCAGGAGGAGATACAGGAGGCAAGTTCTTGGTTTTCTCCCCTTTACCTGTCCTAGGGATAGATTCATTGGTGGCAGCCAGCCACACCCCAGTGGAAGTCCATTTGGTTGCTAAAAACATTTCTTTGAGAGAAAAACAAGTGAGGTATGTACCTCAGGGAGGTGCATATCTGGATCGTTCGATGAGGTTGGGGCACAATTTGTGACGGCGTCCTTGTCACATGGTAACTTTTACCACCTGTCATGACCTGTAGAGTAGGTCATGTACTCTGTAAAAATAACACACACCTCTGTATGCAGCCTTGCAAGATGTATAGCAATGTCAATTTGGAATCCACATGCAGGGAAATAACTGTTCATTTTAACGGAACCCACGTAACAATGGACACCGTCACAAATTGTGCCTCATCCTCATGGAATGACCCATCTGTAAACTTGAGTGTGGGGATTTTGAGACAACTGGTGTGATGCAACAGGAACCAACAGATGGAATATGGACATTGGAGTAGAAGAAAATACGGAATGAGAACAGACAGAAAGAAACAGAAAATGCCACTGAAATTCAAAATTCCATTTAAAATTCTACACCTGTACACAATTCTTCAAAAGGCCTGTACCCAACTTCCCTTGGTACATGTATAAGGACCTGTTTTCAAATTATTTTCCATACCTCACACTATACCCTTCATACTACCACTTTTCCCAAACCTTATCAATCAATTTTTGCAATTCTTCCTTATTCTCCTCTCTAGTTGTCAGAGTGTGTGGGGAATGTCCCAGTTTCTGTGAAGCATTCGAAACGAGATTACTACAACTATCAACCTAAGGACAACTTGAACTATGGAGGTATTTAACAAGTAGGATGAGCTGTAACCCAATCCAGACATGTGGATGAATCTTCACGTTTTCCAGTTGATGTTTAGTCTGACCAGATGGACCAGACCATAGCAGGATTGGAAGAGTTGTTTGGAAATGACTGACATGTTGCCCTCATTTTTGTTTGCTAGTTCTGTTTAACTTTTTGCTAGTTGTGGGCTTAGGCCTGCGGAAATCACCACTGAGCAAGAATGTGGTGGACCATTCTTTACACTTACACACCATAAAATTGAGGCATTGGCCCTACTTTAATTATTGGTTTTAAGTTACCATCTTGAAATTATCATTTGCATACCGAGGTACTGCATTTTTGCCATATTTTTTTGCAGAACTCAGATGCTGATAATTACACTTTTTTGGTATCATTTCAGAGTTGGAGCACATTATTGAAGTCTATGATTTCCCTGTAGACTTCAAGACTCATGATCTCATCACTGGCTTCTGTAACATGAAGTAAGACCACTCTCCCAATTTCAAAAGAAGTAAAAGTTGTAATGTTGTGGACTTTAAATCTTACTACCAGGATTGTTTTGCTAGGAACACTCCCAAATCCGGCTAAATCCTCCACTGCGCTGAAAACAGATGACACTTTTGTTGTACTGTAACTTTCAAGGGGCATCTGGCAGCATTGCCTTGCGCTACCTTTGTCGATCCTACAAAATCCACCAAAACCTCCTGGTTGATTTTGAAGGATGAAGGAAGGTTGGGGCTGATATGGTTACCTTTTTGGACATTCTTAAATTTAGGAATAAATTGTCATGCGTTCTCTTCATTGTGTTTTACACTTATATTGCCTCATTCTAAGAGTCGTTGATTTGATTTTGTAAAAATCGTTCTCTTTGGGGGAACAGGACCAAAGAGATGGATATCAAGTGGATTGATGATACACATGCCTTGGCCATATTCCCATCATCGATCATTGGTGAGTCAAATAACTTCTTCCCTAAAACTTGTTAACTTGATGGATGCGCCAAAACATGATGACATTATTAGTCACCAGTATCATAAACATTTGGTTTGTTCTGGAGGCTCTTCTGTTATCAATATGAAGGATGCAGATATTCAGAAAAATCACCAGTATTCTTGACTACAACGTCTCTGTCTGTCTTCCTCATTCATTGTCAAGCTCTCTCTTAATAAAAACTCAGTTCTTATGTTTTATTATACCACGTGCCTCATACTTTTGCATCTCGAGTGCTTTGTTGACTGTGGTTTCCCTCCTTTTTTCTTCGCTCTTTTGTGGTCTTGCTGTCAGCCCAAGATGCCCTCAGCATCTCCAACCCAATGTTCCGTACACGTTCCCTGGTCCTGGCATCTCGGGAAGCCAAGCTCAAGGCCAAACACTGCCTGGAGTTTCTTATCCCACCCACTAAACCCCGGCCCGAGACCTCGGCCGCTACAGCCAGGCGGCTGGTCAGCGGGGCCTTAGGTCTGAAGGCCAATATCTCCAAGGAGCAGAGAGCAGCCGAGAGACAGAAGATCAAAGAGGCCAAAGGTATGCCTGAGAGGCTGGTATCCTGAATTGTAGCTATTATCCAGGATTCTAGCCAGAATCCAAGGCTGATATCTGAGGTCCTAGCTGATATCCAGAGTTCTAGCTAGAATATCCAGGGTTCTATCTAAAATCTAGGGTTATAGCTGGTATCCAGGGTTCTAGCTAGAATCTAAGGTTCTAGCTGGTGCCAGGTTGTAGCTGGAATCCAAGGATGTAGCTGGTATCTGGTGTTGTAGCTGGTATCCAGGGTTCTTCCTGGTATACAGATATTCAGCATTTACCTCAAATTTATCTCAAATTCATATTTCAACATACTTTGACTAACGTACTTGGTCGTTCGTGACTAGTTGATGCACATGGATACAACCATCTGATTAAAACCTTGCCCATACCCTGACTATGGTAGTTCCCCCATTTCTATTTATAGTGGTTGCTTGTATTTATGCCCACTCTACATTTTTGCCCCTGCCAGATCGCCGACGAAATGAAAAGAAACTGCAGGAGGACATCTGGAGCGGTAGCATTTGACCCTTGAACTCTGACCCACCCTGAGGGTGTAATTCAAGATCAAAACGTGTTTTAAAAAAGTTTTTCAGATGAATATTTTTTCTTGATATTTTTCTGCCCTCTTGTTTGGACTCCTCTTCATAGACCACATATTTTGGAGTGATTCAATTGAGTGTGACAATGTTTAATATAATCGGTCGATTTGTGAAGCTTTGAATTTTCACATTTAGATTTCTCACTCAAAGTTGTACCTGATGATAATGTTCTTGTCACCTTTACTTTTCCCCAGAGGAGGATGCCTGTTCATTTTCAAAATGCCCTGTGCACTTGTGTAGCGATGAAGTTTTTGGAAAGAAAGGGTCGATTTCCGTGGGCTTAATGGAACTTTTTGAGGTGGCTGTTGTTATCATTTTATTGGAGACAGATTTGATTTTGGATTTTGTTTTATGAGAGGACACTTTTTCAGCTGTATAGTTTTTTCATTTGATATCAGCAATCTCTGTTTTTTAGAGTTTTCGTTTGTAAGATTTCATTTTAAAATTGATTCAAAAACGCTGTAAATTGGTTTGTGACATACATGTAATGCACTGTTTTGTATATAAAAGAGATAATATATCTTGTAGCGATTTAATTTAATTCGATTTCATTTTTACAATAAATGAGTTTTGCTGAAACGAATTCCAAATATGATGTAGAGAACTGATTTGGTAGGGGTTTGGATGTGTGGTTTTGCTTTTTTTCCCCCCTCTTTCCTGTCCTCATCAAATTGTCGTCCTACATGTTTATCCAGAGAATTCTGAATCTGACTACATAATCTTGATTAATTTGTAATGTGGGACAGTTGGCCTTTTGTGCAATATTGGTATAATCTTTGGGCTTTTAAGAGAGGTAAATCCTTCGTTTTAGGTTGGAGGAAGGATACTCTGTCACTTAACTTTGGTCAGGAGGCTCGTGATGTGTGTGTGTGGGGGGGGGGAAATCCAGTTCAAAACGTGTAATGGTTCTCCCACCAAAATGGGGATGGGTGAAGATAGTCTTTGTGATGTTTAAAACTGACCATACCCATCCATTAAGTATGTATCACTCTGGAAATAGGGGCTCCTGGACCAGAAGCATATTGTAAATTGGGTTCTAGCAACGACATTTTTCTTAAAACTCTCGCTCCACCAGTTTCTTGCAGAATGTTTACTCCTACCATGCCTGCCGGCAGGGGAAAATCCTGTAAGACAACTTCCAGCACAAGAGGGCGCTATATCAACCAGTCAAAAATCTGAAATTATTCCCTTTGGAAACAGAATAACGCATTATTGATATATAAGTGTTTTCCATATAATCAGGGTTTTATCAGATCTATGGGGCCAATATAATATTGAATTATATTTTTCAAAATCTAAAATTGCCTACTAAATGATATTCTGGGAGCACTGATTTTTCAGTCACAAATTAGTGATGATGATTGCTGCTCTTTTTCCATCGGGTGAAATAACTCCCAGGTGCTTCATGGGATGGCATATTTACATCGCCCGCATTTGGAGAAACATGGCTGTTGTAGCAACGTGCGTACGGTCGGTCGGGGTCCAACGATTTAGTGGATTATGAAGGCGATGTGAATGCAGGAAATGTAGAATATGTGTGTATGTAGGTAAGATATCATTGTCTTCCTTTAGTCTTGTAATCAGATCGTTATTAAACTGTAACTTGGAATTTTTTTAAGATTTAGGCAAGCGAGTAGCGTTAGTCATTTTTCGCCCATTAGAAAAACATTTGGCACACATGATGCAAATTTACGGGAATCACTGCACCGGTACTCAGTACAGTTCCTACGGTCGAGTACGTACCGGTGCATGGTAGGAATTTACATGAATAGTATACGACATAAATACCACCATGAATATCCTCTCTGGCTCTGACACCAACATGACTGAAAAGTAGAAAGAGTTCTGTACATTAGACCTGGGCTATTCGGCCACCATGCATCGCCATTACATGATGTTCATGTACATGATGTAGGCTAGCCTACCGGTACTTTACACCCCAGCTATAGCGTCAGCCCCATCTAGGCCTACAGTGCTATAGTTGGGCCGGCCCAACAAAAGCTCAGAATGACAGAAGCTCAGTGTGTGCATGTGCCATTGTTTACATCAACTTGTGCTTTTAGAAAATTTTTTTTTACAGATTGTCATGATTAAGTGCCATTTTTTAGATGAATTATGTCAGGAGTGAACTGCATAAAGCTGGAGAAGGTTGAGAAATTGTCAACAGAGATTGGCCAACAATACTAGCTGGACTACTGCTAGCACTATACATGCAGTTGGGACGCTATAGATGGGACATAATGTGTTTAAACCTAGGCCTGAAGTCTATGGGCCAATTACATTGTACATGTGTACTTTTAAAGAAAATGTGACATTTTTTTCACTCCTAAATTACTAATTACCGGTACATGTACATGTCAAGTGTTTTATCAGATTTAATATACTGTTCAGGTACGTTATCATTTTGTACATTGTTATGTTTGTTTTGGTTTTTATTATTTTGATTTATTCTTCGGGAAGATACATGTACATGTATGTGGTGGCTGGTCATGTTGGATAATAAAGAAATAAGGAACTCTATCTATTGATTGTGCAAGATATTGTCGGTCAATGTACACGTGTACAATCAGTTGATTCTGTAGTGTAGGAAATCTTGAGACTGACATGACGAAAAGTCAGTTTACTGATAGGCCTTCTTAAGTGCTAATATTTAAGGCATCTGTGACTGTTGCCTTTCAGTGTCTAGAAGTCGGCCTAATCGACAGCCAGTATTACAACTTTTTGCTGTTGATAGATCATAATGGCAAAATGAATTTGCAGCACAATTTTTCTGTGAAGCTATTCAGTGTTCCAATAGCACCTGCCCCAAATGAAGCATGTTCATGTACTGTACATGTGGTCATTGGAGGGGCATGGGATTGTTAGTTCCAACTCCTTGTATCTACACGTACTTGAATAATTCCAAAAATTGGGGGTCCAAAAGTCTGACATTTTTGTGTTCCCGTTACATCTGACCTTTTTGATTTGACTGGAAATATCACTGGGAATGGATTTCAAAGTTAATTTGGCTGGTAATTTGCATTAATTCATCACAGACATCACTCTTGGAAATTAGAAAATGTGTTCTGAACTTACAAAATCATAATGTCAGATGTGACAGGAACACGGAAAGAGATGGACCCCTAACTGCCTAATTTCTGGAATTATCCACATGAGGTTAAGTTTACTCCCAGTATGATACATGTACTAAACCTTTGTACTGGTACATGTACACGTGTTTGGACATATAGTAATGAGTGAGTGAGACTTGATTCAGTAAAAACATTTCTGAACACTACACTTTATTGGAGATGGAAAAAAATCTTTTCCCAAATAAAATCTAAAGTAAAAAAAACGAACCTGGGTAAGCACAAAAATCTCGTTTGGCGGCAGTGCCAAGTGCCAACGTAGATAAATTAATTTTTAAGTGGCCTCGTAATGGGAACATAAAGTTGGTGAAAAATCCCTACGTCTGTGTAGCACATAATTCAACAACCAGAATGACCATAGAAATCATTATTGCGGTAGCACAATGCTCATGAACAGGTGGTAAGGGCACATTACATGTACATGCCTTTTCGACCAATAGAGTGCCATGATTTGCATGTGAGTGCGATGAAGAATGTGCGTGCATGTGAGTGCGATGCCAGATATGTCATCTAATTGGATTAGTCTGTGGGTAGTGAACCCGATCTGTAAAGATTGAAAGTCCATTGGTTCAACAGACATGGTTATACACCTACAGGTACATGTAGTGTTCTTAAAATCAAACTAGGGTTGCCATTTGATGGTGACATTTGATGTTAGATCTACATGTACTCAACAATCCAAACTGCCCTTGAATTTAAAAAAAAAAACTTCTGTTGAATTCTGCTCCAACAATCAATTACATGTACATGGAGTTTTATTTTGAAATACTCTTTGCATTGTAACCAACGTTCACATGACCAAGCAGTAGGACAAAAGAAAGGTGGAGTGGTGTTCCTAATATTGACTGCGTGAAAATTTGAATTTAAAGAAAGGACACATCGGCATCTTTTCATTAAATCTACTGGCCACTATATTTAGATTTAAATTAATGTACCAGGCATTTACAGTACACAGAGCAGAAAATTTGTTATTCATTAATGTGCATTTCTACAGTGAAGAGAGTTATTTGACTTGCCTTCCCATATAAACTTGTACCTGTGCATGTACATCACAGCCATATTATGATGCATTCAATATCCCAAAAGCACAGAACACCATCTCTCCAAATTGAATAAAGCATTGCCGAGAACAGGAAATTCAGCCACATAATGTGGAGGCCAGCTGCACTTACATGTAGAAATTTTGGTCCGTTCAGACTGGAATGGCAGTTAGTTGGGCTAACTGATCAGTTACCATGGCAACCTGTGTGTCATCAGGAGGCAGATGTGTACATGTATGAGTCTTCTCAACAGATCCTCCTCAGATTTACAGCTCCTAAATTACTTCTTTTCCCCCAGGACCTTTATGCAGTTTTTTTTAGCTTCTCAAGAGGAAAGGAGGATCGTGGACATTTATTACAAATACTGCACTGGTCTTTTTGTCCTGTGATTGTGCTCTTTTGACAAGTGACCTGGCTACAATGTACATGTACTTGCTACCAAGTACTGTACATGTACATGTAAGCAATGTTCTGCAGTACACAGAGTACCAGTACATGTATGTTCTTGAACAGAAGGTTGGGGACAGTCCAGGGGATGGGTACCAGTTTCCTGGCATCTCCCCCTCCTTCCCCTTCCTCCTCCCCCCCAAAAGCCTACTGTAGATTCATTATTCTGTAATATAAAGTATGGAGACGGTTGCAAAATGCAGATTATTAAGAGAATGACTCGTTATTCCTGATGTACTACTGGTACCCGGTACATGTACACAATGCATAAATTTACAGTACAGGTGCATGA